GTTCCTCGAGACAAGCGTCTAACCGTCTCCGAGCACTGAATATAATCTCAATAGCATCGACTTGGAATAGAGATAAATTCGTTCTCTATGCTAGAACTTCCGAGAAGTTTGTACCGTGACACGTTAAAGGTTAGTCCACAACGCATCCGATAGAATATTCCATGAAACTAGCCATAATAACTATACTTTAAAGTACTACCACAGTGGCGCCCATACGATTGTAAAAGTAATTGCGGCGTGCAATGTATACTTTTCCAATTGGTGTCTCCGGTTGGCATAAACTATGCAAAAGAATAATATGCGGTGTGAACCGAGCTAAAATAATAGACCGGCATTACCGATTATTAGTTACATATAAATTGCAATAATTCCCATTCGTGACCTCTTATTTCCATCTTACCATTTTTTTCACATATCTCCATATTGTATGGTACCGGTATCAATTGCATGCTAATGGGACACTGATTGATATTCATAATTCTTGGAAAGATTCGATCAAGTGTCTCCTTCTTGGAACAATTTCCGTAATCGATGAGACTGACTTTACCACAATTAGCTTCCGTATTATTACTATACCCGTAGAGACGTAACGAGTTGTCAGTTTCATGATTATAATCCGTCGCTATAATAATAGCAGATCTGCCGATACTCGTCAGATAATTCGCAATGGCTTCTAGGTAGATATTCAAAGCTAAGTCCCTTCCGTTGTTCAAATGAATAAGACAAAACGGACGTGGATGAAATTTCTTCAGATATTCCAATACTCGTATGTCATCTTGAATATTCATTGCATCCAGCATTATCATTACGTACGATTCATACTTGAGGGATGCTGGAATATCGGCAATTTGTGTATTAAAGTTGTACACGGAACGATTACGAAGGACACTGGGAATCCAATATGGCCGCTTCCCAGAGAGCATCACGATACTGTTAGGCTCGGCACCATAGCGCCTTACGATACTACTCGCGCAGTGATTTAGTTCTAACGAATCGTCCGGGACTGACTGTTGCCAGGAATTTCGTGTTTTCAATAAAGTCACAGCACTTGCATTTGACTGAAGGAACGTTGTTGTTAAAATCAATATTGACAGATGAGTCGATCTTCTCTTACCGTTCCGAAACCTCATGACTGCTGTTACTAACCGTCGTTCCTCGAGACAAGCGTCTAACCGTCTCCGAGCACTTCAAGTATTTATTGTTACCATTTCCGCTGCCGTTTTCTGATTTATTCTTGGAGATTCTCGTAGAACCTATAGGCCGGGGATACCGTACAAAGCTACGATGGCCAATTTCTCGGTTTTCTTTAAATTTTTTCTTTTTTTTTTCACTGTCTTTTTCCCAAGTATTTATTGTTATCATTTCCGCTGCCGTTTTCTGATTTATTGTTGGAGATTCTCGTAGAACCTATAGGCCGGGGATATCATACAAAGCTACGATGGCCAATTTTTCGGTTTTCTTTAAATTTTTTCTTTTTCTTTTTCACTGTCTTTTTCTATCTCTTTTATCCTTGTCGGATCAGCAATTCGATACTCTGCTCGTTAGACCAGAATGACTGGTGCATGGTGTATATATGAATGGCCTCCTGCTATATCAGCACTGTATTGCTATAATCAGAATCGTTAATATCAATACCATTCGTCCATTATTTCCCTCGAGTCTCGTTATTACTTGCGGATTCATCTGTAAGAAACATGGAAAGATACGGTAGCCCGATTTCTCATAACAATTCCAATATACCATTGCTTTTGCGTTTGGCGCCTTGTAAAAACCTTATGCACCACCTTCTCGTATTACATAACTCTTGCTACCATCTTATCGAGACTAACACAAATTTCATGATAGTTTCTATTGCCCTGAGTTTTATTGTAATCGCAAACGAGTCCTTATACCACTTCTGGCACGTATTACTACTGTAATATATATACACACACATACGTATCATTATAGCTCCTACTGGAATACTGGTAGCTATAGTAAAGCGCGAGGAAGGCGATACTTTTATCAGGACGAAAGTGCGAAAAATAAGGAGCGGAAGTGGCAGACAGCGAGACCCGTTCTGATTTTTCAAAAGAGGTTCGCCCGCAGATAGCCCAGCCTCCCGTATTTCATGGCGGTCCGTTATCAAGTAATAACTCTGCACCAGGGTGCGCAGAGGCAATTTTCTATCTCCTGGACTTAGTTTACCCGGGTATGCTATTGCTCAGTGAGATATCTTGCGAATTTTCCGCTTCCGCGCCAGCTTCCGTGGAATTTCCGTATCGGTAAACGTATCGTCTTTTCCCTGGGAAAATACTTGTACTCGTTTCCTTACGGCGAAACGGACTACCGTAGTCAAGTAAGCGTCCATGCACTCTATAGGGAATTAATAGCGTTGGGAATTTTAATAAAGTTTTTTATTTTAAAATTCCTACAGATAATAAAACGTATTAATAATTATTATTAAGGAACATGGAATTCTTCGATTTAATAAAGATTCTTAATACTTGATCATTATTTATGATTTTTTATATATCGTATTTCAAAGCTGACTCAGAATTTGCTATTAACACACAATGTGACAATGATCAAGACTCGCGGTTCCTTGTCTGGACACTTGCAAATTGCACGACTGCATCTTGCATTATAGACACGTTGCATGGCTGCTTCGTGGAATATAAATATTTATTTAAATCATCGTTTCAGTTCTACCATGAAATATTTTAGCGAGTAATTAAAATTCCTTGTTAATCGTAACCCTCGGTTTATTAACCTCAGGTAGGTCATTGTATTCTTTCAATTGTACTTTTAAATTGACCAACTTGTCTATGTTCACGGGTCTCTATTTTGAAGGGAATGCATAATAAAATATACAATCGCTCATTTGACCTACATCAAAACTCCCTAATGGCGGTCATATAACGGACTCGGTCATAAATGACACGTACGTAGTATACACTGTATAATTATTGTACACGGTTTTCATTATTGTATGATACTTCAAGTCATAATTAATTTGCCAACAAGTTCATTATATTCAAGCAAGGTATGATAACCTTTATTGAAATTCTCCGTAGTATCGATACGAATGAAGTAGGGTCTTCGTAGGAAAGTGCTTTTCGAGGGAAAGGTTTTAAGCTACTGTGAATTTCGAACCAATAACTTGAAGTACCTGATTTATGTTTCTAATCTATATAGCACGTGTCAATTAAACAATACGTGACATTTGACCAATAAATAGGTGATATTCTGAATTTTCTGAAATTATGAAATTTTTTATTTATATCAGTAGATACTGTCGTTACCGCTCGTGACATTAGTAGATACGAAGACAATCAATGAACAGGGGAAGCAGAAATAACACTGCGGTCCTTAATTAGATTGATTTCCCAAAATAATATTTCTTTTACATTTCACCTAATGTGGTCTAAGGGAAACATGGGAACGTAGAATTGCTAGTAAAGTGCTATTTAAAAAAAAAAGTCATTCGTATTCCTTTTGAAGTAAGTCATGCTACTGTACTCGATTTCTTCTTATATCACACGTCAAGCGTCGCGACGCTTCTTTACTCGCTTTCTTATGCTGGAAAGAGACGATCTTTGAGAAATTTATTATTTGAAAATGTAATATCCGGTATCTATTCTTCTCGAAATTTTCACGTATTTTATACTCGTAACCATTCAAGTAATCGAGATTAGGTCGATTATTTAGAATTTGAGGTATGAAGTATGTAAGTAGGTCATATGCTCTGAAGTACTTGGTTAATTTCTTATTAGTTAATTATTAGGCAGTTTTACAAAATTTTTTAAATAATACAATTTTTGTTTGTTAATATTAGCGAAAATTCGAAAATTGAACAGAACCTGTAGCTGAGTCGTTTTGAGTCAGCTTGGTACCCCTTTCACGTTAATTGGTTGCGGGCCTAAGGAATGATCCCAAAAATGGCCAATCATGAAATAGTCTCGGCATCCCCCTCTATAAATTAAAAATTGTCTCCACCCCCCGAATCTAACCTATATACAGAAGGACCTGACAAATTTCATGAACTTTGAATAAAGTTTTCAACCTCCAAGGAACTTGTGATTTCATCACAGTTTCTCGTCTTTTTCACGCCTTTGACAAGGAGTAACAAAGCAATTGGTGATTTTGTCAGAAACTGTCTAAAGTCGTAGACTAAAATTACGGTTAGTCTTTGAAAATCAAAATTTTGAGTTTTAACAAATTACTCAAAAAAAAATGCCTCACGTGCTATGCTCAGCAGTAAATGATATTTTTAAGTATAAGAAGTGTCATATTCGAGTTAATAAGCATGTAGTATGTAAATTAACAAAGTACGGCAAAAAGGCCTTCTGTTTTCCTTGTAAAAAAAAATTATTTCAATCAAATCAAACTGAGTTACAGTGCATCAAGTGTAGGATGTGCGTGCACCGAAACTGTTGTAACAAGCTGCAAGAAAAATGCCTAGGATTTAAATTTCAAGATCCGGTTAAGAGCGTTAAGGTGCTTACACAAATTATGTCGTCGACTGCAACAGTTTTGATACCAAGGACGACCGCAAGGCTTTGTGGGAACCAGACGAAAGCCATCCCAAAGAATAATACAGCAGCAGCAGTAACGACAAGGACAGAGTCATATGGCCTAGACGATTTTGAACTATTAAAAGTTATAGGCCGTGGCACTTACGGTAAAGTAATGATGGCGTCTCTGAAAGAGACAAAGCAGATTTACGCGCTGAAGGCGATTGAAAAATGTTCAATAAAGAGAAAATCTGATTTAAAATGGGCGTATACTGAACGTACCGTGTACTTACGAATAGCTAAACATCCATTTTTGGTTGGTTTCCATTCGTGCTTTCAAACCACTACTCACATTGTCTTTGCAATAGACTTCGTGCGCTGTGGCGACCTCGTGACGGTACTAGAGCGAACTAAAAGGATCGCGTACACGGAAGCCAGGTTCTACGCCGCGGAAATTAGTTTGGGACTGAATTACCTTCACGAGATAGGAATAATTCATAGAGATCTTAAACCTGACAACATACTCTTGGACCATGAAGGACATGTTAAGATCGCCGACTATGGACTCGCCAAATGTAATATCGGTAAGGAAGAAAAGACGTGGACGTTTTGCGGGACTACAGTCTTCCTAGCGCCAGAGGTTATACGAGGCTGTGGCTATAGTCACGCCGTTGATTGGTGGGCATTGGGTGTTCTGATTTACGAGATGCTCGCGGGCTGTAATCCTTTCGATGTGTTTCAAGAGGACGATGATGTGGATATTGATGAAACTATCTACAGGAGAATCGTGACTAAGTCGTCTTTGAATTATAAATGGTGGATGACGTCGGACAGTGTTGATGTTATTGAGAAATTTCTACAGCTCGATCCATCGAAGAGACTGGGTTGTCAACAGCCGGACGGATTTGAGGAGCTTAAAAGACATGATTTTTTTAAGGCGTTTAATTTCCATCAACTTTATTGTCGATGCGTTACGCCGCCTATGATTCCTAAACTCATGGATGAAAACGACGTTAGCAATTTCTCTTCGTCTTTTACTGAACAAGCGCCGGTCTTAGAAACGGACTATCCTTGTGAGACTGAGGTTATCGATCAAAGTTTATTCGTTGGTTTTGATTGTGTTAATACTTGTTACACGTGAGACAGAAGTGACGAAGACCTGATATTGAAATTCGTAAAAGTGTGTGATAGTGAAATGACGTGTCAATGAAATTGATGAAATTCGATGGGTCCCCTCTGACCATATATAAGGTGAGGGAAATTGTATACAGTATTTATTGTGACATTTACTATTTAATTATCTCCTTTCTCATTTCTTCATGATGGATACGTCGCCAGTGTTATATTGCACTATTAGACTGTCTGAAAGAAAACTTTTTTTTAAACATTCTTATCAATCCTGCGCCAACGCCAACGTATGCTGAGAATTGAAAATTTCATGAGAATAGAATATACCAATGAAGTTCAACGATTTTCTGTATAGAGTTCCATCTAACGCTTGAAAACTTCGATATAGAGAAGGGCTTAGATATATTTCATATGTTGTGCACCTTCACATAATCTGCACTCAAAAATATTACCATTTGGAAATGGAAGAGATATAGATAAGATGTAAGTTCAATGAAAACATGTTATACAACGTAAAAATTTTTAAAACTTATCTTCACACTGAGACATAGCTTATTTTAGATTCTGTTGAGTCTATCCAACTGTGGTGTAAAATTTATGAATGAAACGTTGAAGATGTTAAGACTACATAGTATGGGCTTTCGACAGAGTTAAATTTTCAAGAAATTGATTTTTTTATTATCTTAAATTATATAATGTTGAAAAATAATTTGTTGCAATATTCGAAGAATTGTAAAAGTTATAGAGAATTAAGTCAGGAGTGGCTGCACCGTGGGGAGCAGCCGGTGCGAGCACCTGCATGTCTTTCAAGTATATGAAGCGAAATTTCGTCAGTTAGTCGATGGAAGTCATCAAGTATAGAGCTGTTGACATTAGTATGTTGTGCAGTGTATAAAAATTCAAGAAGTAGAATGGAAAAAGCTAATATGAACAGCGATTTGAAGATAACAAGAGGTAAGTAACAAAGTAAGAAAACGGCTTGTAAAAGTTTCAAGGCGTTTTTCTCAAAATGTGATTTTCAAATGTGATTCATGAAAATTGGTAACAATGTACTAGAAAGAGTTTCTCTCTTAACGTTCATATTTTTGTTTGAACCCATTTTTTTAATAAAAATCTAAAAATTTGTGTATAGAAAATACAAACAGGATTCGGATCTTCCCGACGAAGAATGTCAGATAAATATCCTAATACGGATATTTGGATTTTTTTTCGTAAACATCTGCATAACGTTCAATATCTAAGATGGCCATTGAGATGAAAAAAAAATATTTCATGTGAAATATTTAAATCCTACCACTCAATTTAAACAGCTTAAATATACTTGAATAAAGAAAAAAAAGTGTTGCAAAAGAAAAGAAGAAAGAAAATAATTATTAGTAGCAAGCAGTAAGTACCAACGACTCGAGTAGTCGTCTGAAATATTTGAATGAATAAATGACAAACAATATACGACATGTTTTGTATAGGTATTATAAAAGTACAAAAATTCTGAACAACAAACAATAGGATTATAAATATCAGAAGAGGATCAGTGCTAAAAGAAATAATACAATTATAAAAATAATTTAGAAAATCTTATGAAATTGCAGAAAAATAATTTTCATATTAAATTCATCCAATCATAGTCTCTGGATATCATGGAAACAATTATATTTCGACCGGAAACGTATAAAAGGTCCTTCATTGCGGAAGGGCGGTCGTTGCGATTCTCTAGAGAAACAACTTCCGACGGATACTAAATCTGAATATAAAATTTCCAATGCCAAGTCACCGTTCCAAAAGTGCAATCCGACTTCAATATTAATATCGAATAAGAGAAGCTTGTCAGTGCCGCGGAGTTACGTTTTACGAATTTGAAATATTCACTGAACCGAATAAAGAAAGCACGATGGTATTTACAAATAGCGCGAGGCATATCCCTGTCCACGTTAGTTCGTTTTCCGTTTTTTGTCAGAAAAAAGCATAGTCGAACGGATATAAGAAGAGCAATAAGAAAAAGAGAGAAACAGTATGGCTAATACCGCCTCTCATTTTTCAGGGAGAGATAACGCTTTAAAACGAGCAATACGAAAAAAATAATACACTGTACGTTATGGTTATTTACATGGAATAATACAGTACGTTCATGCATGCGTGCATAGGAGTGAGTAGTTAGCAAATAACAAATGTGAATCAATATTTAAAATGCAGAGTTTCTCAACGTAGAAATATGATTAATCGTTATCATTAAGAGGGATGTGCACAGAGGCATAGGATTGATCTATGAAGCGATTAACTGCCATGGACGAGTCTAGTGCTTCAGTCGCCCGATCCTTTAAGCGTAGATGCCATTTTGCTAATCCTATTATTCGTCACGAGAAAATGCGCGTCCATAACAATGCATTGGCCAAGTGCAATATCCAATAAAAGTGTTCAATCCTTGAGAATAGTGCATCGCTATCGTATACTCCCTGGGTGCCACTCTGGGTGGAGAATGCTAGAGAGTAAGAATACCGGAGGCCATTCATATCGAGAAATTTCATCAAGCAATTCAGAGTAGCCTTGCGAAAATCCCTGTACTTCGAGGAGTCCGTAGTAATGCAACTGGGAGTTCGCGTCGGTGAATGGTGTCACGTATAGTCAGACATAACCTATAACCAAGCGGACGGCAATAGGTAGTGGCTAGGTAGGATGTCGGTAACGTAGAACAGCTACTCGCCGTTACCGACGAAAACATCCAAACACACTCGACGGATCTAAGGATGGTCGCTCGCGAAAATTGCGTACGACAGTTTGCCTCGCGCAAACTTGCCCGGCAATGTTTCTATGCTAATGGGAGAGAGTGGGATAACCGTTTGGGAGCTGAGGAAACGCAGCGTTCATTCGGGTACTATTCGCATTCGAGATATATCTCTATTATCTCTCTTTCTCTCATGTCTCCCGGTATTCTCATTTTGTCTCTTACCACCAGGAGCCCAGCCAAACGTCTGCAGACCACGTCCCAGCTTCTAAGTGTGTGCATTCGTACGCGGCTACGTACCCGGATGTCAAGGAAAAGCGGGAAAATTGCTCTGAAAAGGGATTGCGCCACCTTATAGAAGTTCCTCTGGACAGGATACGAACGTAAAGCTGGATCTTATTCTTATTGTCGTGCACATGCACGTATGCCTCAACGAATATAACTACATGTACACCCCATATTTTTTAGATCCTCGCAGAAACGTTGGAGCTAGATCTTCCCAAGGTAAATAAGGGCTGCGAAATAGAAAGGGTGAAATATATAGGAAATAAAGGATGGATATATCCAGGAACAAGAGGAAAGAAAAGGTTAAAGACAATTCGACATGGTAAACAATCTCCTTACAGTCTTAGCACTCATTCTACGTGCACACATACCAACGTCATTGACAATTCTTGTGACCATTCCATTGAAGAGGAATGGAAATTTTCCTGCTCGTACAGTGCAGCTCATAGAGTAAGGATGGAGGACTAACGGTTGTTAGTCCTATAGAGTTTTGTTATAAGGACTGTAAAACTCTGGCCAACGAACTTGGAAAATTGTCCCAGGATAAGGTTTACGTTTGTTCCACATTGAAATTTCACGAGCTTCCATCTCCCCCTTAGCCCATTCGACTGAATAGGGGATGAGTCAAAGAATCAGGCACGAAGGTTATCGTTAAAAAGTATATACGCTGTTCCTTAATCTGCTAAGAGCAGATTACGGCACTTAAACTATATAAGCGGAGGAACGAGCGCTGCGGCCAAGGTGTACGTAAGAAAGCTTAGGAATTAATTTCCCGTAACAACGGCTGATAACGTTAATAGAACGACGTTATCTGGCCGGCTATCGCTTATATTTCGTTATAACGCGACCTTTACGCTATAGGGATGTATCAAGATATATCGAGACGTCCGTACAGGTTTGTATCTCGGGTACAGTTCCCTTCGTAAGTAAGGTAAGTAACGATCACGTGTACCAAACTGGTGAACTGAAGCTCGTACGGTGCCCCTTAAGACCCGTTCTAAACTTCTGCCATTAAGTTTTATGACACTGAGAATACGTATGGGTACGTGAAACTCATTACAGACGTGTATACAGATAGGTACCATATACCTGCTGTTGTATTAGATATGTGTATACTATATATATGCATATATACAACTGGCCATCGTGCTACATAATAACCGTCAATAGCGACCAGTGAGAAGCTAGAATTACAAAAGTAATAAAGTTGGCGAAATAGTTCACGCAATAGATCCAGAGGTCACGCCATGACATTTCTACTATTAGATATCACCCGAATCGACTTTACCTGCATATTTCCGTAATATTCTCTTCTCTCAACTATTAATCCACTACGTGATTTGAATCTTCTTTTTCAGAATTGCCACCTATGTCCACTGCGAACTCCTCGTGTACTATGGGTATACATATATGGAGAAGTATGTGGACTTGTTATGTATACAGTCTCTGGTGTATGCCAGCTACATTATTGAATTGGGGAATCATGAATACCCCAGCCCCGACACAAAGTCGCGTCAGCATAGTCAAGTGAAGTCGAGACGCCGTTTGTTGAAATTACACGAGTCCCTATTTTCGTGGGAGGCGCCGCGATGCAATTGACGTGACGTATCTAGAGAGGTTTTTGAGCGATGCGATATTCAAGATACACAGAAGGTAATGCAGATCCCAACTTCGCGGCTAATGGAATCTCGTCCGACCTCTCTATACAACCAATTTATATCCAACTCTTCAGCGACGAAATATCAGACCTCGTGGCACCCGCTATTCGAGTTCTTAGATAGCAATGGGGAATCCAGCGATCCAGCCATATAATGCTAGAAAATCATTTTCACAGTTATATTCGCGAAAGTTTCTCTGCATTTTTTGAATGATAATATTTATACACCAAAGGCTTGGATATTGTATCTTATACCTATGCAACGGAGTGCCATTTTATGTCGTCCTGAGCATGTATAAACAACTACGTTACGTCGATATTGGATACAACGATATTCTCTTCCTCTTTCTCCGTCGGCAACCATCCTCCTGGTACTTCTCGCCACCCTTTTAACTCCCCTGTATGTACAAATTGTTACAATGCATTCCGGGTGAGACGGTAAAGTGGTACGAAGCAAGTACATAGACGTGCTAAAACGAAATAGTTCTGCAACCGACTGAAATTTATAGCTAGCGGTAAGCCAAAGCGAAGCAGGAAAAGGATTATCTGACTTGACTAATTGCGCGAGGCAGCTAAAAGACGAGCAGATACGTCAGAGGACTCCATTGCTTGATTTCGAGTGAAAAGTAGATCAGAAAACAATTGCCTCTATTGAGAGTTTAAATACTGTGGGATGGACCTACCTATGTGGCGTGATGGCGATCCTTGTGCTCTTGGGTTGAGTAATGGAATATCCGGTGAGCGATAAATGGATCTTTCCTGCCTCTACGAGGCGACATAACCGCCAGTTTAATCTTTTCGCTACGGAATATACCTGTGTCACAGCTTGGCTCGCAAACGCAGATTCTATTTAGATTATTTTTATTCCCCGTCGCGACGTTGGCATGATATTGCACCCCTTCTGCTCATTCAACGACTCTAATCTTTCGCGACACCGTAAACCCTCATCTGTCCTACGTCCCGATGGCGGAAAGTTATTCGCGAGAAACTCAGCGAGAGATAGGTTGTAAATTCTTTTATGGCTCACGTATCTATCTCACTCACATTATTTAAAAGTATCCATTAATAGTAGTAGTTTAGAATCAATCAGGATTACTTGTATTTCGCTTTGGATTTTCTGTTTGGCCGAGCGCAAATGCATTCCTACAAATTTACTGTGTCGATCACAATGATGATCGTTCTTATCGACGTTGCCTAACGTCTGACATAAGATGGCAGCATAAACGTTCCTGGACACTGTAGACGAACCGTTATGACTGTGCAGCGTTATGGGTACCCTGCGTGCACTGTGCAATGTCGTATCTTCTCTTATATACACGAGTTTGCTACCTTAGCAAATTTACGACAATCCCCTGCTTTCATTATATATTTTCCAGACATCTTCATGACTCCCTCACGAAACTAGTATCCAGGGCGCAAGTCCGATAATACAAATCAAAGGTATACGGGCTGTTAAAGTCACGTAGTCTATGGTTACCTCCTTTTTCATCAGGATACTGTTCAGTACCAAAGAAAATATGTACTGCTGGTATATAATCGAACACAACATGGATTCAGAGTATCGTGGATATATACTAGAACATTGTATATGTAGGTCCTTTGTCTAATCAGTGGCAGCCAAAACAATACTGTTTATTGAGTCTTTTTTATGGGGGCTCGCACAAACAGCTCCTTGACACGCTAAGCGAAGGTAGCCAATACAATTTTTATGTGATCTCCATTGTTTCTAATTCCATTGAGTTTCATTACAATTCATTATATTGGAGCAGTGTAACTAAGTACGGACTCACACGAAAGTCTGGAAACATAAAAATTTTATTTCTCAAATTTTTGGTCAAGTACGCAAAAATGATTGCTCTAGCGGTATTTTATCGATATAATTTAATTAATTTACTCGCTCTCTAGGTAATGCAAATTTTTAAATTTATAGTTCTCTTGTAAGGACTGTAATTGTTACAGAATTTTCTCCGGAAGAATTTGATTTCTACATGTTACTAGTCAAAGAAATGGCATTGGCGCGCCAGAACTAGCGCTCTTTATTTTTCAGAAATTATTCCAACAGATCGCCGGTATAGGTGAGGCACAAATGTATAAATATATAAAAATGGACGAGGAGGTCAAAAGTATATCACCTTTGAGTATAAGACAATTAGCGCAATAGCGTGTAATATCAAAGTTTTGAAGTTCATTCAGGCCATTACGTTTTTAGAGAAATTATTACGCTCTCTTTCAGGACCCTATTCTTATCGGCTATTTTATATTTAACTGAGTTGATAGCTTTACGTGAGGACCTCCGCAGTGTCAGAAAAGTTATTTATTTTTATGAAAATCAACTAGTATATCCAAGACAGAGTGAAAAGAAGCGGGATTTTGAATATGGCTACAATCAAATACTATCCTGGTGAGTTTCCATGCATTTGATTTCCATCGATACCAATCTGATAGTTGCCAATTTCCTATGAAAATGAACAGTTTATTAATGAATTTAACTGAAGATAATGATACTTGTTAAGATATTATCGAATATTACATTACGAATAAAATGTTTCAGTGTAGTTGCTGATGTTGTTCTGTTCAATTCAAAGTACAACGCGGATTCTTTCTTGGATAATATACAATTATTTTTAAAGAAGCAACCGGATTTCCGAGTGAAGAATATAAGAGACAAAATTGCATCAAACTGCAAAGTTGTATATTTTCAAATTGATTTAAAAAGACTGGAACTAATAACAAGTCTTCCATAGTATGGCCGCATAGATGGGAGCATGATCAAAATTTCAAAAACTGTTTCACCGCACTAAAGGTCCTAAGAGATGTAGAATATAATTTATTATAAGCTTTCTACTCTCGGAGAATAATTTGGTGAGGTACCAAAAGATTTTCTAAGTGCTAAGGAAGAATTAGCTGATTGTATTATACATTTTGGATATATAAATTCAAAAAAAGGAGTATTATGAATTTCTCAAAAATTGTGATATTGTCGAATCTACGTCAAAACACGCATTTTTTGGCGTTGCCATGTAAGTAAATAACATTATTAAATCTAAGGGATAAATTAAATGATAGTCAATAAAATTTCCTTAGGCTGGAAGCAACCTACTTGGGATGTCTCCCTCTATGTCCTCGTGCTCTGGTTTATAATGAGCTTTATCCAGATCGGTGTCTTTTCCATAGAGTTGGAAAAGACAACTCTATGGTCTTTTCACACCAACTGTTTCTGATCTTGTGAATGAACTTAGAGAGTATTGTGAACCAAAGAAAATTGCTGAGATGAAAAACAACATACAAATACACTGGGATAGATATGACGCGAACACGATCCTACCAGAGTTAAGAAGAATTCTACTTCCTAGTTGCTGTGAAGAGGAGGAAGAAGACTCTCAGAACTCTTATATAAAGAAATCTGAAACGTGCATTTAGCTAGAAACGGTATAAATAAATATCTTGTTAATATAATCATTCTTTTACCTCAAACGTCTTCATTGATATCTCTTTAATTACTTATGGTTTATGAATTCCAGAATATTTAAGAACTGTTAGACAAACCGCAATAGCGTCGTTAGATAGTTCACACGTAGAAATATTTTTACTAGGGTCAGCCAACGGACCATTTCAGTTCACCTATTAATAGTGCAGCGTGAGGTTTCACGTACAAATAGTACCGGCCTTCTTCTATACTCGACTTGAAAGTCTCCGACTTAAAAAAATTCATTTTCCTGGAGGCAAAATGAATGGGACGATGAATGAAAATTGTGCAGTGTGTAATGTTCCTGCTGTGCAAAAATGCAGCGCTTGCAAAAGCGTCTTCTACTGTAATCGCGAACATCAAAAACAGCATTGGAAGAGCCACTCTAAAACATGCAGACCATTCAAGGTAAGTGGTTTTGAAGTTTTTGAAAAAAAATAATAAGAAGTTTATGTAAGGATTATTTTTTGAAGATTGCAGAGAATCCTGAAATAGGTCGTCACTATATATCACTCAGGAAAGTTGAAGTAGACGAAGTCATTCTGAGAGAGGATCAACCTCTAGTAACAGGTCCTTTACACGGTATAACTCCAGGCTGTCTTGGTTGTTATTGTCCTCTCAATGCGGAGACAGCAGTTCCTTGCACTAAGTGTGGTTGGCCACTGTGTAAGGATTGTAAAAATCATGGTGCGGAATGTGAATTTACTTGTAAATATAAAAAAGAAAAGGTAAGTAAACTAATAATGAAGCATATAAACAAATTCTGGTCTTAATTTAACTAGTCCAAAATGCTTTATATTCCATAGGTATTAATTACAGATTTTGACTATCCTCATCCAACTTACCGCTGTGTGCCTATAATTAGAGCTTTATGGCTTCGGGAAAATGATCCAGAATCCTATATGAAATTCATAAATCTTGAGGATCATTCAATGGCAAAGGGCAAAGCAAACATATTTGATGAACCACGTGATACTGCACAATTTGTTAGAAGATTCTTTAAAATAGATCATGTTACCGAAGATGAAGTGACTAGAATTGGTGGAATCCTACAGGTTTATTAAAATAAACTAAATATTAAATTTGGATTGTATTTTAAATGACTGAAGTCACGTTTCAGATTAATGGTCATGAAGTGCCAACTACAGAAGTACCCCATATGGCAGTATACGACCTTGCTTCCATGTTAGAGCATAACTGTAGAGCTAATTGTAGAAAAAGTTTCACAAACAAGGGTGGCATTGTGATTCGTGCTGCTATACCTATAGCTAAGGGTACACTAGAAATTGAGATATTTATTTAAGCAAAAGCTTGTGTGGTTTAATACTTTTAACATAATGTATTTGCAGGCGACCACATTACGATATGTTATACGGATCCTCTATGGGGTGTAACTAATAGAAGACATCATTTAATGCAAACAAAATACTTTAACTGTGCATGTGAACGATGTAAAGATCCTACAGAAATGGGAACAATGTTTAATGCTGTGAAATGCACCAAAGGGTACAAACATTGGCATTTATTTCTACAAGTTATTAATTTTTATATGCTTATATATGTTTATCAATGAATTCATAGTGATTGCAAAGGGTATATGCTTCCTCCAACTTTTATCTCAAATGACAATTCACTACCAAATTACCTGTGTAATAAATGCACTAATTCTGTGACATGGGAATCGATAGATGGAATGATGGAAAGAATTGGAATAGATTTGTCAGAGATGAAGAAAGATGATGTTGAAGCATGCAGAACATTCATTCAACATTATTCTAACGTCCTTCATGAAAATCACTTTTATCTCACAGATGTGAAATTAGCTCTAGCACAAATAATTGGTCAAGAAGATGGTGGTCTGCCAATGGTCAGTGATGAGATACTTAATGAAAAAATTATACTGTGTAAAAAACTTAATGACCTACTTAAAACACTTGTTCCTGGTAAGTAAATGTACATGCAGATTAATTAGTATAAATTGTCTATATACATAACACCTACAAAATTGATATAATTATAGCTGAAAACAGAGTCAGAGGATTTGTTCTATTTGAAATGCATGCAGCTATCGCTGAGTTTGGTAGAAGACAAGGCAGAAATGAGCTTGCAGGGATACTGATAGTACGTATACATAGGTAGAAAAATGCTTAAAAGGACTTTACCTAATAAACTGTTATTTTACTAAGGAATCTAAAAAGGCATTATCAGAGGCATACGAATTATTGAAGCATGAACCAGAAATTCTGCCAGAAGGTAAAATTGCTGCTCATGCTCGAAAAAATCTTCACAATATGGACATAATAATCGAAACTGTTTGCCGAAACACAGCTAATCCTATGTAAAATGAAAACGTAACAATATCACAGTGCAATCATTTATTAGTGATCAATATCATTTTTTTCATGGTTTTAACTGTAATTATTATTTATTTCGTTAATACCTCATTGGCACCTGCTGAAATGTTACTTATTCTCATTAAACAAACAGTGAAAAAAAATTAAAATACCAAAATATTACTCCTTTTGGCTATACCCCTTTTCATGATGTTCAACACATTCCATCGATAAATCGAGGATTACCTATCGAAAGCGAAGTGCGAGATGCGAAAGTCGATCATGTTTCGGGTAGCAAATGGCGCAGCAAAAAGGGGCTCAAAGCCGCGACCGTGTTTCTTCTGAAAGAAATGGAAGTGGAAAACAGTGGTGAAACATCTGAAAGTCTTGGACGGACAGTTCAAAGTTCTGGCGAAGACTGTCGTATATGCCTAAAAAAATGTTCAGAGCTTTTGGAATTATTCGAAAACGAGGAGGACATACCTCAAAAAATAATGGCGTTCGCTGCTGTTCAGGTTAGCTTTTGTGTGATGCGTTCTCTGTGGATCACTAAACGATTTTGAAACTTGTATTATACTACAACGTACTCTTCATGGTGTCTATTCTGCATTTATTAAACACTCATGAAACGAATGAGAGTAACTTCCTTTGCTTAAATATACCTAATAATTTAGATGTCACTATGTCATGGTTATAGATATTTTGATTACATTATAGGGAATATCGTTGAATATGCTATTCAATTTTTAGTAATTAAATTTTCTGTGTTATAGGTGGAGCAGGGTGATGGCCTTCCAACCACAATATGTTATCCTTGCCGCCGTCTTTTAGACGTATCATTCGACTTTAAATGCCAAGTAGAAAAATCGGACGCAAAGCTACGAGAATTTTTAACCTGCAAAGAGACTGTAGATGTAGATACTATGAGCACGTCCTTCACAAAATCGGTCAACGCTGTTATTACGGAAGCTATAGCTGATGAACTACCACATGAAGAAATAGAAGCAGATACCCTTGACGATGAGAGTATTCACATTTCCAACATTATTAACATATCGGAATCTGATACAAGACCCTCCGTCCAAGCTATTGAACATCTTACTGTACAAAACTTTACTAATGACCGTGATACTATCATCTTTGAAATGACTGATGGATGTAATCAGGTGGAGTCTCAAAGTGATACTGTTGAAGTAACTAATTATGAAGATGTAGCTTGTACTGATATCGATGATAAGGAAATTGATTATGAAAAACGTGATATTGCAGAAGATTCAGATATTTTAACTGAAAAAGTAATACAGAATGATGAATCAGGAACAGAAACTGAGCCAGTTAAGCAAGAATTATCATTACCTGAAGAAAGTGAACTCTCTGATGCTGATGATAATTCAGGTTGTGATGTTAGTTTTGAAGACTCAACAGTAAAACCAGAAATTAAGAGTAGTGCATTAGTAGAGAAGGAAAATAGAAAACGATCATTATACATTACAAGTCAAGATACAACAGACGATCGTGAGGCGAAAATTGATGCAGATGACAGCGATGAAGAAGAGAAGCCTTTAATAAATAGAACGCAGCGACAAAAGTGTCCACATTGTATAAAGACGTTTGCGTCAAGATTAGCATTACAGAGACACTTGACTGTACACAAACATAAAACCAAGTTACGATACGTGTGTTACATGTGCGATAAACAATTCTCTAATGTAGCAAAACTAAAAAGTCACATAGGTAATAGCCACGATTCCTCTAAAACTGAAGAAAAATCATCAGCTGATGATATTTCGAGTAAAATATCAGATTCGGAAAAGAGTTTAGAAAAACTTGAAAAGCATGGTAACGTGGCAATGGACATTCAAAAGTCAGACAAGAAAAATTATAAATTTACATGTAAAGTTTGTGCAAAGCAATTCACCTATCAAAAGTCCTTTATCACTCATGCAAGAAGTCATCCCGAGTATAAGCCTGAAATGCTCAATGGAATTAGTGAGCAAACGGGTACCCTGGAAGAATCACAGGAAAGTCGTAACGAATTATCAAGCCCCAAGGCCAATGAATCTGACGACGATGACGACATGCCTTTAGAAGGCTTGCAGTGTACACAGTGTGGTAAATTATTTGCAACCAAAAGAAACCTTAAGAGACATATTTCAACCCACAGTGGTCTTAAATTTAATTGTTCAACTTGTGGTAAAGAATTCTCAAGGGTAGACAAATTAAAAGAACACGAGCAGTCCAAACACAAGGAGGAAATATTTGGCAGGTCGGATGACGATGATGATGACGATACGGATAACGAGAATAAAGCTACTGACGGTTCAGAGAATCGTAAGAAGGTAAATTTCCTATCAATCCTACAGCTAGACATACGAAATAAATACACATCGTCAAGATGCTTGTTTCTATTCATCCCGATAATCATTAATAGTCAGAACATTTATTTCGATTCACAGGAAAAGAACAATAGACCTCATCAGTGTGCTTTGTGTCCAAAAGCATTTGCTCAGCCTCAATCATTAGCCAACCACATGGAGCGACATAAGCGGGTGAAAGACACTCAGAAACGTTTCCTGTGTGAAGTTTGCAGCAAGTGTTTCGCCCAGAGTGGTTCATTGGTCGCGCATATGCGTACTCATACAGGTGTCAAGCCGTACGTGTGCAACGTATGCAGTAGAGCTTTCACTAAAAGCACATATTTGCAATTGCATTTGCGAACCCATAGCGGGGAAAAGCCTTATATATGTCAGTATTGTAGTAGAGCATTCGCGCGCGCTAACACGTTAGCCAGACATATAACAATGCACACTGGCGAAGCCAAGTACCATTGCCAGATATGCATGAAATCGTTCAGACGATTAACATCCCTAAACGAGCATACTTATACTCATACAGGTCAAAGGCCTTACGCATGTAAAATTTGCACCAAGAGATACAACAATGCTGGATCTCTTTATGCGCATACTAAGAAATGTAAGGCCCAGCAAGTATCTGGTGTCGTACCAGCCTATACGGTTTCCGTGGACAATACTACTCATCCAAATGGCGCTCCTGTACCCCAGATGTTAATTTATTCCCAAAGAAAGTTAGTTGAGGAGACTCCAGCAGGACAAGTACCGCCAACTCCTCAATTCATGATCGCAAACGTACATAATCAAAAACCAATGCCTACTAATATTATTCAACCATTTACTGTCGATGATCCAAGTGTTTATACAGTCAATGCCAAACAGTTTAAGAATCCATATTACACAATTTATCCAAACATGTAACACAGCTCGTGCGAATATGTGATACTATGCCTATGAGGATCGTTCATAGTTGCAGTGAAACTACTATTTTAAATCTTTTTTTTTTAAGATGTAACATTGGTACTTTTGATAAAGCATATAATCGGGCCTAATCGTTCAAGATTAACGATGGGCTTGCTGTTCTAAACTCAATGTTAATTTACTCTTGACATTATGTATTTAAATCGCGAATGCATTGCTCGAGGCATTATTTACTTGAGATAAAGGTTTTTTTTCTTTAATGCAGTGGTACTGTAAAATTTATATTACATTTTGTCAATTGCTTGAAGCACTTGCGAACGGCTGTTTAAAGAGAGGTAATAGCAATTTTGTTAGGTAATAGTACTTCGGCGATTGTAAATAGTTTGAAGACAGCATTTGGTCGATTGTTGTAAAGGTACAATGTATGTCACTGATAGCTCACATATGGCGTGTGTATACGGAGACAAATTTATATTAATACGAACACAATCTTATTTTATAATAAAGTTTTTTACAAACATTATAATATCGCATTTAATTCATGTATAATTGTCTTTAAATATTTTTGAAATTACTTTTAATAAATATATGTATATGACTGCAGACATGCGTCCTAGGCTTATGAACAGAAGCAGTTTGACAGGAAAAGGTAAGTATAGGTTAGGTTTGTTTATTATGTTAAAAAATGTAAGTAAACGTGGCATTATCGTAGATCAAATTGAATAAGTAATAAGAACAAGGAAGAATGGCAAATATTCCAATATTTCAATACGATTCAAACGATTTTCACTATATAATTGATGACAGCAATAGAGACGCTTCGAACTTTGATTCTTTGTTAAAAGAAAAATGGGAGCAAGCTGAAAAGAACGGTATTCTTCGTTATAAGTTAAATATCAAAGAATGGAAAATATTAGAAGGACAATATCGATTTCTAGCTCAGGTAATTTTATTATCATTTTTCAATATCATGTTAGTTATATTTTAACTAATTTATAAATATGTTAGCTGAACACAGACAGAGCTTTGAACAGACGACAACCAGAAGATATTTCATCCATGAATCAATCGTTTGACCCGGGCCGTTTCAATTTTACTAAAATTTCTGAGAAGGAAATATATTTTTATGTAGGAAGTGAAGATGGTAATGATGCGATTGTAGTAAATATCAGTCCAATCGAATGGGGCCACTGCTTATTTATACCAGAAAGATTTAAATGCTTACCACAGAGAATAACAAAGTATAGCCTGAACAAAATCATTGAGTTAATGCTTCTGAGCAATTCACCGTAAATATGATAAACTATTCATGATATCTTTTAACAACATTATACACTTTTTATCAAGAGACATTAATTTTTGATTTTATAATTTCAGATATCTACGCGCAGTTTTTAACAGTTTATGCGCACATGCATCCGTTAATCATTTGCATTGGCATTTGTATTATTTGAAACATCAGATGCTTCTGGAGTATATCGTAAGGAAAATAATACAAATTATGTTTCTAATTTTTCTTAAATCCAAAAACATAATAATTACATTCTTGTTTCAGGGTCTTCAACAATTAGCAGGACCAATATTTTGCTTGACAGATTTCCCATCTAAAGGATTTTGTTTGAAACTATCCTTTTTTCCAGGAAATAATATTTATAAATTAGTTGAATGGGCGTATAAGATTGTTGATTATTTACAGGAAAGCGAAATCGCCCATAATGTCTACATCACGAGAGCGAAAATGGAAAGCAAAGATAAGGAGTATAATGATTTAAGAGTGTACATTTGGGGAAGAAACAGCAGTATTGGTATCAAGGATACCAGATCCTTTGTTCCAGCAGTGTGTGAACTATTTGGACATTTATCGATAAGATGTTAGTAGCTATATCAATGCAGTTTAGTTATTTATATAATGGCCATCGTGTAAAGGATTCATTGTTCTGCTTCAGCTGAACAGTCTTATCAGAACATAACTGAGGATGAAGTAGCTGCAACTGTAAACCAAGTTTGTTCCAGTAAATTTAATGCAGTTAAGGAAAAAATACGTAAATTAGCTGTGAACAATACTATGTCAGAAGAGCCAAGTGATATATTACTTATACACAAAAAATGAGTAGTAAATAATTGTATGATAAGAACTGTATATAATTAGAAGTGTTAACGAATATAGATAAATCAATTTTATTTTTCTCCTAATGAAATCTGTTTTTTTATTATTAACCATCACTGTTGATATTAACGGTAGACAATAATATTTCTAAACATCCTCTAAAAAAGTATATTTCATTACACATTTTGGAATCTGAAAAGCTTCGTCAGACGTCGTTATCAAGAATCTGTCCTGATTACGAAAAATTTCATTAAGGCCGTAGAACGAAATTTTCAAGCTAAATGCAAAAGCGCTTTGACGAATGATATTGAATAAAACGCGATTTTCAATCTAATTCAATTACACATCCCTAAATTAAAGAATTTCCTCGTACATCAATTGATTTTCTATGGCAACGCCTGTGTAAACAGTTTCCATATTTGTGCATTTCTTATGCCAGATGATTTCAATTTATATGAAAAGCACGTAAATATTAAATATACAATGGACGATACCGATGAAGATATAGAAAACGTAGAAAATCTTCCAGAAGATCCGGAGTCAAATATACGGGTATCTGAAACTAGTGCCATTGCGACGCGAAGTGAAATATTTACAACTGAAACAAGTAATTTATACCATAAAAAAAGCTCGAATTCACAGTAAAACATTTCGGTTATTTGGACAATAAAAGTGATTCACTTTAGGTACTGAATTTCAAGATGAAATAGAATCTCATGAGGACAAGCAAGATATTCCTCCTATTCATTACGACAGCCAGGATTATATTTCCGGTCCTCAACGAACAGAAAATGGAACAGTACCAATGAACATTTTAGAATTTCAGTATCCTTTCTCGACTTACGATACTAATATCTACTTGTGCATTGATCCTTAATAAAAATTAGTCATTCCTACGCATACGATTGTCAAAAACATTTTAATCTCTGCGTGGCAGATCCGGATACAATTATATTTGCATCAGGGAACTTAATTAATTTTTTTAATTTCTCCGAGAATAAACTATGGTTCAGACGTGGATCCACAGGAGGTGGAATTGGACATATTACAGTAAGTTATTATAAAGTAAAATTTCAACTGCTTTAATTCTTACGCAATCTTTGTTTTGTACCAGAAAAATCCAACTTTCAATCACATCGCTGTCGGAGAGAATGGGATTAACCCACCTATTATAATTTATGAATGGCCAAATTTGGAAATTGTTACAATACTGTATGAAGGCACTACAAGATCATATTCTCATTTAGCATACAGGTAATGAAAATTGATACAAGTATATCGTTCCTGTCTTCTTATGGAGTAGCATTGAAATACTAAGCTGATAATTATTTACAGTCCAGATGGCTTATTGATGGTTTCCCAAGGAGGAGATCCTGATTATCTAATCACAGTGTGGGATTGGCAAAAGTCAAAAATTATGCTCCGATGTAAATCTTCTGGTCAAGATGTTTTTAACGTTATGTTCTCTCCCACGGTTGAGGGACACTTAACGTCCTGTGGCTCAGGACATATAAAATTTTGGAAAATGGCTGAAACTTTTACTGGACTCAAACTAAAGGGTGAACTGGGTCGATTTGGAAAGACGGAAATATCGGATATAAGCGGAGTTTATCCAATGCCAGACGAGAAGGTATCAATAATATATAAAATTAACAGACCACCAAGAGATGTAATTACACAGAATTGTAACGCTCTGTAAAACTTTTAGGTCGTATCTGGATGCGAATGGGGTAATATTTTATTATGGGACGAAGGACTGATTAAGCTAGAAGTATGTAAAAAGAACAAAAAACCCTGTCACGATAAACAAATAACCCAATTCGAGTACAATAATGGTGAATTGACATCCGTAGGTAAGAAAATAACTACAAATAGTACATTTTTATCCATAATTGAATACTAAAGTAAACTTATATACATTGCAATTGCACAGGAATGGATGGATGGATACGAATTTGGTTTTACGAAACAATCGATCAAGCCGATCCGCCAGAAGGGGATCAATTTCTCGAAATAGAACCGATTTATGAGTTTCATATTACTGAAGAAGATGAAGATGACTATGACGCTGAACAAAGTTCCATGTTAATGTGTATTCAAAAACAGAACATTGAGGATGCTGAAGAAAATTTTTGGTATGCTCAAGTATGTATCTATTGTCCTAAGCACAGTGGGAACTTGAAACCCTATTAACAATTATTACTTCTTATTATTTTAATTTAGGATGGTAATGGCGGACTATGGCTAATCGATCTAAATACTTTTGAAACGCCTGAAAGACCCAGAAAGATTTTTACTTGCCATGCGGGTCCTATAACTGATATGGATGTTGCAACTTGGGGACCCTTTGTAGCGACCATTGGAAGGGACGCACATCTTCACATTTATAATTACTTTGATAAGACCCTAATTTTAGTTCACAAATTTTGTGACATCGGCAGCAAAGTCGTTTGGTTCCCATGCGGGGTAAGAAAACTTCATGTTATCAGATTTAACGATACAAACGTCATAATTTATCATCTTGCAGGTGGAAGCTACAGGATGCACACTTGTCTGCGCCTTTAGCAGTGGAATTATTCGTATGATTACAGTGTCTATTTTACAAGCCAATAGAACGAAGAAAATAAAAGGCGATTACGTTAGATTAATACAAGTCGTTAGGCCCCACAAAATGCCTATTACGTCAATGTCATTGAACAATACTCACAGGTAAGTAAAATATCTTTCCTTGAAATATTGTTGATTATCGTATAATAATTTGTATTGCAGTTTGCTTGTAACTGGAAGTGAAGATGACACGATATTTGTATTTTTCGTTAATACCACTGCAACATATCCCATTCTTGTACCTATTGGATTCGTTAAAGTGCCTTCTCCAGTCACTTGTATGACATGGAAGCCAAATCATGTAAGTGTATAATTCATTCAATCTATTACAAGACAAATTAATTATTCACTTACACAGGATATGACAATTCTGGTTGGATGTTTAAGAGGAGACTGCGTAGAAGTAACTTTACCAGACGTTCCACAAAATTATACAAAAATGTCCTACGAACTTGTTCGTTGTGAACTCAGAATATTTAAGTTCCAATCTGTTAAATCAGCTATAAGGAGAGCATTGATCCAGGCTGAAATTCAAAAGAAAAAGGAAGAGAAGTTGGCAAAGAAAAAACAAGCACTAGAACAACTACGTGTTGACAATCCTGGAATTGACATCGATGAGGAAGCTTTTCTCAGTAATTAACATTAGAGAATGCAATGAAATTCAAAAGTTCCAAGGTGATCATGTTAACTCATTGTAATTTACAGTGGACTCTGAGGAGGAGCCTGTACTTCCAGAGATTTATATACCAAAAATCCCAAATCGTGTTTTAATGGTGAATTATACACCCAGTGGAACAATCTGGCTATCTATGAGTGGATTTGATGCTGGCTATATTTATGAATATCCAGACCCATTACCTGGCAATTATATAAACAGGAAACCCACGAAAAGCACCATGGTGTATGCTGCTGATGATACAGAAATAAATAGCTGTCTCTTCTAGTATGTCAAATATAATATATATGCAGTTTCGTTATAACAATTTGATATCGAAATTCAAATTTTCTCCATTCATAGTAAAAACAGGAAATACTTATTTTTGGGTATGGAACACGGTGAGATACGAATATGCCGTGTAAACCCAGAGGATCACACAGACTTTTCTGATTATTGGATACTTTCTATGCATGATAACTACAATGGATATATTCCTAAAATATTACTCAGCCATGATCAGAAAATGCTTTTAACGTGCGGACACGATGGGAATTTGTTTTCATTTCTAATAAACGATGATACTCCACCTTTAACATTTCATATACCAAGAGCGAAGGAACCATTACTACTGGTAGAGCAATAACCCATGATAGCAAACGGTTCTTATTATTTGAAATTTTATTATACGATTAATGTTTAACGAATAGCCCAATGTTAACGTCGAGGATATTGAGGAACCCGATTATCCAAGTTTGGAGGAAGTCATTGTGAAAGCAGAATACAACAGGATTATGACTGTTGCTAAGCATAAAAAAGATCGTACTCTTGACGTTTTACGCGAATTGGCTGAAGAATTTGGCAGAATTATGGAAAGGTAATATAGCCACATTTAAGAGTGCACGATAGATAATATTGATAGATACTTTCTTGTTAAGTAATCGCTATCTAGTCAAGTCTCAACAAATACCGCAAGAGGAATTTGAGTTGGATCCGAGAATTACGGAAGATTTAAATGAACAACTCAAAGCGGAAATGAATTTAGTACACAAGAAGTTAGCTTTCAAAGTAGAGAAGAGTAAGCTGGGACTTAAGAAATTAATGGATCACTTTATTGAGCCTATCACGTGCTTACCGTTTGCAGTGCGCAGAATACTGTGAGACTTTGTACACGTAATATTAATGTTACATTGTTTTAGCAAAATTATAATTTTTTTTTTATATTAGAAAACCTGACACAATGGTGAACTCACTCAGAGAGCGAAAGCTAGGAGATGAATTTACAGCGACTCTTGATGAAGTTACAAGACGTATTGAGGATAGAGAAAAAGCAGGCAGGTAACTTTCGATTTTAAGCACGAATCAATATTTTGACATTTGTAAACTGACAATCACATAAATAATTTAGTATGTTGCTAATTGTCTAACTTTTAATATGGCTATTAATTTTTACCCATAAGAAGCGGAATTGCAGCGTAACGTAAATGCAAAGGAATGTCAAAATCGAAATGATCAAATAGCAAAAGAGTATGGTCTTTAGAAAAAATTGGGAATGCTTGCATGCCTTAGAGTTATATTTATCCTCATTGTAATTAATGTTACTGCCTTATGTCTCAACCAATGAATGTTTATAGAATGGTAGAAGTGAAGTCCCTTCAGGAAGAAGAAGAAGATGAAGAGAAGCAAAAAGTACAAGGAATTGAGAGTTTTCTCAAAGGTCTTAGTCCATCAACAATTCAGTATCGATTGGGAGTAAAAATTAATCACATGCTAAGAAAATACAGATCTAGAAAGGCAAGAATGGAAGAGCGTTACAACGAGGTACAGTCTAAAATTCATTTTCATTGCCACTAACCAAAGAATATGACATAATATCTTTCCAGTGGAAAGTTATGAACGCCAGTAAACCAGATCCAAGTGTAAATCATCCGGATGATGTACTGGCAATTGAAGAAGCGAAAGAGACAATTGGCAATTATAAGCTAAAGATTTCTCCAGACTTTAATCCACCTAAAGGAAAACGTGAAAATACTTTGACAAAGTACAAGCAATTTCTGAACTCTCGAAAAAGGGTATGAATAAAAATCCTGATGGTCTCTGATCATTCCCTTTTATGTTTTCATTAACCAATCAGGCACATCACATGCGAGAAGACTTCAACTCCAAGCTACGTGAAGTAAGAAGCAAAAAGGTGGCACTGTTCAATGAAGTAATCGAATTGGTAATGAAACTAAAAGAAATTCACTCTGAGATACCTGAGGAACGAACGAAGCCTCTGCCAATAATTCCAGTAATTGATCAAAACATTGAATTTCCTGAAAAAAATTTAGAGGTAAATCATACAGTAGATACTATTTTAAAGGGCAATCACAATAACTCACTGTTGCTACTTTTCAGCTTGAAAAATACACATCAATGGCAGAACGCGTGAAAGAAGCAAAACGAAAGAAAAAATCATTCATCGCTGAGATCGTAGTTAGTCCTAACGATGAGGAGTATGAAGTATTATTATTTGATGAGAAATCGATATACATCGGCGATGACGATATGCAGTCTACAGTGGCATCAGTGGTCCCTGAAACAAAATATAGCGTCACAAATGCAATATCTGGGGATGTTCTTCAAACTCTGAATATGAGTGATCACATCGAAACACCCTGTGAACGAGAAATGAAACGAGCTCGTGTTATGCGTAAGATTTATGAACAAGATTCTATATTAAGACATATTCATGAGAGTTACGAAATACTGGACAATCAATTGGATGAGCTTGAACGTGAAAGACTTGAAATTGTTGCGGAAAGTGTGTATATGGATCTTTATATGTTAACGTTACATCAAGAACTGATTATTCTTAAGGAATTTGAAGCAATGGAAAATACATTGGAAGAAAAGGTTAACGAAAAATTAAAGGAGAGGGCTACTGCAAAGCAAAAGGTTTCCGAGCCACTGTACCCTAATCTGTAGTTAAAATAACAAATAACATAGCTTTCGTTATTAACATCATGTTTTAGATGCAAGCCATGAATATTAAGATTGAACAAAAAATTCGAGAGATTGCAAAAATCCAAGAGAAAATAAAAGATGTATTTTCTGAGTACATGAGTATGATTAATGAGAATAGGTTTTATGAATTTTTACGAAGAATCTTCAAGAAGAAATATAAACCACCGAAGACTGACGATGGTGCAAGATTATGTTTTGATCTGTAGAAATTTCATGTTGTTGATTGATATTTAAATTTGTCTAAAATATATTTTCATTCGCAAATTAGAATCTTCTGCGTCCTCATCATCCACCACGGAATCCAGTACTGACGATGACGAGGCAGGCAGCATTGACAGTCGCGAAATAGGTCCTATTCATGTTGACGAAAATATATGTCCACTTGGTTGCGATAAGGAATTATATGCAATGGCGTTTTCAATGCGGGAAAGACGTTACGAGTATGAGTTACAAGTTAAGGAGGAGCAGAAGTCAATTGAGCTTCTTCGCAAGGAGATTGAAAATGATACTAAAAAGATGAAAGCGATTGAGAACAACTTGAAATATAATCAAGATGAATTGGAAGCTTTTATGGTAAAAAAAAGTGTAATTCTATTAACAGTATAGGCATGATTTATGAAATTTATGTTAACAGCGTGAGAAGCAACGTAAGCTAAATGACATTGATATCACTGTGATTTTGAAATTTCATCAACTTCAACATTTTACTGGTTCAAGTACCGTAGCTCAGATACAAGACTGCACCGTTTTTGACAAAGAAAAATTATCGCATTTATATGCGAGAGTCGAAGAATTGCAAAAAGAGACGTCTGATCAGAAAGCAAAGCATAAGTATGCATTTGGTCTACTGCACATGTGAAATGCATCATTGTAATTAATGGGACTTTTTTTTTCTATATTTATATTTTTATTCTATAGGAAAAATCGAATGCATCTTCACAGAATGAATGTAGACTGTAAGCATATGGAACTTGAGATTAAAAAGTTAAAGGACAATATAAAAGAAGAGATGATGAAGAAGTTTGGACAGGAGATATCTTTGAATGCATTATATGAAGCTGTACTGCGCCGCATGGTTTATGATATTAAAGTTAATATAAATGGGATGATAAGTTCCTTCGAGAAAGAAATTAATTGTAAATGATAATTGTGACCATTTATTTTAGACGGATTGAAGCAATTCATAATTTAACAAACGTTTGTTATTTTAGCTGTTAAAGAAGCATATGCCGAGCGGGTGAATATTTTGGAGAATCTTATTCAGGATAATACAGAGAAATTGAATCTTTTGACAGTTTTGGAAGAAGAGAAGTCAAAATTACGAAAAATTTTGAAACACGTACCTATGACTGAGGTAAACATAAGTATACGAATATTCAGTTCCATAATACCAGCTAATATATCAAAAATATATTAAATACGATTTCAGGAAGAAATAGAACTAAGTAAATTGACATATCAAAATGATATATCAAAACTAAAATCCATTCTGAAGAGTCAAATGCATCAAAAAGAATTATTTCGTAACGAAATTCGAAATTTGAGCCTCAAATCAAGACCTTTACCACCAATTTGCTCCAAAAAGAAGTCTCAAAAGATTAGAACAGAACCACATGAAGATGAACAAATATTAGCGGTCATCGACATTAAGACAGGAGATGGTTATACTATTGATAAAACTCAAGTAAAAATTAAAGGCATGTGTAGCATATCTATCTATATTAGCAACCCGGGGAAAAAATGGTCATATATGTTTAGATATAAATATAATTTTTTAAATCAATTAGTAGATGATGTGGAATCTAATGATTATATCGAAGAGGAGGTGGAACTGTCTGACGAAGAAAAAGAAGCAGAGGATGATACAAAGGAAAGAGAAATAACAGATTTCAGTTCTAGTGAAAACACAGCAATGATGGTTAGTATTTTTGAAGAGAGCTCTAAGAATTATATTACTTTCATAATAATACCGAATCTACAGATTCATCGTCTTTTATCTCGCATCATTGAAATGTCTCTGGGCGATGAACAAGCGGAAGAAAGTACACAAGAGATTTTAAACGAAGTCATATCAAATTTACCAATCAATGGCAATCATGATGATTTGGAAGCAGGAATTGAGCGAAGCGTGGAAAATATTGTAGCAATGTTGCCACAGGGAAATCCGGAACGAATGGAAGCCATGCGTCAAGCAGTGCGGGAGAGCCTGAGTGATATAATAATTCGGTGTGATTAAATAATCGTATAACAAAAAATTGATATAATCTATTATATAACAAAATATTTTATTATTACAGTTTAGATTCTGAATCCAAACAAATTAAATCAGATGATACAGACCCTGATGCGAAAGTCAAAAGTAAAATTAACGAGTTGCTGGAAAATGTGGGAATAGAAACAGAGAACATGCAAATACAAAATGAATTAGTACAACTGATAAAAAATGGCCAAGGTGTAGATGCCGTAATGGAATGGTTATCAGATAAATTACCAGTAAACATGAATGAGGAAAGTAAAAAAACTGCACAAGAATATGCCATGGTTACATTAGCAGAGATTACTGAACAAATCATTATGAGTGAAGAACCTGTATCGGTGCAGGTAATAGTCAGTATAGATTATATTAAAAGTAATGAAGTACACACTAATTTTTTTTAATTTCTAATAGGCTGAGGAAGTTGAAGAAAATATTGTCTCAACTGAAAATCAGTCAGTAAAAGATGATATGAGCGTGGATTAGTCTTTAAGTACGAACAGTAGAAATATAGCTGGAATTGTTTTATGAGTTGAACATTAACTAGATAGTTGTCATTAGAAATTCCAAATACGAATAATGTGTTTTATGCAATGATTCATGTATTTAAATATAACAATATTCTGATTTGATTCAGTAAGCTGTACGACAGCACTATATTAAAAAAAAAAAAACTGTAACAAACTGATATTCATTTGAAAACAGTGTTTTATGTTTGGCAACTATTTCCCTCTGGGAACTTGAAGTATTCTTATTCATACAATTTACACTCATAATAATAAGTTATATTTAACGTGCAGGCTTTCTAATTGTGTTTATAAGTAATTTATGTAAGTCGTAATCTTAATTAATTATTAAAATAAGAACAGTATTGTTTTGTTGCATCATTCAATATTCGGAATCAATCTTTTGTCAAAGAGACATGTGCAATTTTCCAAAGCACATTTGAACTTATCGCAGTTAAAGAACAAGATCGATATAATAGTTAGATGTCAACAATCTGGCATTGAACATTCGGTAGTACTAAAGTGTTTATTTTATATCCCACCATAAAGTACTTGATGAACTGGAGTACAAATAAAAATATTGAATCACTTTACTTGTACTTCCTTCACAATACAGAACTTCCATCGAACGGAACGTGGGGATCCCGTACAGATTAAGTCAATGATAATAAAGTCCACATTCAGATCATGTCACTGTTTCTTGAAGCTTTTGAGAATAGGATATATGTTATCAAAAGCCTCATAGATTTCCTGTCTTACTTTAGCACCTGTAAATAGACATAACATATAGATGTCTGGCAAACAAAATAAATATAAACATTCCAAGTCATGAAAATATATAATTATTATTTACCGGTGAGCACGACTTTGCCAGATACGAATATTAGTAGCACAATACGTGGTTTAACCATTCGGTAAATAAGTCCAGGGAATAATTCTGGTTCGTATGAAGAGAACTGACCATGAGTTAATACCAATCCTTCTAATCTAATTGGAAATTTAACGTCACAGCTGCCTACCATATTTTGAATTTTGAAGTCCAAGAATTTAGCCTTAAATAATAATGATGCTTAGTTGAAAACTTCATGATATAATGTAATAAATAGTGTGAGAGACACTAACCGGAAAACCAAGCTTCTGTATGATACGCGCATACTTCCTAGCAGCAAGGCGAGAATCCTCTTCACTTTTTGCACCAGTACAAACCATTTTTCCACTACTAAATATAAGGGCAGTCGTTCGGGGTTCTCGAATTCGCATAATTACCGCAGCAAATCGCTTCGGATTATATTCTGCATTTCTTGCATGAAGAGCAATTTTCTTTAGATCCAATTTGCAATTCAAATTTACTGTCGATACGATATTCCTAGTAAATAATGGATACTGTTTAGGCAGATTAATTAATTATATAAACAATGAGTGACAAATTTATTACTCAACTCACTGTAATTGGGGCAAAATTCCTGGATCTGCAGAAGCTGGTGTCATAGGAGTCATTGGTCCTGGTGTTGAAGGGCATATCGATGGTGGAGCAATTTGGCTTGCAGGTTGTACCATAGGAGACATCATGTTTTGCTACAATAATAGTATTGAAGATGGATATACATAGAAATAAGAAGAGTCAATAAAGCTTAACAGTTACAATATTCAAAGTTACCGGAGTCTGAGGTTGCATTAAACTCTGTGGCGTAGCAAACGCTAGAGTTGGTGCATATGTATGCATTTGCTTGTGTGGAGTGTTCATCAGTATTCCAGTTTGCCCGGCAGAATTCATTGAATGCATAGGTTGCACCTGATATGGTTGTGAGGGTTGTTGTTGTTGTTGCTGCTGTTGCTGAAGAGCATTGGGTAAAATTTGCTGATCTTCTTCAGGCTGATGTAAAGGCGTTCCTATACTAGGGATACTGAATCCAGGACTTGGAAGCATCTGATCCATCTTGACTATTTGAAGAATACTTCTACGTTGCTTTGAATATTACTCCTTGCTCTTTGTTAGACTTCAGTTTAAGGCACTGTATGTCAATTACAAAATTCTTGCATTAAAGCACTTGGGCTTGCACATTTATTATTTATATTTTTACTGTTAGAATAAACATAAATACTATTCAAATAATACTTTGTACAGTAGTTTTCTATTGTATACTGTTTAACATTAAACGTGTGTTTTACACAGAATGCAAAATGTGTTTCTTTCATTCACTGCAATTGATAACAGGCACTGTGTCCCTCCATAAAGACATTGCAATTTTCTATAAAACAAAAGTAAACCGTACACATTTAACAAGACCTGTTTTTGTTTATGATGGACAAACTTAGTACTCGCGAATTTGTATGAATGGTCAACCGCCTATGAATACTTGAGACTCAACAGGTTATAAGTTTACAAATTAAAGTCTCATTTACACTATCACATACACTTGCTGCTTTAACTGTAACAGCTATAAGTAAATTTTCATTCAATGTTTTTCACTGAACATTTTAGATTAAAAAATGGACAACGTTACATATTTTTTTGAATTAACTCTGTCTCTGCTGAAGTTTTCTCTGCACAAATGTTATCACAAATATACGTGGGTGACATGTGCGGAAGTTTTCGAACTTACAGTTATCACTTTGTAAACCCGTCCTAATACTATGAGCAAGTATGTATGTCACATAGAAATTAAGTTATCTATAAAAATAATCATAGAGTTAAGCCATAATAGGTACTATTATTGTAAAATATACTATTTGTCTTGATTGAGGTCAAATTTTCACCAAATTTTGATTATTGAAATAGTTGTAATTCAAAGATCAAAGTATTCCCTCTAACTATAATATATGCTTTTAGGATTACAATACAATGCTCGTAGGCGCCATTTAACCAGACTGGCAGATTATGATTATATAAAAGTCCTACGACATTTTATTCACGTTTACGTGAGGTTAAACGTGGGATAAACACCTGCTCAGTTGAGAAAAGATAGAAATATTATTATAATTTTATATTTGAAGAAAAAAACCAGTTATTTAATATGGCTGACGATGATGAATCAAAACCTGTCATGTTATTCGGAAGAGATATTTCGAAGATTCCATGTTTCCGAAGCAGTTTCCTTTACGGAATAACGAGCGGTGTTGTTGGAGGTATGACAATGTTTTTGTTCACAAGTAGACCAAAATTATCGTGCGATGCAGCAGTTGGAACATTTGTCTCCGTTACGTTATTCTACTGGATATATTGTCGTCACAATTGGGTACACCAAAAATTTGATGCGGGCCAAGTGCAAAGTGCATTACGTCGAGCGAACACTTTGGAACGTCCCCAAAGAGAAAAAGAATTTTCGGAGAAGAAACCCACGCTTGTTGACGCATAAACAATCGGCTGACAAATCTATATTCTTTATTCATTAATGTGCAAATCTATTCGCTAAACCCTCTACCACTGAATAGTGTAATTGTCGTACTGTAATTAGCTGTATTTATAAATAAATATGTTCATAATATCTCAGAAAAAATATCTTACTTGTTTTCAACGTTATTTAATATTATTATATCATTTGATCAATCTGAATCCATACATTTTTTTAAAAGTCAAATGACATTTACGGACAATACCGGCAAATTTAAGTAAACAATTTCTTGAATAGTATGGTATGACATCAGGTATGTATAGAATTTTCTAATAGAGAATTTAATTTGCAACATAAATCAGCACTGTACACAAGAATTTCAGAGGAATATCGATCGCCGCAGTTTTACCGTTCATGCAGAGCGGCGAGTGTTGATTGTCTGGTTGTGATTGCATGAATGGTGATATTTTGAAAAAAGTATTGTTCTTAGCGTTAACGTTATTATTTATCTACTTAATTGATTAATGTGATCGACTATCATTCATTAGTAATGTAATTGTTCTTATCGCGCAAAGGTAAGCACTAACCTTCACTACTGAAAATGTAGTATCCAGTACTGGTTGTAACACTGAATGTGCTCACTTAAAGCTGAATTATCTTCCTTTATTTTAAAAGAGAATATATTTCAATAGAAACTGAAAAATGAATTATCTAAAACTAATTGAATTTTTATATGCTACTTGTAAATGTCTATTAATTTTTTTATATGTATTTTAATAATTCTTATTTCTTTTTAGACACTCGATAACATAATTGCCACGATGCTTTCCAGACACAAGCAAACAGTATCTAAACATAAAATATTTTATCGATATAGTTTCTTTATATTAATACTTCTGTGTATGTTATTAGCATCAATACGACCAAATTTTGGCGGAGCAAATGGTATAAAATCATGTCATAAGCAATATTCATTGTTCATACACTTTCAAAATATTTCTATAAAACAAAACATCTTTTACAGGTGTTATCAATGGCAATATAGTGGTGTGGTATTTTGCAGTGCCTTTGACGTACTTAGAAGCAGGACTGTTATGTAGTCCTAAATCACTTTACATGGCAATGAGTGATGGATATCTTTTGATATTTGTATTAAGCTTCATATACATTTTAATGCCACTGCTAGCCCGAGTTGCAAGTTGCCTGTTAACATATGCCAGGGTTAATGTGTGGCTCCTCAAAGGGATGGAAGTAAATACATGAAAATGCACACACCTGCGACATATACTATGCACTAATTGGTATAAAAAGCTATGCACATTTCTATCTGTGTGTATTCTCCCAGTAAGAATAGACTAAACAATGTTACAAATTTCATCTGAATTATGAGTATCTCCCAAAGATTGTTACAAATTGTTTATATTTGCAGATTCTCATTTCTACTTAGATATCTTAAAGAAATTGTTATCTGTCGCAGTTCATCTTCATTTAATAAATATCTCTATTGTACGTATTGCAATTTCAGGTACTCTACTGTATGCCACCACCTTTCACCACAAGTCTTGCCCTAAGCCGATTAGCAGACGCCGATTTGCCTACAAGCGTCGTTACAACTTTAGTGTCTCATTTTTTTGGGCTATTTATCTCGCCGGTTTTACTTTATTTCATGGTAACAACATAAGAATAATCTAAGTAATTATATAAATATATCTTATGTATAATAATTATTTATTAAAGTTAGGTGCATCGACACCACCACTGGTTGGTGTGAATATTAGAGAAGCCATATACAGTACCCTGATGCCGTTGAGTGTCGGCATCCTTCTGCAACTATCTAACGAGAAGTGTAACTCCTGTTTTGGTATCCGGACAGAATGGCTTTCTCAAGGATTATTATTACTCACAGCCTACCATTCATTCTGTGATGCTATATCAGCGGACGCATCTTCCTTGCAAGCCGTTGACATACTACTTTGCATACTGATCAGTGAGTTCTAATGGATACCTAAAAACTGCAAGTTTAACAAACCACTTTCATAATGTACTCTGAAAGCACTTTATCTTCAAGCTTGTCTTGGGCAAATGTTGGTAGTCGGTCTATGGTGGATATTATGCTCGCGCTGGTTACCACGAAGAATATTATTAGCGGCATTATTCACCAGTACTCATAAATCCATTGGCCTTGGAGGGTGGTTACTACGCGGTGCTTATCATGGCTCAGCCCATGGACCAGCTGTCAATTTACCAGTATCCGTATTACCTGTAGCACAACTTTTGCTGGGAAGTTTATTAGCCAGCTGGTTGAGCCCTTGACGTCGGGTACATAACATTGCTTTTGCAAAGAAAGTGCCTCAAACGGATATAACGCAACGGACTCTGGAACCTCTAGAATCGGTAGTGTGTAGTCCAACAACAAATTTACTACCGTAAAAGCTCCTCTAGTTAGTTATAAAATGAACTGTTTGCTAATTCCAAAGATATAGTATTAGGGACAAGCTCAATCGTAAGGTAGTACGGTAAAAAAAGAATTAGCTACCATGACTTCCAAAATTCTTAACGTATAATATAAAAAAGCTCGAATATCTTAAACAATACAGGAATTTAAATTCTTTGCAAATAGTAAGCATGGGAGCAATTGATAATACAATATTATCATATGGAAATTATCAAATAGAATATTTGGTTACTTAATTGATTCGCAAAAAAGTACGTTTATACCAGGATATTGGAACATGTAATCGCTATTATTTTTCTTATTCAAACGGAATAAGAAAAGTAATAGGATAAATAAACAAAGAAAAAGATATCTAAATATTTTGCTTAAACTTAAACAAGTCATTCATTATTGATCTTTTCTCTGTATACTACATTTAATAAGCCATGCAATTTAGCGTGCTTAGAAATACGAGATAGGCTAACCTAACCTACTCATCTCTGTTTTAGATAGAATGTCTCGATTGAACTACGCCTAAATAATATTAAACTGATTATTCGTTTTGTTCTAATACCCGTTCGAAAATAGAGTAATCAATTTAACGTTAAATGCTAGATTAGCCTTGTTAACTAATATTTGAAAGTTAGTATTGGAGTCTTCAAATTTTATAAATATGTATTGCTAGAAGAGATAATCAATTCAATATGTATACCAATCAGTTATTTATACAAAATTGATCTAGGAAGATTTAATGAATTCAACTTTTAAGTAGGAAAGAAAAAGTGATAACTGACTGTGAGAAATATTCGTGTGTACTTTGGAGAAAATAAGGAACACGTTTTAAAATGGCAATATATAATAGTGATATTATACTTACCCTCGCGTTACATGAAGTATTGTATACTTTAGAATGATATTATTTATGTGGTATATCATAAAAATAAAACTGTATGAGTTACTTATTCGAAATTGTTTAGTTATCTTTGTTTCTTCATATATGTTACGAAATAAAAATAAAAATCATACATCGTAACGTACATCTTTTCAAGAACCATTTTCAGATAGTACACTGCATGAAAATGCGAAATCTATTACAACACATCGAGCGTCATACGTAGGATCTCGCTAATGAATTAAATAATAAACTAATCGCCTTGTACAAATTATAAATAAGTCTCTAAACTTTGCGCTCGCGAAATTCTTAATATTATAGACTCCTACTTAATCTAATGTTGACTACAATCTCTTGAGTCTTAAAATTGTTATGACAAGGACGTAATTCTGCGTACGAAATAAAAGGACTTCAAGTCAGAACAAGGATTCGATTTTTTTTCCCATACAAAACATAGCGATTTTATTCTACAAATAATGGGATAATTTTGGTTAGTTGTTTTCTGAAAACTTGCATAGTGGTTGTCTATTTGTGATGCGCAATTTGACACAGTATCGTTTTATACTGTTATGGTGCGCATAGTATATTTAATATAACAAATAGTATAACACTCATAATAACAGTTGATGCGTTCGCAACTTGATTCTTTCGTTAAAACCATAGCGTCGAATTCATCAAGCGTCGGTGCAGTGATAGCGCAAGTGCTCAATGTACACTGACTTGCCCAGACGGTGCCGTTGTGACTCAATCTTGTACGAAACTGCTGTCACAAGTGGCGATGACGCTGCTATCGTCGCCAGCTACGAGGCTCGCCGTCTTCCTCTTCCTCCTCTTCATTTTCTTCAAGCAGAAGAGCTTCCGCGGCGCCCTAGATGAACATATTCTATTTTCAAAAATAACAAAATCCTTCGATTTGCAGAACAAACAGTTCAGCTATTGCATTACAGTAACCAGGAATAATTAGCGTTGGAAAATCGATACTGTTGACAAATATATCATAATATAATCCAAAAAACCATCAATTAGTAATTTTCATAAATAATTGTGACTAATTTAATAGTACCTCTAGATCAATTTCCTCATCGGTGGTAGGTGGTGCTTGTTCGGAGCGTGTAGATTGCGGTGCAGAAGCTCCGGAATTCGTCCCGCCACCGCCACCACGATGGAGATGATGTCCGGAAACCCAGGTCACCGATAGCAGTCTATCTTGAAAAGTACGACCTTTCACCAACGCAACCTCCGCCTCTTTCCTTGACTTGAAGTTGATTACAATAGAAGGTGTAGCGTCATCTACTATTTGATTCACTATCTCTCCGAATTGCTGCACAGACGGAAAATAGCAAAATTCAAATCACATAAAACAGCAGGTTGCAGTTGAACTACTATTCACGTCATATTCATAAAATAAAAATAATGCTGATAAACACCACATCATACCTGAAAGTGGGCTAACACTTCTTCCTTCTCCTCTGTCTCATATCCAGATACTAGAAGACTCGTAGGTCTATGGTCCACAGAAACATGAGCAAAGTTTCCTCTACCACGTCCACGAAATGATAAAGTGTGTCCACCGCGTATGACTCGGGTAGGCCTTGCACCTCTGCCAGCACCAGCTGAAGCATTAAGACCTAACGCAGCGGCTTGAGCTTTTAATTCGTTTAACCTTTTCTGGAGTTCTCCAGCGTCCTGACCCTCTTGCTGAGCCGTCATAAGATCCAATTCGGCATCAAGGATCTCCTTTTGTGTCTGTTCCCTAGATTTCGTCTGCGATTTATTTGTTCCAGTTTGACCGTTGGTAGCTAAGTCTTTACGCAGATTATCGATTGATTGCTGCATTGTTTTTATTGTAGCCATTATGGCATCTTTTTGTTCAGGATTCTTCTCAGCTCGCTCTATCAAGGAGCGTATCTCTGCCAATTGCTTGTCCAGTAATTCCTGCTTCCTCTTGCGCAGATCTGCCGTCAGTTTGATTGCTTCTTTTCGTTTCTCTTCCTGTTTCTTCTTTAAAGTCTCCTTGGCGGCTAGCATCTCCTGGGTCTTTTTGATCGCTAATACCTTGTCTTCGCGAGTTTGGACAGGAGCAGCTTTTGGCGAAACGGGTACCGCCGTCTGTGTGACCTGTTCCTCACTTGATCGTCGAGTTGGAACGTACTCGTTGTCCTCTGACTTCGTTAATGCTGGAACTGCAGCTCCTAACCGTTCCTTAACTGATGGTCGGCATCCTGTAACGACGAATGTGTTATTGTGACAAGTTTAACGATAGAATCGATCACAGTATAAATGAACAATCTCAAAACTGGAAGTGTAAGATACAATAGATAATGATAAAAAATTAGATAACATTGAAAAAAAAGTCTTACCTGGTGGTACATTCTCTATGGCTCCACCGGATGAGTTATTGTTCACATTATTATGCCAAAACACCTTGATAAATCTATTATTCAACACAGCCTCAGTACTTCGGTAAGCAGCCTTCGCCTCCGCTGGTAGTTGGAAGGTAACTAGGGCTGCCTCGGGATCACCGCCAAAATTCACTTGTATATTTACAATTTTACCAAACTTCGAAAAATGATTATTTAACTGAGTTATATTATTAAGACTACGCGGAACTTTCTTAAGTTCAAGAGAACAATTAGCAGGGTTATGCACCACACGTTGTTTCGGTCCAAGCCGATTGAAATCAAAAGCTTGTTTGCGTTTCAACGGATTACTTTGAGTGTGAGTCATTTCCGAAGGGTTCGTATGTGGAATGACCGGTACACTTATTAATTCTCGTTGTCCTCTTCCATAGGTTCCGGGGCCTGGTTGGGGATGCCTGCCCCATGTCATGCGGGGTTCCATGCTAGGTGCGTCTGGATTATACTCTGCAAAAATATCTAATATGTTTTTCTTATTATTTTTCCGGATACATACATTGACGGAAAGAAATTTCCAATCAAATGAAATTACTTTGGCGAAAAGAATATACAATGCTTACCCATGTTAGAATGATGTTGATTTCTAAGATGGGGTGGTGGTAAACTTGCAAGTGGGAGGTGCGGAGGTGGTGCATTTCCATTTGGTCCTGGCGGTGGTTCAGGCACCGAAGGTACAGGTACAGTACCCGGAGTTTGAGGTCCATGAGGTCCGAATGTTAATACACGACTGAGAGCAACATCCTCTAATACAACTGGATCAGTGCCATGATCATAAAGGCACAAATCTCCTCGCATGCAGTATCCTTTTTCTGTGAGTACAACACCCAAATCACATGTGAATAAATTTTTATAACGAAAAGTGTTCTACAGTACCAAATATATTGATATATTTAAATATGCGTACCATCGAAGTCTCTGCATCGTCTCTTCTGCTGGAAGGGACCTGTTTGGTTGTTTGGAATATTTGATGCAACTGCAACGACACTTTGAATTGACTGACTTGTAGTAGAGAGTCGCATATCCACATCGCCATGATTACTATCCTGCGTAGGAGTACCACCTCCAGGACTACCATCGGGTCGCTCCGATCTGCCGACCTCTGTCCTTTCTGATCGATCAATTTTTTTTCGATCGATCGACCTTGATCGGGATCTGGACCTTAATGGCGTTGGAGATCTGTTTCGGAATCGTGCCCTATGATCACGGTTGTCAGGACCATCGCGCACCCTTGACCGTAAAGGTGATGTGCTACGACTTCTGCTCCTTCTAGAGTTACAGAAATTTATCGATAATCTATAAATATGATACTCTATTTCGTCTTACTGTAAGTAACGTACCTTCTATCGTGTCGCCTAGCATTGAGAGGCGGTGACTTATTTCTCCAGGGTCGACTCCTGTCGCGTTCTCTGTCACGTCGTATGTGTTCTCTGCTTCTGGATCTTCGCCTATCTCTTTCCCATGAACGTGACCGCGATCTTGTTCTCGACCTTATTCGTCCACTCCTGTCCAAAGTAATTATATAGTGATTATTTTTAATATTCTAGGATAGTTTCAGAATAAAGAAAAACTTACCGGCTTCGGGAGCGTTTCTCTTTTTCTTTGTCTTCTTTTTCAGAATCTGATTTTCTAGCTTCGCGCTTGTTAATTACTGCCGGTGCAGATCCATTAATTTGAACAGAAGCTATAGGGCTCGTTGTCATGGGGAGCATAGGAATTATAGGCTCCACTGGTTTTTCAACCAGTGGTGGTGGTGGTGGTGGAGGTGGTGGAGGTGGATTGACCCCTGGGGGTGTACTGCCGCCATCAGACTCTCCTTTTACAACAGGTAGAACATACTCCTGTGTTTCCAACGTTTTGAACAGCAGTTCCACAAAATTTTTGGTTTCTGTTGTAAGAAAGATCAGTAATACAAAATTTTAATTTCTTGACATTATGACTCTCGGAAATTATGCACCTGATAAATATCAGTCTTATATGTAAAGTTTCTTATAAATATGAGTGCCAGTGATTTAAGGATGACTGGTGAAAAATACACTTTTTAAAGTGCATTATCATAAGTGATTAATATACCTTGCTGTAAAAATACATCAAGTTGTTCCACCATGCCCCCACGCAATTCTTCCAGTGTTTTATCCTTCTTAACCAAAGCATAAACATATTTGGCCAAAGCTGCAGGATCAGCATCACACCTGTATAATGAATTGGAACATTAAATATATCACCACTTGTACTACTCACAAATAATACATATATGTAAAATGAAAATCTTTTTGCTTATTATATATGCTTACAAGCATGTGCATAAACATAAACTTTTCATGGAATTCGTAATGATTGGTGTTAATGATCACATGACAAAGTAATGAGTATAAGCATAAAAAATAAGTAAATAAAAGCAATTGTTGCTAAAAGTAAACACAGTGATCAAGTGAAAGAATGTATAAAGTGTAAATTAAAAATAAAGTGAACAAGATAATCTTATCTTTTCTCAAAAATAGTAATACAAATAAGATTATGGATGTAAGTACCTTGCATTTGAATAAACTCATATATACAATTAATATACTATACCAGAAATGAGGTATAATTAATATAGAAAATTACATATCCAATTAGTTACCATCTGAAAATGTATTAATGCACTAATCACATACCAGTCATATTTGAATTAATTTAATTAAGAGCACACACAAATTCAGTTATAGATCAAGCCTATAACTTTAATATTCGGAACAGTATCTGTGCCCACTTTTGAATAGAACATAGCAAGAATGCGGAACAGTCTACTTCTTACAAAGTAATCGTAAAATTCCATCTAGACAAGGCATGCTTTCGTTGAGCAGAATGAAATGAACATAACGAAGGTGAAAATTATCAACAATAAGGGAAAGGAAAAAATAATAATAAAATGTGACCTTTAAATTTGCAAGCCCAACAGAAAGTTGAGCTCTGTTTATAATACAATTTGCATAGCATGAGAATATCAATTAATATACTATGCAGAAAGCCGATAAAGTGCAAGACGAGAGACCGCCGCACCAGGAGGTCTCCCAAGGGTCAGGTGGAGGCAACAGAAGCACACATGTAATTATCATCCCACACACAAGGTGAAAACAGAGGCACATGTACATCATTTACAATATCAAATGCATACGCACACAGCTAGAGCTACAAACGGACAAGCTGGCCTACTTACAGTGGCTCCAGGACGGCAGTGAGCCACGCCTTGAATTGATCAGGATTTTCTATAATCATTCTCGCCGATTGCGTGACGTAAAGCACATGGAAATTGTCAGGATACACGACAATTACACGATTACTGGGCGGGAATAAGTACTCTCCTAAGTAGAGATGGTCGCCATTCTGAAATCTCACTCCACTACACGTAGCGAACCGTACACAGATAGCCGACTTCGTTTCTAGAAAATGTCACGGGAGTCGCTGCCACTGCGTGAAAAGCTCTTCCGACTCCTTCTCTAGAACGAGACCTAGTTGGAGAAAGAGAGAAAGAGAGTTCTTTGTGAACCGCCATCTTAAGCTTGACGAATCGAATGCACTTTACGTTATGACGTAGCAAAACCAGTCAAAAACATGATGTTTCATTGGCCTGCCAGAAGTATTGTCCGCACAATCCAATAGAATATTTGCCGGTACGCACGCTTTTGCTATTGCCGCGTGTAGAAAATATACACATCGTACATGATTATAGGAATTTGTTAAAATAAATGCTTGTTAAGATATACAGGATACCAATGAAATAAAAACGTTAACGAATAAAGTTTTCTTACGACAAGAATAATCCGAAGCACGATCAATGTGAGCTCATAAATGGTTACATCAATCAGAGATGAGTGGGGAGATGCACAACGCTCCGGTTTTAGGCGATACCAAAAGCATGGCGTTAAATCGTAGCGGCGAGTCCGGGAGTAGGATTTCGTGATCATCGCCTCTGTCGATGTTACAGATTTCGCGTAGCCGCGCGGGGTATGATCATCGTTCCAGCCGATATTGCAGTCAGCGAAAAGAATGGATTGCTCGGTGGTGGGGAAAACGTTGCCGCCCCTCACAAACCGTTCTTGACAAACAGGCGGAACAGCAAGGTCTTTCGTCTAACCGAACCCTAAACGTTTGTATGGACGTAATGCGCAAACAAATGTGTATATTCAAATAAACACGTCTCATGTTTATTTTATTACTATGAAGGATATTGCGAGAGAGAATATTGTGAGTTAATAGAAAATGATTTTCGATTCCGATGACAACCTTCTTTTAAAAATATTTTATATAAGCTTAAAATAAACTTTGGGCAACATAGAAAAGTTAAAAGAGAGGAACCTTGACAGGTTATTGACTCAGCTATTATGCTCGTTTAATACTAAATTAAATTTATTATAGATATTTATCTATGATATTTCAAAATTTCTCTTTGAACTGTTCTCGGTCGTTTCATTTACCAACGAATTTCGCCATTCATTTTTTAATGTTCATTTTCGGCATGATAAGAGGTAAAGAGTGAAAACCAATATTTCTATGCATTTTTTATAACTTTGAAATTTATTTGAATATACACATTTGCTTGCGCATTACGTCCATACAAACGTTTAGGGTTCGGTTAGACGGAAGACCTTACTGCCCCGCCTGTTTGTCAAGAACGGTTTGTGAGGGACGGCAACTTTTTCCCCACCACCGAGCAATCCATTCATTTTCGCTGACTGCTATATCGGCTGGAACGATGATCATGACCCGCGCGGCTACGCGAAATTTATAACATCGACAGAGGCGATGACCACGAAATCCTACTCCCGGACTCGCCGCTACGATTTAGCGCCATGCTTTTGGTATCGCCTAAAACCGGAGCGTTGTGCATCTCCCCACTCATCTCTGCATCCATAAAGCTTAGTTTGTATTCTGCAAGCTCTAATTTATCAAGCTCGAAGGGAACTCGGTAATGATGCACACTACATTACCCTCCGACCCAATATAACTAACAAATCGTGCCGCATTGAGTCTCATGACGTTGGCTCTCTTTGCAGCACTTCTTCCGTGTCGTATTTCAATTTTCAATCTTTCCCTTGCGCGTCTCTTAATCAAATATCATTTGTAATTTGATTCGTAATATAAAAAGCAATTAACTTATTATCAGAAATTTTTTAAATATTCAATTTAATTTAACTAGTATACTCCGTAATTTTATAATTGCAAGATATAAAATGTACGAGGAGTTTTTAAAATCATTCGCTATAATTACGTTTCCTTTTCGAATTACCAATTTACTCAAAAGCTTTTTTTATTTCTTATTCATTTAGCGTAATCGAAAATGTAATTTTTAATATTCAAATCTATAAATAGTCGTATAAAATGATTAAGAATATTCTGCGAGTACTAAAAGTGGTACAAATAAAAATGGAACGAGTAAATATTCATTATTTCTTTAGTTTATTCGTATACGTATATTCATAATAATAATAATAATAATAATAATAATAATAATAATAATAATAATTAAAGAACAACAATTCATTGTTTCTAAATCTGGCGTCACATCGCAGCGCCTATCGCCACTTGGCAAGGGTCCACCCTGGTTGGCGTTATCGTTCATCGAAATTTCAATATCTCACGTACTCTTCCAAGTACTCATATTTAATCTTACAAGTACGGACTTAATATTCTATACATGGTTATTCCTAAGGCTATAGCTATAGCATAGGCACAGAGAATTGCGCTTATAAGGCGCTACTTAACCGACATAATTATAAAGTGCGCAAATAAACCTAATATAATTTAATTTACAATTACACTATTACATTGCGGCTTTTCGAGCAGCATCTCGGGGGGATATAAAAGAATACCGAAATAAAAGGGGAAAAAAACGAAAAAAAAGATTAGTAACTTGCAGGAGGCATCATTAAAATTTAGCTTATACCTTTGGCAAAGTAAGATATAACTAAACGCACTTTTGTCTAAGGAACAATTTTCAAGATACAATAGTGAAAAAAAAGAATAAATTCCAACGAAATTATCGCTTTCGGGTGCGCCTGTAGCGTATTCTTTTAGCTAATTCATCCAGAGTAAAGAATATAAGACTACAGGAAGATCTAGGTATTGGTACAATTCTCGTTAAAACTGATAACAATTATTTACGGACCTCTGGACCGCTACACAGTTCACGTTATGATAATTAAAGAGTCGCGCTTCTACAAAGATTACGATATCATTAAGCAATAACGAAACTTCTAATTAGTAACTCTGGTACAACTAGAGAAAAAAAAAGAAACGTAATTTATTTTCTAATCAATATACATCGATATTTATTCTATATATATATAATATAGGACGATATAATAATACGTGGTTAATAGGAATTCCAGGGCATGCTGTAAATGATGAGACCATTAAAAAAGTGTTATAAAATAATTTAGATTCGTTAATTTTTTTTCTTTTTCGTTAATTACGAGAAGTACCGTGCTCGAGCCACTAGCGATTTCTAAGCTATCGATTTTGTCTGGAATTTTTACTGTATGCAGAGTCAAAATGCAGCGTAATGTTTAATGCTTAAATTTTACATCTAGGACGAGCTGATGCAAAAAAAATATTATTTTAGAGTCAGTGTCATAAAAGCTAATTAGCTAATTGTCCAACGAGAAATTTTACGCCTCTACTATGTATCGCAGTAATTATTACTCTGCGTAGTGGAAACGTGTGATGTTTCTAAGGGTATGTATCAACAGAATCTTTAAAAAAGACTGATACCGCATTATATGTTCGTACCTTCATACGTAAAAATAGTAATCTTAAAAATCTATTTAAAAAAAAAAGAAGGGAGCAGTCTTAATGTTCGCAATGACCTCAAATTCCATTGGGCATCCAGTTGTGGCAACAATCATGAAATCGTATATGAGAAGCCAAAAACAATCATAACATAATGAAATAGTTAACAAGCTCCTATTCTCGGCTGAGAAACGTTCAAATTATTAACACCAATATTTCGTGGTCTTTGAAAAATTCTAATAATAGAGGCATTTGAAGTGTACGCTAATAATAATAAAAGTTGCGTTATTTCAGTAACTGTAAATAATATTAAGATTTGGGCAACTGCTCTATTATAAAGAAAAAGATACATTGAGTGAAGAAGCTCATGTAAAATTGTGAGCTTATTTCACCACATTCATCGAATGAAAAATTTTGATTCAATTTTTTTTTTTCATAAACCTCGATGCTTCGTACTTCTTCCTGTAACTCTCAAAACGCATTAGCAGTAAATGATTTTACTCTTTTTCGCATTAACTCTGCAAAATATGTAGTATGCCATTATTCAAGACACAATGTATATTTGGCTATTTAAGCGTGTATCATTGTTATGTACACTGAAACTAATTATTTGGAACAACGATAAGCAGCTAATGTTGAATCAACTTGACATAATTTTCTAACTATAGAAAACTTTTAAATACACAAATATGTCGTACGTGCTTTGTGAAATTACCTTTGGCACAATGATAATGCTAAATGAGTATTAGTATAAGGAAACCACGTTAATACAACACGCCAAGATGCATTGGCACAGCAGGCCAATCATTTGTAGAAAGTACTAGTGCTCATGTATATACGTAAAATAAAAAAATAAAAAAGGATGCCGATTCCTGTAACATTTTGCTTGTCAAGCAGTTGCTTCATATATGACAAATTTCACAAGACATAACACGGCAGAACATTGATACAACAGAATCTTCGATCCTTAGCAAATCTGAAAAAAAAATATTTAGCAATCATGCAATACTTGCTACGCTAAATTTACCATGACTATGACCAAGAAATCTGGTGTTTGGATAAAAAAAACCCTTAATAAGAAAGGTGCCACACGATTTCAACAAGAACAAAAGAAAACTTTTTGTAGCTACCGTAACAAGTACTTAAATGTTGTAAATAAAGGAGTAAAGAAAACAGAGTTATATGTTTTGCGAATTACAAGAGAAGATATAATGCGTTATTAGAGTTAGCACCACATCTCATTCTCGTCTCAACAAAATACGTGAAATTTTAACCCTGCATACGATTTTATATGAAAATTCATTGAAATTACTCTTATAAACTAGGATTAATTGGATATCACAATATCAAGGCACCGATATGGTACCACACCTTCTTAAGCACTTTGTTTCCTGTCATTCCCCAAAGCAAATCTGAGGTATGACTGTCAAAAGTTTGTTGTGCTATTGCTACGGTTAACTTTTTTGCCTATGGCTCGTGATGAGGTTCTTGTAGGTGTAGGTCTTAATTTATAGCCCCCGGGATTCAATGTGCCATTGATGGCCGCCATATTTGGTGCAATCGTTTTCAAGCACTTAGCTGCTTCTTGGAGTTGCTTTGATAGGATTTCGTTCTTGAGCTTTTCGGCATTCAGCTCCCGACGTAGCTGAGCTTTTGTCTTGTTACCGAAAGGACACAAAACTCGATGCTGAATGAGGCATACTGCAGATGGCCTCATTTCCGGATTTGGATGAATCATTGCCTGCAACGAAAAAACCGGATGTTTTATAATATTCTTAAAAACTTTCTATACTGCGACTATGTAAAAATCAACGATAATAGTAGACCCTATACAAAATGGATGATAACGCAACAAAAATTACCTTAAGCAGTTCGTTGAGATCTCGACTATACTGTGACAATTCCTTCAGATTTCCATTTCTGATGTCATGCCATTCAGGTCCATTTTTAGGCAAAGGACCACCGCCTCCTGCTTCGTAAACCGTTAAACCAAGTGCAAAAATGTCTGCTTTAGGCAGATGAGTAAAATCTTCATGCAAAATCTCAGTCGGTAGGTATCTGCAGTCGCCCTCTTCAACTTGCGGATTACTTATTGATGTAACGTGGCCAAGGTCTCCGATTTTATACGTGATCTCTTCCTCGACAGTCTCCTCCTCGTCGAATCCATCATCCGCAGAATCGTAATTCACCGCCAATAATCTCTTTTCCTTTGAGATAAAGATGTTCCCGGGTTTGATGTCCATGTGCACGAGTTGCATACTGTGAATGTACCTCAAACCTTCTGCAACGTGTAGTAATAATTGACGAATCTCAGCCTCGGAGAAATGTCTCTTCTCGACCTCGAGATTGGATATAGCATCCGCGAGACTACCACCGTTGCAGTATTCATTTTGTATGATCATATGATTATCTTCTGCCCAGGCGGAATAATAACGCACAACGTGCTGGTGCTTGCCGAGCACAGCGTGCGCGTATACCTCGTTCAGTGCATTCTTCTCGTTGACGCTCCCAGCAACAGGTTTGATACTCTTCTTGATGGCATAAATGCAGCCATCCAATCGATTAATACACTTGTAAACGGATCCAAATTCACCTGTACCTATTAATCCAAGCTCATGAAATTCCTGATGGTATCTTGGTATATTTGATTCCTGTAGTGCGACACGTTTCGTGGGATGTTCCACCTCATTGTCCGAATCTTCGGAATCGACAAGGTCGAACGTCGGTATCCGAATGTCCGGGGAACTATCATGTAAAGGAATGAATAGTTTCCGTTAAAACTATAAGTTAACGAGATACAGAATAATTGGAACTGTTAAACAACACGTTTTTGTCAAATCATAATGTTAAACTCATTTATGAAACGACATTATACAGGTGTTCATTAACAGTGGCTATACATGTGTTTGTGTAAATTAAATATTATAGAATACATATGCATATACAAAATCAGATTAATCATGCGTTTAAAATATATATCTGTATTGTGAATACATATACTGATTGTATTATGTAATCATGAGTCATATTAAGGATTGTCAAAGGGAAGCACAAGTAGGTTTTGTTTGATACAAGGCTCATCTCATTGTACTCACCTGTTAAGACTGCGCTTGGATCTAGTCCTCTTCCTAGCAGTTAATAACATTCCATTTGGTGTAAATGGATTAACATTAGCTGCAGGTTTATCAGATTTACTTGGATAACATGATGGCACAGCCCTAGGTTTGTCTAAAGGAAACAGTCTAGTGCATTTGGAAGGTAAAGGAGTATGCATTACACTCTTTTCTATTATCGTTTTCGGAGTAGCAGGAGAATCAAATAGACGAAGTGCCCTGACGCGTTTGTAAGGTGGACTGCATGCCATTGACATCTTTGATGGTGGTCCACCTTCACGATGAGGAATCCTGATTCCCATAGAACCTATGAACAAAAATTTATCAAAATCGAGTGATTGTTTGAGGAATTACCATTTGCTCTAGATGTAGCTTTTCTAACGATGACTAGGACTGTGCTTCTGTAAAACATCTACTTATTTTGCTTAAACAGCTGTGGAATATATGCATGATTTTATTGTTTTCTCTTTATTGCATGAACATTTAGCAAAAATTTTTACAGAATTATGTACAGGAAAATTGGCTAAATATACCAACTCAAAATGGAGTAGGATATTGGATGTGTTTTATACAGAAAGTATTTATTCAATTTTATAAACACATAATATATAATATATCTTAAAACAGAATGGATAGTTCCATATTATTTGATAGGAAAAGGGGTAAAACAATTTATGACCAAACTGTTACAAGAAAGGTATGTTCTTTTTTGACACAAAAAATAAAATTTTTAGTTTATGAATGAAATAAAAATGGTTTTATCTGTAGAATCCATTTACATTTAAAAGTGCATAGCCATAGGAAAATTAAAAGCATTGAAAAATAATTTTAAAAAATGCTTACATTAAATAATAATAGCAGTTTGTGATATGTGAAAAAATTGGCTCAATATTATTTGTATCAATTAGTTCACACCATTTACAAACATCTATATTATTTGTTAATATTCTTTGCATATCAGTCCTTTTTGCCTCGTTTTTCTTCAATTGTATTACTTTTTGTAGGTTCTTATATATTTGTATATTTTCTTTTGTAAAATATTTTTTCTGCTATCTTCAAAGTATACAGTATGCAGTTCAGTATTGTTTATCTTTTTCAAGGCTTGTGTATATATGCAGCTTTTTCTTTTTTTATATGTTTTTTCACTCATAAAGTTATTTAATTGTCCATAATAACATTAGATATATTGCATTGTAATAAATTCTTATATATTACTAGTATGGAAGAATTGGACCAATTACTGTGCTATCAATTGTATCATACTAGTAATGTTCATAAATTAACTTTCTTTCTTGCTAAAAAAAAAATTCAATAAATTAATCCACCAAAATATTAATTTACCTATTTTGAAATAAAACAATTGCTATGAGCCATATAAAAAGCTTCAAACAATTGTGGTTACCTTTAATTTTGAAAGGAATCGTTTAACTTGAAATTTAAAACTCAGTGAAAGTACTTATTCAAAAGTCTTTAAAAGATAGATATATCTTTGAAGATATCACATAGTCAATTGCATATGGGAAGCATAAATGGATGGTATGCATGAAATATATAGAAGCACTACAAAAATGTTCTACTCAGTATAGTATTACTATTAATATAAAACTAATTTCACTTTTTTTGGAATGAAATATGCATTCTCATCAAAGAACTAATTTTAATTGCACTTTCAATAATTTGGAACGAATGTGTGTTCAATTATGCTGAAATTAACATATAATCTAACCTGTCATTGTTGTGGCTGGGGTTTTGTTGATGTTACTTGGAACGGGTTGATTAGATTCACTATCACTGCAATCCATGACGTTACTGAAGGATAGTTTCCTTGGTTGAGGAAGTGGTGAACATCCAAACTCCTCGGCTGAAGAGTCCAAAACATCCTCGACATCACAACCCGAGCTGTTCGTGCGACAGCTGATGTTCAACTCCTCGTCTTCGATGTCGAACGAATCAAAATGCAGCTTTTGCGCAACTTCCATATCTTCAAATTGTCACCATAAGTCCACGAATATGCAGTAAGCACGTCTACACTTCAAATGCTACGCGAATATCAACACTGATCAACGAATTTTGTCAATTAAACTGCACCACGTTCATTCAAACACAATCGCTCGTACCACGCTATGTTCGTTATGGCGGGTGGCCCGGTATAAGATGGGAATTTGTTTCCGGCCAATCAAAAATAAGTTTAGAAATGGACTCCTATGGAAACAACTCTAACACGTTACACGATTGGCTCTCCGTTCTTACAATGGCTACGCATAGTAGCGTCATCTGCACCTCGTATTTTCGGGTATCCAATCTCACTAATCGCAACAAACTACGAGAATAATTTTATACGTCGTTTTTATTTCTTTATGAGATCACTGATATAACATTCCTGTACATTTTTAAGGAAAAAACATGTAATGTGGTTATTAAAATACAATTTCCCGCTTTGCATATGATTTTTTCTCCAGAATAAAATCCATTACATGTTTTGCGAATTTCATACAATTGATCAAATTGCCATATTTGACTATATTCAGAAAAATATTCACTGTTTCATGTAACATAGCAATATATAAGATGCCCCAAAGAATTTACTATTTCGTATAATTAATCAAACCTTAGGAAGTATTGCTAAAATTTCATTTGATCAAAATCGTTCTACACATTCCACATTGAACATTTTCCAAGAGAAACCATTTTCGTAAAGGTATCAGACGCAGGATTCATCCTTATGCATACGAGGCACATTCTATCATCTATTACCAGCGATGATGTGGAAAAGTCTTTGTTCCTGAAATCAGTTGTTCCTCTTAAATTTAGAAATTCATCGATCTCTCAGAACTATATTTCTCTCAAACTATTCTTATCTTTCGATCATTTCCCCCCATAATATATGCGGTATCATTTCAACTATGCTTAGATGAAATTCCGAGGTAGGACAGGGTACAGGGTACAGTTTTCACCCTTTTCCGCTGAAACTCGATGGTTTTTGGTCTGAAAGGGTCCGTTTACGCTGGGCGTTTTTAAAAGCAATAAAAGAATTTTTGTCGAGGCAGCTGCAACCTGTGGCGCACGTAAAGGGGGTCGGGAGGTAAGAAGGGTGACGTAGTACGATGCGTGGATACGATGCGAGGTTTTACTGACCACGACTGGCTGGTTGTAGAGCTAGCGGCTGACGAGTGGAGGGGAGCAAGAGAGCACTCCATATAGTATATACAAAAAGGCATCCACGCGATAGTTGTTTTTATCATCCGCAGCTCAAGGGAGATTCCGGAGTCTCTGGCACGAAAGAGACGCGATGGCTGACGTGGAGATTCCAATCATGGGTGATATTCAACCACCACCCTATCAAAAGCAAAATCCATCTGTCAATGGGTAAATCCAAGACGTCGATCATGAATAACGTGACATAACTCGGCATGAAGTAATGCATATTGTACATATGCTTATCAACACTGTTCTAACCTTGCAGGATTTCCTCAGCCAATGCGAACTTTTCAGAAAACTCTACTAATGTACTATGGAATTTTCCGAATAATAATGTCCTTTTGAGACTGAACAAGCTTTATAGATTTTTCTTCATGGTTATGATACCTAAAACATTGTCAAGTTTTCACATTTGGACCCCTTTGAACTCTTCATCTTTCTCCTATGCTGATTAATGTCTTCTGTTAAATAGATATGAGTTCCTGCAGTTACCACCACTTCTGCTTGGTCAACTTGGATATCCAAAGGCTCAGGAGTGGGTACAACGTAGGAGAGCCAATGTCAGACCATGGTCTCTTTTTCTAAATACGAATAACATTAGACCGCCACCAAGCATACCAAGATTGAGCAAAAGAGTCATGAAAAATATTGAATACTTTCAAAGCAATTATCTCTTTGTATTTATTGGATTGGTTATATATTCCTTGTAAGAACTGTAAAGTTTTGATATTTAATATTTTCAATATCTTATTATGTATATTATTAACCATATATCTTTTTTCTAGAATCACTTCTCCACTGGTGTTACTGACTGTTGCTGCAGCTCTTGGTATTTGTTACAAGGTTTCCCAAAGGCATTCTAAGCAAGAATTGATGGTTTTAAACCATAAATTGACATTAGCACAAGTGTATGCCATCATTGGCATTTGTTCTTTGCCTGTGTTTTATATGGTTGGTGCTGGGGATGTATTATTTTGGATTCTTGGTACGTTACAAAGAATGATACGCATGATACAATTAACAATTTAAAAAAATTTCATTTTCAGGTGTATCATGGTTTTTGATAACACTTCATGCAGCACTTTATAATATTGACTCAGTTTTATGCCCTGGAGAGGATGAATTGAATTCATTAGTAATGCAACAAGTATAGATGAATAGACATTAAATAAATTACATAATGCAAATAAATTATTAATATATTAAAATATTACGGATACAATCAATCTCAAAAATAACTTGAACGAATTTGTATTATATATAGGGTTATGTTAAAACGATCGAATTTACAAAAACCATTGTGAGCCATCTATGGTATGGTAATAATGATGTACTAGATTTATATGCTGATAGTATTTAATGGGCACACCGTAAATAATTCCATTTTATAAAAAATTATACGAAGTTTGGTAAAAATACGATAAATTGTGTTAACTTTAATTAACATTAAATATAAATACCCTCATTATGAACTGTATTAATAGTTATATAAATTATGGCATATCCCAATAATTAAATATATAAAATTTGGTGCTAAATTATTTGTCAACTTGTGAAATATTGATATAACGTAACGTAACAAAGTATTTAATATATAATAAACAATGCAATATGTATTTTTTAATTGAAATAAGAAATCAAACGTTTACAAAATCATGGTGCCTTTATTCCTTGCTAATTTCGAAATGTTCGAAAAGTAAAAGTAATTCGATAATTTTCTTTCATATGCATCTAAGCAATAGAGAACTAACTGTAATAGGAATACAATTCCGATTTTTGGGTTGGTGACCATCAAATAACGGGATATTTTTTAATCCTATTATTTTTACAGTTAAATGAAATAAAAGAAAAAATGTATTACTCATTGTTCTACAAACAGTTACATTATAAGACGGTGATCGTAAAGCGTCCATTTAAATATAAATAGGAAAGGTTTACAGGTACGGTACCGCCCATAGACATCTTACTAGACTTTAAATATATTGTCATTGGATTTGTGCATCTTACAAGTCTTAAAAGATTAAACAAATATCGAAAGTAATTAAATATTTCGATTACTAATGAAAAATTTCAATTTTACTTGAGCATCACTTAAATTTGTTCCTGCTAGAAATACTTTTTTTAAAACAATGATAGTAAAGAACGGATTCTAATATATTCCGGGGATAATTCTTATCCTGGAAAAATATAAATTCCCTCATTAGATTTTTATAATCCTTTTTCAATCCCACAGTAAAGAGTCGCAATACACCATCACAAGCAGGTGATGCCCGAGCGTACCAGGTGTTGGCTGTAGGAGGAATCGTCGAGGCTTCCATTTTACGCAAAAATAAAAAGGGTCTGGACTCACACCATCTTACGTCAAGGCACACGTATATGCCTGTATCGCTAGCATCTTTTTCAAGGCGTCGAAAATAAACGACGGCACACCTGCCCACCCTTAAGCCACCCCCACTGAGGCACTTCTTTCAACTATTTGAGTTCCTTTGGATTTAACTGGTCCCATGGATTTTTTGGCGACCTTAACAGTAAATGACCTGAATTCTGGCCGTTTTATATGATGGATTAAAAATTTGATTAGGACTTTGTGTAAGCAAAAATATTAGCAAAATTCTTGTTTAATTAATTTAAAGTATTGTTATATTAAAACAAGAACTCATCTATCACTAAAATCGGTGAAATTCGGGAGTAAAATTAATTCTTTTAGTCCTGTTTGTAAAAGGATTTTGATTTGCATTTCATTGAACATTCAAAGAAAATAACAAGTATTAGTTCATTCATTCACTCATTCATAATGAATATTGTAGACTGATGTCGTGAACAAATTTCTTATCCTAGTATATGTTCTGACAAATATGAGTTTTACTTATCCACAACTTCATTATTTATTTTGTTGCATTAATAACAGGTTTCATAATTATACTGCTAGTATACATTGATTTGCTAGATTTAAATGCACATGCTATTTTTCCCGATTTAACAAAGCTGGTGGTGTAAATGGTTGTAGCTTTGGATCTTGCATTACAGTTTCCATATTTACTGGTGGTATCAATGCTGCTGCAGCATTGACGTTATCGGTATAGAGGAAATTGTAAACAGTACAAGCCTTTTTTACTGGAAGTATTTCTACTGCAATTTGTAATTCATTCAAATATTCTCTAGCTTCTGTAATAAATGGGGCATTTGGTATATACTTATCATTATCAAGACCAATGACTACAATATCCAATTTTGGTTCCAACAATGAAAATAAACATAGAGAATCCCTATTCATATGTTTCGAAGATTCTATGTCCCAACTAAGGATGGCCTTTGGAAAAATAACTATTGGACCAATTATAAAAGCACCACTGTTTAAAGTAAACCCCATCTGCAATAATAAAAATATTGTTTGTGATATATTAGTTTTCATTATATGTAATAAATGGCTATAGATTAAATTTTACCCTGTTGCAAGAATCAATTAATAATCCATCTGCAGATTTTTTATTTAAGACATTTAAAATTGTTCTCCCTCCATCTTCATAATGTGCCTCTTTAATTATTGCAGATCTATGTATATACCTTAAATTTTACAAAAAATTGATCAACGTCCAATAAATAACATCTTACAATATTGCATTTCATTGCACTGAATGCTACTTGTCTCTAATACCATATGCTTAACAAAACAGTAAGAAACCATAATATTAATTTGAATTAATTCATTGCTCTATATATATATTATGTTAAAGCATATATTTTTACCTTATAATAGATTTTGCAAAGAATCCAAAACGTTTAGGAAACAAGTTGTTCATTTTACATAAGTACTTCCTGATAAATGAATTTCAATAATACCATTATTAGAAAGATGACCTAAATTTAGATTAACATATCATAGCACTAAAAAAATAATAACATACTTCTATTAATTCTTAACAAAATGAGTTATTGGTTATTCAAGTGAAATCGTCTGCTACAGTTTATTATACCGGCAACAGAGATTTTAATTAACATAGACAAGAAAGTATAATAAGGCCAGAGATGAGTAGGGAGATGCACAATGTTAGGCGATACCAAAATCATGGCGCTGAATCATAGCGGCGAGTCCGGAAGTAGAAATTTGTGATCATCGTCTCCGTTAATAATGCGGATCCCGTCGTAGCCCAGCTGACAACGATTACGAACGTGTATCTCTCTACTCGTCTCTGATTTGCGTCACCCACATTACAATCTATATGTTCTTTTTCAAAGGGTAATATGCGTTTCGGAATGTTGGTTTCGGAGCACCACTCCTGCAACGTTGCCAAATACAAAATCGACTATATTTTGGTTCAAATCCAACATTCCGCTGTTCGAGCGACAGCAAACTGCTGTGAATTGTTTGTCAATATTTTGTTTCGGTCTGATTTTTCTTGTGTCTTGCATTCCTAATATTGAGCATCGGCATAAAATATATTGTGGTGCAACTAGTATCTATAAGATTACCCGTTACTCGAAAAGAGATAAGTAAGTGAATCTATTCTACGTCGCGTGCCTGATACTTTTAAATGTGTATGCGTGTATATATTAATATGGATACGTGTTACATTAAACTACTGTCAAAGGGTGCGTGTCGTATGTGCAATGATGCTGTTTCGGCATGCATGTGAGATTTTTGCATGATTCTTAAATAGACATCTTATTCATATTACAATATGGAGAGGTGTTAAGATTTTTTAAACGTATGGTTCTCTGTAGCTTAAGGTTGCATATAATTTTTAAAGAATAATGTTAGTAGTATAAAAGATATATGGTCCAATAGTTTAAGCATTTTCTTTGCAGTTTAAAAACTCTTAAGATAAGATCTGGACCATAGTGAAATGCCACTGATCTGAATATGACATATATTATTTATTCTCTAATCTTTTCATTAACATTCTTGTTAAATATTGTTACCTTTCCTGTTTAATGTAAAATTAAGCAGGGGACAGTATTAACCTTAATCTTGACATCTTATTCGTGGAATATCTTAAGAGTACATATCTTTTATTTATTATATATATGAGTGGAAAGTATAAATATAATTTATGTGCACATACGGAGCAAGATACTGATTGGTGTTGAAGATGAAATTTTAAATCTTTTTTATTTTACAGGTATAACTAAGCTGTCGGGACAATGCTCAACATCAGAATCGTATGGCTAAACGATGTAGGTGGTCAGTTTGATGTTGAGAAAAACATTGGGCAGAAACGCATCTTATTTAGTTGATGCATGCAAAATTCATTTAGTCGTTTTCGATTATTTTTTATCAGGCGCCAGCTAAACCTGCTCCTTTAGAGCATTCTCAAAGAGTATTAAGTATTTGTAAAACTGCTTTTAATGAGGCTGAAAGGGCGTGTGTGGGGACAAAGTCTCTTTTGAGAAGGTTCAGCGTCGTATGATTGACTCCGATGAACAATGAACCATTCGGGAAGCGGAAAACGGCAGGCGAAGGTTTTGGAAGACAATTACTGGGACTGCAGTGTCTGCACATATAGAAATACCGCAGAAGCATTCAAGTGCCTCATGTGTGACGTCCGTAAAGGAACTTCGACGCGGAAACCCCGCATCAACCCGCAACTAGTGGCTCAACAGGTCTGTAATAGAAAATTAGACAAATTCCCTTCTAACTTTAAACAACACAGTTTTCTTACTATTCCGTTGTGTGTACTTGTTTCTTTTTATATTTTTACATTATTGCTGTATCAGATTTCATATTGTTTTCTCATTCAGCAAGTAGTCTTAGCATAAAGATTAAATTAAGAGAAGCAGTAAGTATATCGATAAAAATAAACACTCTGTTCAGGTTGCCCAGCAACAGTATGTGCCACTTCTAAAGCCAGGCAAAAAAGAAGGTAGCAGCGGAGGCAGTACGACCGGGACTGGCAAAGAAAAAGAACGTAAACTGGATAAACCAAGACGCAAAAATAGACATCCTCCTCGTCTGAAAAATATCGACAGGAGTACAGCCCAGACAAATGAAGTAACAGTTAACAATGTTACTGTTGTTATAACCGAGTATAAACCTAAAGTGAAGAAGAGTTCTGATCAGTCGGGTCTCTCTAGTAGCGCTTCCTCTGAAAATGGAAGTCAGCACGATTCTAATCAAGACTCCAGGAGTCTTGATATAGGAACCGATGCCTAGCTCAATGCTACGTCAAATAAGTATGTGAATTCTACTAATTAATATATTATGTAACGTATATTATCTACCATCTTAGTATCGCATTGTCGACGCGATAGGATCTATCGTTTTTCTATATGTCTCAATTATAAAACAGCAGGCACTTTATACTGTCAATGGATGCGGCAATCACACTCGGGATTTCAATGTTGGAATTCAAAAGGCTTTACGTGTACCGCAGCAATACGATAAAATCAAATTTTTCAAGTGCCTTTGTTTATTATCAGTTACAAAGACCAAGAGATAGATCGTGCAAGACTTTATTTTTTATGCCACAAGATTTTTAATTATTCCATTTCAATGTCACACATCTGATTCCCTACTTGTGATAATGAATTTTTATCAATAGACAATTTCACCGGTGATATCGATGTATTGACAAATTTTTAAATTACTTTATAACTGCCATATCTGATGTGGTCTATTTATGGAGAAACTTTCAATGATTGCATGCCGTACCACCATTCTTGGGATAATCTGCCTGTAAAAAATCTTTTGTCTCTAAGTCGAGAATGCCACTACCAGAGAGCAAGTTTTTTAGATTGTCATCGTCAAATTATTATACTTATTTTTTTATTATCTGAATATATTTGACACTGAGCTAAAATAGTAATAACTTCTGTCAGATCTGTAAAAAAAGTCACTGCTGTAAAAATGCATTAAAGCAGCGAAGTTATATAGATTTATTCAATTTCGACAAGTTAATGGAAGATTTATAGTATCGTTTTTTATTATGTATGAATTAACAGAAATATCTTGTTTACATGTTCAAGTTGCTCATGAGCAATAAATTGAAATATATGGAACACGCGTAAAGTACATATATGAAAAATTAATTTTCATATTTCATTATGCAGTTCGTAGTCCTACAGTGTAGCTTTCGTAATCTTGTCTATAGATCCTGATATTCATCATACTAAAGATATGACAATGGATGCAGATTGTTTTAATTGCTTAACATTTTTGGGTGATTACTGTGATTCACTTATCTGCATGTTTGCTGCAATTTTATACGTTGTAACCACTGAGGGAAGGTATTCATGATATAAAAACAATACAGTGAAAAATATTTACATCATTTGTCTCGAAGAAGTGCAAAAGGATCGATATGCTCTCTTTATATTTTACATTTATAGTAAGAATTGTGTCAAAAACAGAAATAGCACTTTAAAAAAAAATTAGACTCCAATGGTGGATGGATGAGATAAAATGTCAGTGCGTAGCATCTTTCTTTTTGTCTTTACAAATGCTATCGCGCTTTTATTAAGTATTTAATAATTATATAGGTGGCAGAATTATTGAAGATCTATTGACAAGATTTGAATCTTAGTTAAGGGACACGAATATGTTAATACGCGAAAATATTGTAACGATAATCTAATACATATTTATTGAGAATCGTGATAAATCTTAAAGGAACAATTGAGATTATCGACAGTTCAATCACTCACTGAAAATATTGATTTATGTGCGCTTTCATTTTATACATATATCAAATCGCTGTTGTATTTACCAGCTTGATGGGATAATGGTAGTCGGGTCTGAATATGTTAGAAGAAAAAATTGTATAGACCATAAAATAAATGGCATAATAATTTCATGATCAAGTTGGAAAAGGTTTAATTGTAAATTGTTGCGAATAAAATCGTTTGTAAATATTACATCTATAAGGGGCATTTAATTAACTAAACTTGATCGTTGCATAATAAGATACAATAAAATTGTCCACTGTATATAAAATGAAGCAATGAAAGTGTATGCATATCTTACATGCAGAACATAAGACATAGGAAATTTTTCTCGTATTAAAAATCTTAATGTAGTTATAGTTTAGTTCGGTTTAATTTTCAAGTAAAGATAAATACTGTATCTTATTAGAAATATAATAGACATACTTTCTACTACTGTCTAGTTACAGAAATAGAAATTGGACTCGTTTATCTCTAGTTTACCGTCGTTGACTTCATTTAAACGTTCAGTAGGTGTCTGCAGTGAGAAATTATAATTATCGTGAAATACGAGTGTTTATATCGAAATAATTGTTTCATATTTTATGGGCTTTAGGATTATGATTTTGCAAAATACAAATTCGTACTGATGAACCACAATATTGAAAAACAAAGTTTTATATTAATTTTCACGTCCATTTTATTCCTGTTGTAATTATGTACAAACAGGGTCCTCTGGGCGAAAAATTAAATGTTTATTAAATAGATGAAACTCGAAGGGTTATACGAAGTATAAGAAAAATGTAAATCAATGCGCACGTCTCCGATTCTGCTAGAAATCGCTGAATAAACAGCAAATATTAAGTGGAAGAGAGACGTATTTTTTTAGTGTAAATTTTACCTACCAATCAAATTTACAGCTTACTAAAGGGACCAGTTCAAAAATTATTTCTATGAATAAATTCATTTAACACAAGATTCATTGGTGAAATAGATAATGGGAGTGTTTACTATATGAAGATGTATTAAATTCATAATGTAACTTAACGTAACATTGTGTTTTATATATACAAAGCTTCAATGTATTTATGGGTACATTTTATTTTTTATTCCTTTTCTTCTTTTTACCCAAACTTCCGGAGACTGATGTTTCCAAAGCTACAGATTCCATCTCGTCAGTAACTTCCATTATTTCTTGATTAGTTTTAACCTCCCTTGTTTGGGTTCCTTGCGAATCACCAAATTCCAATTTTATTTTCTGCCTCTCTTTAAATCTGTCAGATACTGTAACATAATTGTGAGAAGAATTGGTGTGAAATAATTATATGATCCATGAGTTTAAATTATTTGTGAGATGTATAGATATAGAGCATATACCTGCGGAGCTGGTTAAGAGATTGAGTACTTTCATGTTATCAGATTTATTATCGCCCCCTAAGACAAATATAAATGGACTATCGGGATTTGCTGCTAAACATTGTAAAGCACCCAAATTAGCCTTCTTCTCCCAGACTAATATTGCTTCGTTGTGATTTATCACATCCCATACTTTCAGGATCCCACCGTTGCATGAACTGACTAATAAACCAGGACACGAGGTGCTAAGGCATAAACCTGTAGAATTTAAATGTAATGTGACGTTACTAGATATTATCAACGGAAAACAAAATAGTTACTGTAAATATTTACGTTACTTTACGGAAATCGTATACCTGTGATTTCTTTTTCGTGTGCGGAAATCTGCCATATTGGGTTATCTTGTCTTACATCGACATATTGAATCTGACCATTGTCTGTACTTGCCTATTAGACATATGTATAGTAAATGCAATATTAATAACTAGTATTGGTTGATACTTAACAGAAAAATGTCTTGGAAAAGGTCTGTATGCTTACAAAATAGTAATTTGGGTCAAAATGATTCCACAATACTCTTTCAACCTCGCCAGCTGTTTGCCAGGCTTTGAAGTCATCCTCTGCTCTGCAGTCGAATAATCTTACAGTTCTAAGAGATTAATGAAATTATAAAACTTGGGTTTATTTAACATAAAGTAGAATTACTATTAAAAAAGAAATTGATATACTTGTCACTGCATCCAGTAAGTAATTTTTGAGTTTCTGAAGGATGCCATTCAATTGTTTGAACTTTTTCATTAAATGAATTGAGTTTTGTTACTGGGGTACCATTTTCTAAGTCCCACAATAGTACAGTTTGATCTACTGAACCACTAGCTAGAACGTGACTGCAAAGAATAGTATTTTTATATCGTGAAAAGTGTATAATGACGTTTGTCAAACAGTTTATTAAAGCATGTAATACTTACGTATAATTAGAATTCCATGCCAAATCTAGTACTGCATCTCTATGACCGACGCGTTTTAGTTTTAGTTTTTTACTAGGTTTGCGTCCAAGTTTAAATGCAGGTTCTAGACAATCAACTACATCCAAATCCCATACTTCTATAATTGGTGTCATATTACCAATTGCACATAAATTGCCTGAAGGAAAGTTGAATGTTTAGATATGTACTGAATTTGCTATACTATAGTTACTTGTCACCATAAAGTTACCTGGTCTTGGATCACTAGAATCGAAATTAAGCCATTCTATGCACAATGGAAAAGAAGGTAACAAAATATCATGATGACAGTAGAACGATCCCTCTTCTTCATTATAAACTGGAATGATATAATAAATATGAGTTTCTACTTCAAAAATAATTCTAGAATATTGTATGTTTACCATGTACTTCTAGAATGCTGGCATCTCCATCAACATGTCCTACCAGAACAAGATTATCAGTATCTTTAATAATATCATCTTCTTTCTCAGAATCCTCATCTTCACTGTCACCTACTGTTACAAATGGATCTTTTCCATCTTTATTCAATACAGCTAGACCACCAATGTTGCAATGAATATTGCCAGCTACATAGAAATTAAACTGTTGAAATATAACTTTCATATAGTAACTGTTTTAAAATATTCCATTGTATACCTTCATCATCGTATTTATCAAAGTTGAATTCATCCTCAATCATGGCATCACTCTGAGTTTGGTGTCCTTTACTTGAATTTGCCTGTTTTGATACTGTAGGATTAGTATCATCGTCATTATCATCATCACTTTCAATGTCCCTAATACCAATAGTAAAATTAATATAAATTTGTTTAAATAAATGCTAGTAGCAAAGTCATATGTAACATACTTTATATTAGATTCGGTCTGTTTTATAATATTCTCCAATTCTTGTGGAGTCAGTTGCACCTACGAACATAAGAATGCATCATGTAATGTATAAAAATTGAAACTGCAGTAAACGTAATACTCTAAATTTATGTAATAATATAACAACGTTAAACATCAGTTCTATAATCAGAAAATTCTTTTTAAGATTAATGTCACGGTTGATGAAAACTGAAGTGAGGAGAGAGCGCGATTAGACATATGCACTAACCTTATCAGGCACTGCAGCTGCTACGCCTTTCTTCACCCAAGTTATACAGGGTATGACATTCATTTCGACAAGATCACTTTTATATGTTAATACTTCACTATAATATATAAATTTCTGTTCAAATTTATTTTATATTGTCAATAAATTTCTGATTACAACCCACGTGCTTCTACAGTACTAAGTACATTAGCTTCCATACTTTAACTACAAGCCGCTACAGCTTAAAAAAGTATAGTTGTTAACTTGAACGACAGATGACAGTGAGGTCGGACATTGAAACAATTGATACTCGATAACTATTTCTGAAAATGAATTTTAAATTTAACACTAGAAAGACGGGAGCTTAGTATATACCTATATTGCCTGAAAGCAGTCAAAATGACTGCATTGTGAAAAAATAACTAATGCGCAAAGAAATTTGTTTAACAGTAATTTTTAATATATTTTATATCACTTACAGTCATATAACAAGTTATTAATAAGTATTAACAATAAAAAAACCTGACAAAAGTCGACACGTGCGCAGGCGTATCGATTAGAGTATGAGATCATACTACGTTGCAGCGCGTTCAAAGGGAACAAAGCGCGTGGCCAGGCCTGGCATAAAGATTCGAATAACAAGTACGAATAACAATAACTTTAGTTTCTGAACAACTGCAACTATTTAAGTAGATGTCGAAATCGACAATTTATCATGAACTTGTATGTTATCATGTTATTCCAATCCAAAGCCGAACTGGTCTTTTCCAAGTAGTCAAAATGACTGCTTTTCGGCAATATAGGTATAACCCACATATATATACCGGAAGTGAAGGAGGGGGGGCCACAACAATGATTAATTAACCCATTTATATGTTGTAGAAAAAGTCACAAAATTATAAAAAGCTGTGTCATTATTTAAATAATTATTTTTTTAATTGAAATTCAAAAGCAGTCAAAATGACTTGCTTAGGCAATCTAGTGTTAAGTGTGAAGATAGCTAGAAATGTTTTTATTTTTTTAGATCTAAAGGGTGCTTAATCGATGGGCAATCGTTTGACGGTCGCGAATGACTGCGATGATTACGGATAAGTAGTGGATGCGTTATATCGTTTACAGTCCTGCATTTCGATTGGACTTACATTTTGATCATTGGTTTTACATATATTGGATGTTCCTGATAGAGGAATATATGTGTTTTGCAAGCATGTGCCATAACAACAGTAATAAAGTATAATAGGAATATCTATTAGTATTAAATAATCCGCCACAAATTAAACGATTGCAGCATATGCTTGTCGCATACGAAAAAAAATGCAAGTATATGTATATATCTCGACTGTCACTTCTTTCAGATTTAAAATGGTATTGAGGATGCTATTAAAAGGATGAACAAACGTGCAATAACTAATGCTTAAAGAGTGAAAAAATATCGAATTCTGCCACATGACTCCTTTGTTTTAACGGGAGAACTGGCAGTGACATTAAAGATTAGAAGGAACGTTACACAAATAATGTACGCAAATCTGATCGATGAAATGTACGAAATAACCGGATTTTTTGAGATATAATCAGAAGAAGATTTTTGGACGCTGACTTTAGGGCTGTGAGCAAAAATAAAATTAGTGGTCTTTCTTTTTGAATCTCCCTTCATCGTTTTTGGTATTTTACACTGACTTCTTTTGATGTAAATAATATGGAAAGTTGAAAAATGTACAACGAATGCGGCTAGTACTCGTCGCGACACTCTTCTTCATTGACCTTTATAGAAATCAACATTCTCTAGCATTTAATGTTACATAACTTTTATCTGAAAAATACGTCTGCGTTAATGGGAGATCAAATATTGACAAGCATTTTATTTTAACTGCTGAATTTTTAAGGGATATTTAGTTCTCATAAGATTGTTATAGTGTTAAAAACAAAAAAATTATACATCTGGGAGGTAATCCTATTCGGTGCTATTTATTATTTAATATGTGACGTGTTAAATTAATTATATCTGTTTAACGTTATGTCATGAATCCCTTTGAGCTTTCCACAATATCATATATGGGTTGATGTGTTACTTCGAATTTCATGCATATATCCATTGCTAGAAATTGGTTGTTAATCACGTTTATTTAATTATAATCCCAGTTATGTAGTATAGTGGTTTAAATGGCCTACACCTATAGTTACAAAATAATGATTAGTCTCCTGAAATACCGATGTATCGAAAATATAGTACTCTGGTATACCGATGCATACTAGGACATTGGGATTTCAGTGGTTTGAACAAGTATGATAGTTTTTATATTGGACAACAAATGACAGTGCATTTTAAATTATTGTTTTTCCGGAGGTGAATCTGCCAATGAAGAAGAAAAATATTCACCAATCCGCAGATAAGTACTGCTACTGGATACTACGCCGCATTCACCGAATGCTATAAGTAGGGGAATCCCTGTAATCACTTGTAACGTAAAGTAGTATGTTTTTTATTTGGACGTATCTCTTTACCAGTCTTCCTTCGTTTTGATCATTTCAGCGGTCGTTAGAAAGTACATATTTTTATATCACAGGCAATTGAAGACACAAGCGAATGTGACAAAATGAACGTAATAACGATTTTATCATTAATATTTAGTACAAAATTCGTACTAGGAGCCAACATCATTTTGATCATTGCAGATGATTTAGACCTTGTACTTGATGGAATGGTGAGCTATCTTTTATTTGTTTGCTTAGAAGAAAAGCACAGAGGAAATAAGCAAATTTTTGTATTTTTCAGATTCCATTGCAAAATACTAGAAACTTGATTGGAAATAAAGGAATGAATTTTCAAAATTGTGTAAGTATGGATTTAATTATATTGTAACGTATATTTGAAATTAATTGTGTTTTCATCTTTTCTACTATTTAGTTTGTAGCTTCTCCAATATGTTGTCCCAATCGTGCATCAATATTAACAGGCAAATATCAACATAATCATTATGTTGTTAATAATAGCATTAGTGGTGGCTGTTACAGTCAACAATGGAAAACTACATTTGAACCAAATACATTTGCATCTCAGTTAAAGAATAAGATGGGTTATACAACATTTTACGCAGGGAAATACATGAATCAGGTCTATATTACTTTTTCTCTGTGGTCATTATGTTATTTCAATAATATATATTTTTTATTAAATTTAACAAATTTTTATTTACAATGAAGTACGGAGTTAATAGGGATTTTTCTGTACCACCTGGATGGGATTGGTGGGCTGCTCTTGTAGGAAACTCAAAATATTATAATTATTCTCTATCAATTAATGGTACTCAGTACGCATTTAGAGACAGGGATACAGACTATCTTACTGACAGTATCGTAAGTAGATATTTAAATGTAATCTCTACCAGAACTATACGAGTGACATATTTTCTAATGGTGAATTAGAAACATTACAGAGTAGAATGGCTGCCAATTTTATTAAGACACGCCGTTCAGATGAAAATCCATTTCTGATGGTCTTAGCTCCTCCAGCACCACATGCTCCTTTTACACCTGCTACTCGTCACAATGATAGGTATAAAGACACGAAAGCTAAAAAAACTGGAAATTTCAATACTCCAATGCAAAAGGTATTAATTCATGACATTCGCATTGTTTGAACATTTCAATTACTAGATTTTTAACTTAGGATAAACACTGGTTAATACGCATGGGACCATCACCACTCCCAGAAAGCATTCTACCTAGATTGGACGAGGTTTATAGACGTCGTTTTGAAACTCTCTTAGCTGTGGATGAGCTTGTTTTAAATGTTCATAAATCATTAACTAATGCTAATCTTTTAAACAATACTTACATTATATTTACATCTGATAATGGCTATCATATTGGTAAGTTTATGTACATCTTGATACTAAATGAATAACAAACAAGATTATGAATTGGGTAATAGAGAGCAGACATAATTTTGATACGTGTCGTTATATAAAATAGGTCAATTTAGTATGTCGATTGATAAGCGACAGCCATACGAAACAGACATACGCGTTCCTTTGATGATTCGTGGTCCTGGCATCTCACCAAAAACTGTTATAGCCCCAGTCAGTAGCGTTGATCTCTATGCTACAATTTTAATGATTGCTGGAATAGAAGCACCGTCCGATGGTACATCCTTGATAGATACCTTACCTTTAGACAGAACTCTATTGATTGAGTACAGAGGAGAACATTCTGTCGGATTGCCATCATCAGGCTGTCCTACTGACGCGGACCCAAATCTTCAGGTAAACTCGTTTATTTAAACTTTTATCATCCGTATAACGTATCGACGATTATATTTTACTTTTTTAGTCGTGCAGCAAATTTTATGGTTGCAAGTGCCAAGACGTTGCAAATAACACGTATGCTTGCATTCGTAGAGTATCCAAAAAATACAACAACGTGTTTTGTGTTTTCGAAGACGATGAGGTAAATGCTTAAATAATTACATATTTCACCGTATATTTGTGTGAAGCTATAAAAAAATACAACTAGCTTATTTTAATTTATTTAGGCTTACATTGAGGCATACGATCTCAATTCCGACGTCGATCAATTGAATAATATTGGGAAAACTATGAAACGGGGTAAAAGGTACAAATTTAGAAGACGTCTTAAGAATATGTCGATTTGTCAGAATTCTGGTTGCATGAGGTAATCTTAACAAAAAGAAACCGCATATAGCAATAACCATAATGTCTCAAACATTGGTAAGGACTAACATTTTATACTGTATATAATAATAAGTAACGTAATTATTATCACACTATACCTTTAATTACATATAAAATCAATAAAATATTATATCTATCATGATTTTCTTTTTCCTCCCATAATACAAATAGATAAAAAAAAGTGGTTGCCACGAAAGACATCTGATTCGAACCGTGAAAAAAAGTATTTCGTACTCTGCAATTGTTTAAAAAATGAACATGTAGGACAGTATTCCTAACCAAATTATGCATCGTTCCCAATCTGTATGGGAATTCGAATTTACGAAACGTAAAATACGTGAACGCTCACATGGCTTAGCATACATGAAGCATCAAATTTTGAGGGAGCTGCGGGCTTTCTGTTTCAGAATTATTGCATTTATGGAAATCGCATCCCAGTCATATACATACCCCACGAATCTGGATATAAGAATAACTCCCTCGCGCCCTCCAATCCCTCGACGAATTGTTTTCTTAGCAAATATTTTTATTAAGACCCTGCGGGTCTTGAATATCTGAATAGCAAGAGTATCAGGAAACAAAGTCGAGGGAAAGTATCGAAGAGATTACTATGTATTTATCTTGGTAAAATGTTTTGCATTTTTTTTAACAGTGCATCTTAATCATCAAAGGTCAGCGTGAATTCTCTTACAACTTGAGTTTGATAAATCTTGGAAATTCTCTAAAAGCATAAAAACATAAAGCTCTCTATCGCAAAGCAAGAAGAATTATTAAAATGGTTAAGTACCATAATGTCGGCGACTCACAAAGCATCAGGTCTCGATCTTTTCAAAGTCAAGAAGCGTGTCTCGTCCATTGACGTTACATGAAAGGACGTCGAAATGTTTGTACACTCTGCGGTGTTAGATCCATGGACCGTTTAATCGTTTGCGCAGATGGTATTTCGGCGAATGGTAAGGCAGCATTCACAACGGTCGATTGAGCGATACATTTTGGACGGTTGAACACTGTACAATGACAAAGTACTTTTAAAAACTACTCACGCATTAATCAATAATTACGTTGCGCAAAATTAACGTTATCTATAAACAAGTCACGAAGCAGCGATCGAAGTAAATACAATATTTGTCAACCATTGTTATTAATCATCAATAATTAGAATCTAGCACAAAAATTACAAAGTAAGTACATACAGCTGTCTAATCATAAATATCAATTGATCTGGTATGAGATATTTCCATGTCACTAAAGTATATTTGAGAATACTGAATACCAGATCAATCGATTGAAGAAGTATCAATACTCGCGGTTCGCATTGTAGTGTCGTTAATACATTGCCATTGGGTCGTGAATAAGTCGGCTTGTGAAAAGTGTTTTTTTTTTTACTATACTTTAACCATTTTTTTGCTCCATTGATCATTCAAGCAAAAGATCACTCCTTTGTACAGAAGGATCAGTGGCTTTTGCTAGCTTCCAGGATACTGATCCTTGCTGTACCTATAGTTACCCCCTGGAATTAGTATCTTCTGTGTGGCATGCCGCTGACTTTCGCCGACAAATAAGTCGGCAAGGAAGGTACCTTTTGTCACCGTAACACCATTGTAATAAGCGTCGTCAGTAAAGCGTGAATCGAGCAACACATTAACGAATCAAAACGCACGATCAAATAAGTTAACGTTACGATAAAACTTTTGAAGCACCTTAGAATGAGAGATCTCATCATCTTTTACGAGTCTCATTAAATTGGCGATATATAATCTCCATTGCTGGGTATAATTAAATTACACGAGATTCATACATTATAAAATAATTGTTTTTTGCAGAATACATAAACTCACAGGGTTACGCTTAATTAATCTTATGAAGTAGTCTCGTGAAAATCGGCAAAATCTCAATTCATCCCGGAGTCTGCTTTTCTTGAATCTTCTTTGTTATTCGATAATTAGCTGCCATTAGCTCAACCAAGTTATTTCTCATTGCTTCGACGAAATACGAGAGGGTACTCTTGATCTCTGGTGTGCGGCAATGTGGAAAATGCGAATTTGCTACGAATTAGCCAATCGGAAAATAAAGCTTGTTTTACACGAGCCAAGATTATAACCGATATTTCGGTTATCAATGACAATCGTTTTCACTGTTTTATCGTATGACAAGAAATAGGCTATCCGTGATTTCGTCTAATGGTCAGAAACTCGAATGTACCATATCACTTGAACAAAACTTTCCGAATAGTTATTATCCTGAAATATTGTCATTGAAGCTGTATTGAGATATGTACCGGCATAACAGAGTAGTGTACTTTCGATACATCAGTATTTCAGGAAAATAAACACAACAAAAGACAGTGAGACTGGTAATAGAGGAACTGTTATTTTAACAGTAGTACTGTCAAAACAGTGATTCCTCTTTCGTTAAAGTGAAAAAAGATCTCGAATCCTACCAGTGTTACTCACTCTTAATATAATCGACTAACTCCGATAATGCGCACAGATACTCTAAGCGCTAAAGCGGAGCAAGATGGAACTACGTAAACAGTTCGGAGTAAGAATTTCCGTACTGGAAAGCTCAGTCCAATATTGGCTGTAGCTTGACCCATGTAAAACGGGCTTAACGGGATAGAAACTTTCTTTGACAATCTATATAGCGCCCTTTAAAGGTACCAAATAATATTTCTTATGACATATACTTCATTATCGGCAGAGTCATTTTTTTCAAATCCTCATCGTATCTAACACGTAGGGAAATGCGAATTATGAACTGAAAATCTGAGAGTTTTGAGTAAAATCGAATTTGTCAATATGATAGCACGCTTTTGTGCTTTAACTATATGCCATCAAGTAATCTGTTCCCTTTTCTCACCCTGTGCCTGAAACAGGGTTAGCGCGTGCATATATAGTTACTTATGTTAAAAAAGAGTCTCGGCAAGCCACGAGGCTCTCGTTACCACTACTGGCTTACAAAGCGAACAACAGTAGTCAAATCAAACACCAGGCTATTAACTAGGTCAACATTTCAAGGCTGGGGTACTTAGGGCCAACAGGCCCACCGGTCCTGACTAGTCTATCCCACTTCCCTCGGTTCTCATCCGCGGAACAAGAGCAAGACAACGGAGCCGGCGCACCAAAATAAATATCTAATGCATGCTTGACTGATCCCTATTGCGCCGGCTAATATTGTTTTAGGCACGGCCCTTGGTTCCTTGAGTTAAGTTTGTAACCTGAGAAATAACCGCTGCATACATATATTCACTGACGTCATATGTTCCTCGACACTAATGTTTCATAAGATCTTGTCAAATAATATATATATATATGTTATACAAAATGTAATATTCTTACAATATAAGCCGGCTGAACCAGTAGTGATACTAGGTGTAACTCGATTAATACATGCAATTACGTCCTTGATTCGAAGAAATGTGACGTTCTTCCCATGATAAGAGGTTAGTTAATCATTTAAACGGATACTGCGTAGTCTTTTAGAAAAAATAATTACGCAAGAAAATAAAATTGGCTTGCTGATTATTCTGGAAGAAAATCTTGTTCCGAGAATTGGCTAATCACAAAGATCTATCAGGTATGGAAGGCAGTGTTTATTACAATAACAATTAACAGCGTCAAGTCCGACATGTTTTAACCCTGCCTATCCACGTTTCACGCGTAACGATAAAACGTCTTTACTCTTCTCCCATCTTTTTTGCATACCTTTAATCGTCGCTTTACCTCTTTATTTTTCCACAGAGTATTTACAGCAGTTCTTATTACCACGTCGCTCGCCACGAAAAAAAATACCACGAAATTGTATTATATATATATATATATATATATATATATGTTTGACTTTCTACCAGCTCGACAATATCGAGTGCAGTAAAGTACATATAAATAAAATAGATGTATAAAATAGTATGAGCAAAAAATTTAGTTAATTAAAAAAAAATACATTTCCAGTACTCATGCATTTGTGAAAATCACATCGAAATATAATCGTCTTTTGCATCACAACGAAATTAATGCAAAAACGAGAATTTTATTTGAAGTCCTCATACCGTCGCACGTATCAGTGTAATTTGTCTCACTGTTATTTGTCAGCTTAAAACCAGGAGCCATTAGCAGGTATTATTCTAGTATGATCTGCCATCAGCAGGGACAATGGCGTCGGGATGTGCGCGTCCCACGATATTAAATGAAGCGAAGTGATATATTTCGAGGGGATAGACGAACAAATAGGGATGATGCGATAGGCTCTGTGTACTGGGCGGAGGGATAGAGACTCAGTTAAAACGGAGGTAACACGCAGAGGGTAGTCCCCGTATTACGTTACGCCCCTGGGCTGAGTAAATACCACACCGTTGTAATCTAGAGTTAATGGTGCTTTCATGATGAGAGTGTCTCTCTATTGAGCTATCGAATTTTTTCACAGTCACACTACTCGTCTCCACGACATGGAGAGAGCGAAAGAAGTGCTTTACCCAATCACAGTTCACATATACCTATAGATGAGAACATATACGTGATATTGTAAACAGAGACAATTTCTTCTAGAAAGTAATAAATTGTCAATAATCATTTAACGAATTATTAAAAAAATTTTGTTTACGTATTTTCGTTAATTTTACAGTTAATATCGTTAACGATCAGTTATATAATTATTCTGATTAAATATTTTCAACCAATTTATTTAACATGTCCAATCGCTATTACAAATCTTTGGATTAACGCTGAGAAGCCTTTAGCCCAGTAAAATGTTGTCTTTGGCAATTAGGCGATCACCTCATCATCCCTGAAACCTATTTCATCTGTAGTCTGAATTGAGAGGCTACATCTGCGCACTCGACAATGTTGTTTTAACGCGGCTTCAATTCCTCGCCCCATTAGTAACCCCGTTTTACTTCACGAACTCAATAACATCGATGTAATTAGGCAATGAGGTAAAAATAATATTACACGTAAGAGGTCGAGTAATTGTCAAATATATAATTAAAGTACAAATATTTTATAAATTTATATTGCAACCATACAAAAATATATATATATATACAAATCTGTCTATGACTTTCACACGTATCTAAATCAAATTCATATTTATTCCTGTTTATTAAATTATCATATTCAATGATTGAAAATGATCCAAGGGTGAAAAATTAAGATTGCATATCTCAAATTTTCCCAATGTCAAAAGTCAGAAGCCGTGATCATAATTGGATGAAGTTGTGGTACTGAAGGGTTATACATCAGTCAAAGCAATAACCGGGTATAGATAATTGTCTAGAGGGACTATAGTGATATCTATGACGCCCTAGAATGCTGCCACTGACAGGGCAATTATCTCGTCTCGCTTGTGGCTACCGCGGTACCTACCCCTGTATATTGCTACACCCCTTCAAAACGATATCATCCCTTCGCCATCATTGTGCCATAATGCACAATCTCTGTATGACGACATCTATTGCTTTCACGAGAATCCCAGCACCCCCATAATAAAAATATCAAGTCAATATGGTTAATCGTAGTTCACAAATCAGATGGGAGACTGATTTGGAGGTCTTGTAGAATTTTTTAATAAATTTTATTTTCACCCTAAAAAAATTTTTCCTTTAATAAAAACCCTTAATCATTGCCTTATATACGTTTTGTATTAGGAATGGTATAAAATTTTTATATTACACTTAGTGTATTTTAAGTTCAGTCCCGAGCCGAATATTCGCTTAGAACACAAAGGGCAAGACTAACATAATTATTCTAATCAGAGGGTGCTAATCCCTGTTATGCGCTATACTGTTCCATTGGAGACCAGGTATCATAATAGGGTTGCATCGTGTAAGGGTGGATCAAACGGTACAGTATATATGTATATATGTATATACGGACAAATACGTATGTACATATGTTCCCTCGTGTATGTATATGGTTGGATTGAAACACCTGTCAGGTTTAATGTAATCGCGGAAATCAAAGAGATCCGAATCGGCCAGGTGAAAATTTTGGCTGGTTATTTCGAAGGTAAATGCGAAGAGACAGAGAGACATTGGAGGGTGTTACTAGGCAGGAAGCCATGTCGGGTTCTTGGTTTGATTAACGTATCGACAGGAGGTTTTCAATATAGAATAGAGCGAATCGTTGTCTCATTCCAAATAGGAATCACTACAATGAATAAAACGTGGTAATCGTTCCTATTCTGATATATGGTTTCATTGGCTCATGTTCTTATAATTTTTTTGAATTATGTACGAATCCTATAGGGCATTTTAAAGATTGACGACGGGGATGCTTTGAATATTGTATTTGCTTGAAACTGAAATTTTGTATGCGCAATAAATATTATAATTTTTATTATATGCCTATAATAAAAGGTAAAATTTTTCCCTCTGACCTTTAGGATTTGTCACATTTTTGTTTACATAGAGAAAACAGAAATTGATTACACGAATTTTCACGGAATCCTGTGGAAGTAGGTACGTAGACGTTGGTACGGAAAAAAAATATAAAGCTCTAAATTCCCGGTTTATAGCATTCACGTTTTCTCTATGGCTAACCATACCGGCGCAGTGACAACTGGTAACTCTCTGACACTCCTCATGCAGCATTTCTATTGGTTGATTCGGAGGGTAGTAGGCGTGGGCAAGCGAATCCCCACTGTAACTAAACATCCCCACTTCGACACCCTTTGGAATGTACCGTTATCCGAAAGAATCTCAACCCCCTTTAGGAACACAGTGAGCTAGGGGTTGAACTTTACTTGTACGAGAATAAGGGTGTCTGTTCGTGTCTAGCAACCGATAATCGGCCCTACATACTTTCTTTTTTCGTGTCTTGTAAAGGCGCCATATTTTTCTCGGTATCAATACAGAGCATCTTTGTATTCTTATGTAAATTATTCAATTCGAGTTTTTTTTTCTAATCTTGTCTCCTTTACAACTTTTTATTGTGAATATGTCAGATGGTTTGAAGGTACGAGATTTTGTGCAATTTGTTGGACAAAAATTGACTTTGTAATCGTATACGAAATAGTGGCTTTGAGGTTAGTTTCAAGATGCGCACAGTCATGCCCAGTCTTTCACGTAACCGGCATTCGTATTGTTTGCATTAACGTTCGGCTAAATAATACAAGCCCGTCAGTTTTAGAGCTGCAATAAAGAAGGCCTTCGCAAACAATTTCTAGCGGAAGAGAGATTAGTATTAGTAGGGGTTGAATAATCTCATTCTCAGTTTCTCACCGGGTCCTTTGGGGAAACAAGGCACGGCAGTGAAACGACCAGAGCGACGATAAAGCACGGTATTTGTTTGAGGATTAATAAATTCTCTGTTTGATCGTGAAATTTGGACGACCGTGTTCCTAGGAAACTTAACCGAATACAAGGAACTCGCCGCACATAAAAAACCATAGAGGTAGAGAACACATCTAGAGGAAATCATGGAAAAATTTTTCCGTTCTTTACTCACCGCGATTTTAAAACATTCATCGTGTGAACTCCGTTTCAATAAAATGATAAAAATTTTAGATATATTCCTGGACAAAAAAAAAGAGAAATCTTCGTCACCACCGAGAAGATCTCTCCGAAGCAAATGAAACGGTAAGACTTTCTAAGTACCTAAGTAAGATCGGGATGCATCGAGGCGTGCTGTCGCAACGTTGAAAATAAGCATTAAATATTTTCACACGATGCGTCGGCGACGAGTCGTGAAATCCGCGATCCGTGTTACCTATGCAAGCTTTCACTCACTTCTCTGAAGGAGGACGACGACGTTCGCGTCAATCTCACCAGAATGCGACACTGAAAATCCAACGCTCGTATTTTCGGTCGGCCAGTTTGAATCTTCCAGTGGTCTTGTAGCCTGTGAAATATCTGCCGTGTGGATTTAATAGGATGGACATTCGTCTCGACCTTTACCAGTGCTCTTACAGCTTTGGCACGTCGGTTTAGCTGGATTATAACCTGGCAGTAGTTTTCCGTGAAGGATTCTGAAAAATGAGGTTAGTACGTAGAATTATTGAGACACTTTCCGTAAGCAGAAACATATCGTCAGTTATCATGAGAACACGTCTTGTGGAGCAAGTGCTCGGGTGTCCCGAGGGTTTTGCAAAGGGTAATTCGAGCCCTGTGCCCGTTGCTGTATAAGTGTTCTCTTCTCAGAGCGTAAAACAGCAAGAAGAGGGTGGCGCTATCATGGCGCCTGAGGCTTGTGCAGCTGACGGCTCAATTATCTCGACAACGGGCTCACACAGTCACGCCTGCCAACCCTCTAATGTAGGTCTGGGTCCTTGAAACATCCAGCCCCAAGTCCATTGTCCTTCAGCTATTAACTGCCTCATCTCTGTTCTCAATAAAAGACTCATTGCCGGGGCATGCTTTGACTCGTGACAAGTATGGCTAACCTCCTGAGACCGACTGCTCTCTTTAGACTCGTTTCGTATCAGTGCTTTTAATCCAGGTTTTAATTTAGTCATAGGACACGTGTGATGGAGCAATAGAAAAATAGGTACATAACCTCCAAATAATTTATTCATGCTGTCTATTAATTATTTAATCGATTTTTTCATGCACTTTATTAATGATTCATCATTACACTTCCTGTATATCGTGAGGCGAATGTCATTAGGGTAACTCTATCCATTGTCTTAATTATGGTTTCTTCGGACGACAACCGGTAATGAATCCATTAGCCTGAGACACTCCTTAGATACATTTTTAGGCGGGACGCAACTCTATAGATTTCTTAATCAAAGGTATACATATAACAGAGACGTGAATCTTATAAATGCTTTAGAACTAGCTACTGGCACATCTCCTCATTGGAGGAGTCAGCCATAAGGAAAGGAAGGAAGGAATCTTATAAATGCTTTAGAACTAGCTACTGGCACATCTCCTCATTGGAGGAGTCAGCCATAAGGAAAGGAAGGAAGGAATCTTATAAATGCATATATTTTTTTGCATTAAATTCAAAATTTTCATTGTCCGCAGATTAGGCATCTTTAGGGTGTATTCCGAAATTTATCGATAGCATTGCGAAAGTAGTTACATCTCTCTCAGATATGCATAAATGAAAAAAGGACATAGCGCTGGTCGCGGCACTGACAGGAAACTTGGGAACATTCAGACTACTGAACTAGTCAAGTTCAAGGCAAACTATCGTCTTTCGAGTTTGCAATCCTTAGGATTCAGGGGTACAGCATTAGGTATATTGCATTCTTGACGCAGGCCCTCGATGGAATCTCGTTGTAACGGCGCCTTTATACGTTGTTCCAACACCTGTATGTGGATTATCCGCAAGTAGCCAGTGGTCAGTCAAGTTCAACATAAACTATCGCGTTACACCCGAGTGAGCCTTCGGCTTCCGGCCAATTATTCCTCAAACTTTTGACCGCAGATTTGAAATGCAATCTCGTTAGTACGACAGCTCCGGCGTGAAAACGGATGTATTATGTCAAAAAGCCGAAAGCTAGGACGGTAGAAAATTTTTCAAGGCCAGAGCCAAGGTCTCCCATACTTAACTGACCGGTACCTAGTACTTAGCGGTTTGGTACTTTAAAAGTAATCCGGGTCTCTTAACCCTGGATGAGTATCCAATACCTATTACTTTTGCAGCTAGATTATTGCAGAATTGCAAAAAAAAAATGTTTTTCAATTTCTTCTAAAGTGTTTCACAAAGAAAAGGCGTACGAATGATTTTGAAAACGTTTTCATATAATTGTAATTTATTAATTTCGAAAAACAAACTTCCTGGGGTTACACGATGGAAATTATAAGAATGAAGCAATTTGTATTCGTCAAATATTTCAATGTTATCTAGATGCAACTTATTCTTAACTTCAATCCACATCCCGAGTCGTTGCTGTCATTAGAATTTCTTCAATATCCTAATGGAAATGAATCCCCTAGGATAAAGACTTCAGCTTCACAAAGGCGAGTTGGAACCAACTCTCAGGGATAAATCTCACTAGCGGCGTTACCTGCCCGCACTTCACTTTATTTGATTACATGAAGACTCTGAGAAATGCTGCGTCCCTACCGATGTTTTCTCGAGTATACCGTCAGCCACTGTCATCTGGACCTCATTGTCGTTTCGATGAATTAATCAAATCGATTAAATATAATATAGACATATTCTCACATACATCACATTTGATCTAAAAGCGATCACCTGAGTTATAATATAAGTAAGACTACATAATTACGTAAGTGTAAAAGGCTTAACAGCGTTACCCTTATTTAATAACCCTGTACACTCCATTTGATTAGACAGAAAGTGAATATACGTGAAATGCTTTGGCAAAGATTTACAAATTAATTACAGCCTAAATCCTTCGAATACACATAATACTGGTCACATAATACATAATAACTTTTTTTTTCATTTCCTCCTTGATACTTTCCATATTATTTTCTTTTTTTTTTTAATTAATTACATACTTTGATTTTCATAATTTCCTTTTACAGATTCATCGCATCGTTAACACCCATGTGCATTTACTATTGCGCAGACAGTCTACCTGGACTCGTCTCACAGATGAAAAGAATTCAACGCAAGGAACCTACTTGGAGAATAGAAAATCAACTAGCATAAGAACTCAAGAAAGGAGATACGCGCTTGTTAAACAACGACACGACTGAAAGTCAAGTTGACAAAAAGAAAGTAAAACGAAACCTTTTGATTCAGTCCGACCCCTTGTTTTCCACGCAGCTGACTCCTCGTTATACGTGGAACTTCAACAGGAAAGATAACGTATCGTGGAAACAATTTAAAGGAGAAAAAGGTGGTACGTAACTATAGTGATTTCTGAATTTTTCATTATTTTTCTTCGCTCGTTTAATGTAATAAAGAATTTTAATATTCGTGGAAGTCTTTGATCGTGTTTATCTAGGTATTATGATAGTGTATTTTTTTAAGGTTACAAATCTAATGTCGAGTGGCTTAAGAAATTGATCAGTGATATTGAAAGTATCACTGAGTAAATGACGCACTCGTAATTTCTAGTCGACCTCTACTTGACTGGTTCACGTCGCTGGATATCACAGACACAATCCTTTTCTCATATGGTATTCACCCCTCAAGCCCGTTTACTCTTTGGTGCTTTGCTGGGTTGGCAACAGTTGCCAACCAGCCAGGGAGAAACATGAAAACACGAGCTCGAATCGCGACGCTTATATTGCACCGGGAGAGCAATAAAACAGTGAAGCTTGGAATGTCGCGTTTCAATCATTCCGCCATTGTGAAACTGGAATCGACGCATGGCCGCAAACTTCAGGGAAAACACATATGCTACTGAAATACTCTTGTTTGGTGTGCACGTACACGTGGATGGAAAAACCTAACCAAGAGAAATGAGGTAATTTTTGAAAGAAGCGTTTACAACAAAGCTTGATACTCTTTTTACATTTAATTCCAAGGGATGCGGAACAGTCAAGGGTTAGAATTGTGTACAGTACGGAATGACGAATTTGGGAAATTAAGTGTGATACAGAGGATGAAAATGGTTGCTGGTACAGAAGGAAGCATGGGAGAACCATTTGTCTGGTTATAGAAGAGAGAGTAAACACGTAGATGGGGGTTGAACGACGTCCAGGGGTTGATTTTGGTTTGGGATATAGTGGGTGCAGAAATCGCGTAGGTTTCTACCCCCGTGGGCTATATCCCCGGAATCAGCTGCCAGATTATTCTATTACCGCGTATCAACATGGGGTTTGTTTGGTCTGAAAACACGAGTTCGCCACATTGTTTCAGGCAGATAAAGAATTTAACGTCAGGTAATTAAAAGGGCGGCCTCGGGCTACGGAATATTATTCTTACTTTAAATCTCTAGCAATGTCTCCGCAGCTTCTCACGTAAATCTCTCCTGGGGACATTTTGTCTGTTCTTTTCATCTGTCCAAAGAACATCGCTTATCCACCATTCTCCCTGATGGAAACAAATCATCCGGAGAATCTCTGTTCTTTGTTTAAATTAACACAATCTTTCAGTAAAAGCTGTTAGCTGCATCTCCCTATAATACTTTTCTCATTAAATATCAAAACAGTCATTTAACATCAGTTTTTTTTTGTAATTTTAAAATTTTTATCATTTCATATTTTTTTACAGGCCTAACAACATTCCATACGTTATTGACAATGGGTTCAATTTAGTTTGACACGTTACTTGTTTTTTTCGAAATGGATATGTCTAGCATGGTTTACCGATCCTAAGCGAACGGGCATAGAAAAGCAATAATGGCCGCTGAAAAAAAGATATACATATATATCCAAACAGTCGGAGATATAACTATTCGGAATTGTCAGGGCGAAATAATGAAGCGGCGCTCGTCCATGAATTTTGCCATGCCAAAGTAACAATAACAATCGAGAGAAATGTTCGGTGATGTGTTCATTAAAATATAATTAATTGGATTGTCAGTACGGTAGAGCAATTGAGGATACTTTGTGTATATGTATACATATAGCGATGTGCACATTATTTATAGAGCCGTGGGTATGACTTTTTGTGCGTTACCGTATATGCACCGTTTATTCGGGTTTCGTTGGATCTCGTCATCCGCCTACGATTTTCTAGCGCAAATATATCCCCTTGGTTAAAGCGAAAATATAGAGGAAACGCCAGCATATTTCCATGCTGAAATTGTATCCGTTTAACAGATTTGTCAAAGCCATCATTTTACGAATAATATATTTATGTTTCAATTTTTTTTACTAGCCTCGATATACAGGTGAATTATAGAATCATTGTAGTCTTTCAGATTCAGTCACGGTTCAAGTTTTACTATTAGATTTGCAAATTATCACGTATACGAACGAATGTTGGTAATTCTAACCTATAAAAGTCATGCCGAAGGATAGAAAGCGTATTGAGAATCGTATGATTAATTATTTAAAAACGCTTTCGCGATTTAGCTATTGTGCTATCGAATCCGTAAAGTTTGATTGTTTCAGTGTGTATTCCATTAAAATTTCAATAGAAATCGTCTTGATCTTGGCTTTGCTCAGCCAACTTCATTTCGAACTCAGGGATCAGACCGATTCCAAGTTCGATTCACTCCTGGAGTCCCGCCACAGTTTCCCTAAGCTAGAATTCCCGAAGGATATATACAGAGAGGGGAATGATTTTCTCTACGAGGAAAAAAAAATCAACTATCATTAAATAATTTTGCTATTTTTATCGTACCTACGATTATTGAAAATCTTAAATATCTCACATGATTATTTTTTCTTTATACATTTATTTTTTCTATATTCAACTTTTTTCTTCTTCTGTGGTACGCGTACCTATGGACTATATGGTTTTGCATGCATATTATTCAGGACTGCTGTATCACCTGAAGATCGTTATTAATACTACCGTGGGCAATAATAGAAATCTTCAGGCGGTACAGTAGTCCTGAATAACCGTGTATGTACATGTAATATGCGGGAAGGGAAATATTCCTCGACTAGGAATGAGGTTCGGCATGAAATCCAATAATGATCTCAGTGTGCCCCCGACCCTGTAAGGTTTCACGTTATTTTCATCGTGATTCGCCGTAATTTTATAAACACTTTGAAAATCTTGCGTCACGGACTTGGCTTCGCGAGCAAGATTGCATTCGTTCAGGGGCTTCTTCGTCTGCTCTCAGGAAAATAATTAGAAAATCACATAACCAGACCACAAATCAGAGTCGTTGAGTATTTAATGGGATCACCTATGTGAAGCCCGTTATGATCAGAGGTAAAATTCAGATGTTTTATATTCCTTTCAAAATTCCCGCTTGCTTCATATCATTAACCTGATAAGATATTTTAGGAGGAAGTTATACAAATTCTGTATCATTGTAATAAAGATAAAAAATTATTTAAAAAATGACCGACACTGATACTGATAATACGGCAGTTCCAGAAACCGACACAGAAACAGATAACTATGTATCTGAGAATGAGGTTGCACCCAGTACGGATGGAGGAAAGGCAGATAAAACGGAAGCGGAAGACGAAAACGGAACGAGTGAAGCTGAAGAAGAGAGAGAAGAGATAAATGCGAATGTTGGAAGGAAGAAGAAAAAGAGCAAGAAAAAAGTCAAGGATGGAAGTTGTCTCGAAGAAGATTTCTGCGATGAGAAAGAGCTTTGGCGTGTTTACATGAAGTCGTACGTATTCTTATGAAAGGAATCGTTCTTTATTCCACTGGTATTATTGATTATTCAGATACGTCGAGAAGGAGGAGAGACTCGAGGCAGAGGATAAGTTTGCCCGTAGGAAAGCAGCCAACCTCCTGAAGTTGCCGAACGTCAAATCCGAGGAGGACATATCGGTTCCATACGAGTGCTTATATTTAAATGCATTCAGCAAAGCCGACGCCCTGAAGCTGCCTGACAAATTGAATCGAAAGGAAAAAATACGAATATGGAAAAGTTTAGAGACCAAAGTCATTTCGGATGCCGATCGGCAGATTGAGCGGAAGCTGCAAGCGGAAGCAGAGAGTGAAAAATTTCCGGAAGTGTGGCCATGCGCCGACGAAGAATATATTGAGGAACTGAAGAAGATTTTTAAGAGAAATAAGAAAAAAGAAATTTTTCCTCTTATCTCGGAAGAACGGGAGGAGCTATTGGAATTGCCTAAAGAGAATTTTGCAGAAAGGAAGGAACTCGGTCATGCGAGGATTCCGCCAGCGTGTCCAACGATAAAGAGTAATCTGATGGTCGACAGAGCTGCTGGTGAACATCCGGGATTGGTCGACGGTGACTACGTGATCTTTGAGTTGGTCTCCAAGAAGAAAGGAAATCGAACCTATGCGGATGTTTGTCTTCGCGGTATGAAGGGAATGCATCTTCAGGAATTGGAAGGTTCTCGTAGCCGTGAGAAAACATGGAAATTTTGTTTCTATCAGGCGCTTGTTGCTCTCCTGGCTAAGACTCAACTTCGTTATAGATACGCGTGGAGTGCGAATCTAGATTACATTTATGATCATGCATGGATGCTGTATGTACACATAGGTAGCATTAATCTCAGGGAGAAGCAAAGATTCGACGACGTTATTGTATATAATTATAAGTACAGTGTGGAGATCGAATTAGTATGTGAAACGAAGGACGTGCCTAGGGTAAATGAGGTAGAGTGGGATTACATAGAAAAGAATTTTAAAAAGAAATTAGAACTCGAGAGAAAGGAGTTGATGCATACAAATGGAGAGATCAATTCGCAGAAGATAAAGGATCAGCAAAATATACCAGTGCACAAGTGTACTAAGGTAATTGAAAATTGGTTCGACCAGTTAGACGTACGATATCAGAATTGTATTTTTCGCACTACGAGATACTCCTTGGCTTTTTGGAAAGATGATTTCTTCTGGTATCTTTACAATCCTTATCGCTGTGACAAATTTGGATTTTGGGATGATTCTGGATATGCGTGTATTATGAAATTTTGCTCGAGGGATTCTCTTAGAAGGCATTTGATGATACTTCTGCTAAGAGCATATGTATATGAAACACCTAAAAGCGAGATTAACGACAAAGTTAATGAAACTGATGAAATTGACCAGAGTGAAAATAATCAAGGTAAAAGAGACACTATAGAAACCACTGACGAATCGATACAAGAAATCGAAAAGAAGGAAGACGTTCTGACCATTCAGATTTATCAAATGATCTATCATAAGACTCAATTGTATAATATTGATCTATTGCAAAAATCCGCTCCTAAACCTCAAATGCAGGATATCGAAAAACAAAAACTCAATATCTGTCCGATAGATCCCATGGAAACATATGATCCTTGCAAAGAGTACGAGGATAACGAATTAATAGAGAAAGTCAGCTGGTTAAAGACGTTCAAGATAACATGGCCCAGATGTCAAGCCATAAAGAAAAAATCATGTCGGGATAATTCTGCAACTAGTGTAAAGTTAAGATGGCACCAGTATTACGTCGAAGAACCATATAAAATATTTTCTCTCTGGGCTGAAATTCATCCTACGGAACAGCTGTTTCCAAAAGAGAACAGAGGAAAACAATCGTACGCCTGTTACGCGGTCTGCGCTGGTATGACACGCATAACGGCGCCGGAATATTGGACGCCTAAGACCTTGGATGCCATTGTTATGTGCGGTGACAAGTATTACACTTTGAGTAAATTAGAGGCTGAGGCGCTTTCTGAGAAGACTGAATACTCGCAGAGGGATTGTTGGGATAAATATTTAACGGAGTATTTTAAGATCGGCGAGACACTTTTTCAGGTTAAGATATTGCCGTCCATCTGTGGAAAACTTTACTCCAAGTTAGCCAAGTATCTCTGGCAGACGTTGGAGCAAATGTTTGTCAAGTATCACTTCGGAATACTTACCTGCGAAAATACTTGTGTAGGGCTTTTTAAATTTTGTGGCGCCTATTACATGTGCGATGTCCAATCCTGGGGGCCACCATTGTTTCAATATGGCCATGCGGTTGCCTATCTTCTAAGGTCTACATCGTTTTTTAAATTCATGACTATTCTGATACTTACTATTGGCTCGCCTGAATGTAGCCGTTTTTCACTTAATCCTATAGAGATTGTTAAAGTTATTGAAGTTGGATCTGCCGACACTCCTAAGCAAGTAGATGCTCAGAACAGGCGTAAGACATCAAGTAATACTACGAAGGTAACTTGTCCTTACGAGGATGATAAGAAACCAGACCCGAAAAAGTGGCGACCAAAATCTGCACAGTCCGAGAGGAAGACTATAGATAAAACAATTTGCAAAGACGAAAGTAGTAAGAAGCGTTTTAAAAATAAAAAATAAATAAACAAGTATTTATAATTGTATGACGAATTATAGTGTAACAGTATCGCGTGATATTTGATTCTTTCACGTATTATAGATCGGGTTAATATTTATCTGAAGAAAAATAGGCGCATTAAAATACCTGCACTTTGTACGTGCATATTTGCACGAGGAAATAAACTGCCACAGGCGCAATGCCGTTCTTTGTACGAATCGTGCAATATTGCGAAATCAAATAAAGCCAGCTAAATTAAAAAATATTTTACGCATTACTCGCTCGGTTAGAAACACAGGTTAGGATGGATTTGATTTTGCAAATATTTAACATTGTTATAAAAAGGAAAGGGGCGAGGAAAATAAATTCATCGAAATCAACAGTTTCAATTTTCAACAGAATTTCGCAAAATGCGAGTATCTCAATTCGGGCTTCAGCTTAAGTTCGCGCTGCCAACTTTGGACAGTTGAATAATTGAACTAAGGGCCTCTACAGTAAAAAGAGCAAGTTGATCGTCTTTAGGTCTCAGACCCTGCAATGGTGAGGGGTTTTCAAACTTGTAGTAAGGATTGTCTTAGTTTCGGTTGCATGAGGCTTTATAGTATATACGTATATGTACTCAACAAACTTAGTTAACTCTAAACGTAGAGAACTTGCAATGTCCATGGCTACCCTCTGTGACTATTCATACATACCCTATACTGTATGACACAGTTTTGATACTCCAAATAAAACATTTCGTGACGCAATTGTCGTATCAGTTGCTCAATATGTAAAAACACGTACCTATATATGACTCTTATCCATAACCAACCTATAGTTATCGTACCCAGCTAACGTTCAAAATTACGAACTTCTAAGTAGATAAATAAATCGATAGATAGCATGACGCATTTTCCCATATCAAGTGTATGTTATCTAATCGGAAAGAACGTATAACCTATATGACTGTTACGAATGACCAACCGATCAGTATTGTGCCGGTTTAAGTTCAATGACTGAGACTAATTTCCAGACAGAATAACTTGTGTACCCATGTATAAATTTTAATAAATCTCTAATCAATGTCAAATCAATATATCCAGTATGTAAATTTTATGGACGTTACTAAACGATAAATGTAACTTATTCACTTGCAATAATAGTTGATAGTGGCAACGAAGGTGATAGGCTAGTGTTGGACAATACGTGTAATAATAAATAATAGAAATATGTACATTAAAAATGTCTTAAGATTCTTAAACTCAAGCATTACGTTAAAAACGTATGGGCTTATTTGTATTGTTTTATGCTCATTGATAATCCTGTGGTTACACCAGTTGAACAGAGATCAGAATTCGTTGAATCGTAGCAACCTCGTAGATCAAACACGTCGTGAGGATGCGTTAATTTTGAAAATATTAAATCCATCTAATCCAAATTCGTATTCGAGGACACGAAAAATTCTTTACTGGACGAAAATGTTCCAGAGTGACAATTTTTATTTTGGTGACGGCGACATTTTCGCCGCATGTCCAGTTTGGAATTGTATTGCTACCAACGACAGGACTATCGAAGACGTAACAGAGTTTGATGCTATCATGTTTCATGGACCGGAAATAGACATTTTAGATTTACCGAGGAAAAGATACTCGCGGCAACGTTATATATTTGTGGATTTGGAAACGCCGATATATCATCCTATACAGAACAGAGAGATTTACAAAAATTTCTTCAATTGGTCTATGACCTACAGACGTGATTCTAGCCTCATGAGGCCTTACGGTATCGTCAGAAATGTCAGAACCAATGAGGTAATTCCACCTCATATACCAGCAATGTGGAAGGACGTGTCCAAAGGCAAAATAAGTGAGAAATCTCGGGATATAGTAAAATCAAAAACACGTCAGATTGCCTGGTTCGTGTCAAATTGTAAAACTTTAAGTAGGAGGGAAGATTATGTTGACGTACTTAAACAATACGTGGACGTGGACGTTTTTGGTTCCTGCAGTAATTTTTCTTGCGACACTCGACTGGGTGCAGAGTGCTACAAAATGGTGGAGAGGAAGTATTATTTTTATTTGGCTTTTGAAAATTCTCTCTGCAAAGATTACGTCACTGAGAAAGCCTTCAAATTTCTGGAATACGATGTCGTACCGATTGTGTATGGTGCTGTTGATTATGCTGGAGTATTACCACCGCATTCTTATATTGACATAATGGATTTTAAGTCGCCGAAAACTCTTGCTAGCTTTCTATGGGAACTTAGCTACGATTCAGAAAGATATCTTGAGTACTTTAGATGGAAGGATATGTACAAGGTACAAACGATACCGAACGAACACACGCTTTGCGAACTTTGTCAGAAGTTGCACGTGGAGCCACGACTTCCGGAAGTAATTGAAGACGTGTATAAGTGGTGGACTAAGGAACAGTGTTGGAGATTCGATGGAACAATATTAGGAATTAATTGAATGATCTTAATATAGGACGATTCTTAGTGATTAGAATAAAATTATCAGATGGTCATAAGAAATTTGTTTATTCAATTTTCTATTAAATACAAATTACTTCTTTTTTTATTAAAGGTACCTTATAACTATGCGTATGTAATAAGATCACAGCAATAAGTCACGATAATATTACCTTAATGTTATTATTAGATCTTAAGAATTAATATAATACTATATAAACATCCAACAATTGATTTAAGCCTTTAGAGTACAGAGCCTATTTTTGAAATTTAAACGATGGACTAGGCCCATTATTTTGGAGGATCCAAAGTCCGTACTTTAAAGGTTAAAAAACATTTCGTCAAATAAAAATAAAAATCACATATGTATACTATGACCTGGTGAAATTCAACTGTCTAGCATCGGTAGGAATCTGTGGTGTAGGTGATCTGTGATTGCGATTTCCAGTGAAGAAAATTAAAGCAAGTACCAAGCAGAACTCACTCGTTTCGAATTTTAACTATTTCGCATTCACAGACGGTGTACCTATTAAAATGCTAAGATTTGCTTGATATTGTTGTACAATCGATAATATTTATATTTTCAATTATATTTCTCGACGAGACAAGAGCAAGTATGATTTTTTATAACTTTGGACCACTTTCGCATCCTGATCCAATGGTCCACCAGCGATAAATATCCTTGTAAGTTTGATTACGTATTTCATTATTGTTGTGCAAAGCCTCACATAGTTGACAATTAATGTATCTCTTGGAAGTATCAATGTAATAGTGACTTTTCCATTTAAAGTAGCTGAGATATCTCTGAGTGTCTTTAACGAGAGCTTTGAGAAATTTGGCAAGCTCCTCAAGAGATGCAAAGTCTCTGGCGTTGATGTATGAATCAGGCGGTAGAAAAGTGCTATAATCCGCAGAGCCGTAAACTACTGGTATTACATTATACTCTAACACCCTAAATACCTTTTCAGTGAGATAATCGCGACAGAGAGAATTTTCAAAAGATAAATAAAAGAAATAATTGTCGTTCAATTTTTCGTAACATTCAGTTTCTATTTCTCGAGGACACTCCAGTTTACCGCATTTACCATATATGTCTATGTCCATATATTTTTGAAGCCTTTTGACAACATTCTCGCGTCGAGATGACGTAAAGCAGTTGGACACGAACCATGCAGCCATTTTGGTCTTATTTTGTACAATTAAATCAATCTCCTTCGGTACCGATGTGTCTGTCAGATTCTTCCAAACGGCTGGCAAATATGGTGGTATGATCTCATTGGTTTTAATTATTTTCACAACGCCGTAAGGCCTCATAATATCAGCATCCCTTCTGCACAAATAATTTTTTTAAATCCTTTGACATTCATAAATATAATGTTTATGTACCTGTAGGTGATAGTCCAGTTGAAGAAATTATTAAAAGTCGGATGATTCGGTATCGGATGATATATCTGCGTTTCGGAATTCATGAATATATATCTTTGGTGAGGTGACCTTTTTTTTGGTAAATCTTTGTAATTCAGTTCCGGTCCGTGAAACAAGATAGCGTCGAAATTCTCGACAGGCTGATAGTTCCTGTCGTTGGTACCAAGACAGGAGAAGATTGGACAATCAAGAAAAATGTCGCCATCGCCGAAATAAAAATTTTTACTTTTAAACATCATCGTCCAATACAGAATCGTTTTCATTCTTTTGCTTAAATTTCTCGGTGATGTAATATCTTCATTTTTTGATATTATTTCAACACCGTCTGCTGGATTTAATACTCTCATTGGTTGACGGTTATATAAAGCAGAGTTGTCATTTATAAAATTATTTTTCAGAATTATAAAACACAAGACAGTTAACGATACAATAAGTAACACAGTATAAACTCGAAAAGTTATACTACCAGTTAGGTATCTATACATTTTTAAAAGCACTTAACTTTATACACGCTAGTAGCCAATGCTTTACGCGAGTCGATGAGTACTAGACGTTTTACTAAATTATCAAGCTATAGTTATCGTCACACGTTTATTTTATCTTAAAAGTCCGGTACGTAGAATACTCTTGTTCGCCTGTAATCTCTAAAACGATAATACAGAAATATAATCGAAATATTCAATTAACATATAAAACTAAAATGCGTACTTTTAGTTTGACAGAGATCACAACCTCTTGCGTACTCTTAGATACATATTATGTGTCCGTTCATACATTGATTTTAATGAAAGAATTTCTGTTCATTAGCTTCAGGAAAATTATACTTATGTATCTCCTCGGTCGCCGATAAGGTAAGAGCCACGTGAGCTTGTCACGTAACCCGTTTCCTTGTAAACCAAATAACGTTCGCCCAAAAGTCTAATGGTTGAATAATTCAAATACAAATAATATGGATTTACAACTAGTGCCATCTTATAGGTTAGATTAAGTACGCACCTTTCTCTAATTGTTTCATGAGGATTTCGATTGTCTTCGGTACGTTACACCGTGCTGATCGCAGCGCAGCTCATCATTCCCCGATCAGTTCCGAAACTTTCTGGTCACTGCCGAACGTCAAAAATAGTTGCAATACTCATGAACATTGATGTTACAGACCGAGTAAGTAAGCGTCACGTGAAACTCTTTTTCCTCGTTACGAAATGCTCGCGTGAATTCGAAAACATTCGGTTACATCGAGTCACATTGCGGCGAGCCAAAAACTGTGTCTAGTAAGTCCGCTGCGTGTTCTACGGTTGAAAGACAAATGGGAGGGATTGTTTCTAGCCGAGCGCCGAAATTGACGGTACAAAGCACTTGGTCTATGAGGGCGCTCGAGTAGCCGAATATCTGTTTGGCGCGAGTTCATTAATTCGATTAAAAAATGTAGAAGGTATAAAATATCAAAGTATAATCACCCACGGAGATTCGGAGAAACTGTATCTTGTCGCGTGAGGTTAGACAATTTAAACAATTAAGACCATTAAATATTCGCACAATAATTTATTCGTTTATACACATTGATAATTAGTGTTATTTACAGGGATATTTACACCCTAATTTGTATGTACATTCTCCATTACAGAAGGAGATCAAATGCAATTGATAGATTTATAATAATGGACGTACAAAATTCATTGACGTCAAACGATTTCTAGGTTCAGGTCAGAAATGAATTCAAGTTGCTCCCGTCTCCATGAAGGAAATAGTAATGTCTCTATGCCCCAAGAAAATGCATATGTAGATCGACTATAAATATTTTCTTAAAAATCACACTACGCAACTTCCAAATCCGAACTGTCGGTATCCTGTTCGTGTTGAGGTCTGTTTAAAGTTAAGTGTCCAGCAACTCTAATAGGAGGCGTCGCTACGTTCTCGTCGGGGCGCTGTCGCTGCTCTAGTTGTAACTTTCGTAGCCGTTCCTGCTCCTCACGTTTTTGTTTACGCCACTTTGCTCTCCTATTCTTGAACCAGACCTGGAACAATAATTACCGATCGCTGGATGAGTACCGAATTATATTTAGTGAGTCCACGAGTATCTACGGCGAGTACGAAAACTTGTATTCTTTAAGTTGTCAAGTTTCGTGAGTGCCTCCCCGTGTTATAACCTACCAGACGACCTGTCATTGCGCATTGTTATCGTTAGCCCTTTTTTCTTCCGTCTCAATGAAAACGGCGACAAAGGAAAAGAGTTAGCCCGTGAAGAAATGATACTTTATCACTAATTACTCAAATGGAAAATAACAAGGGAGAGAATTTGTGTTTCTCTTGTTCCACCCTGTTTTCAAACTCCCGTTCTGTCTGCGACTTCTAACCCCATGCCGAGAGTTCACGAGCCGAGCTTTTGTAGGGGTTAAAACGAGAGTAAGGAAAGCTTATTATTAATATGAATGAAGAACTAGAGGGTTGCTTATTGCTGTATTAAATATATATGTGTGTATATATATAAGAAACACGATATAGAAGGTTATTACATACATTGTATTTAAATTAAGGGTGTCGCGGCAATTTCAAATTTTCATAATTCTATTACTTTATGGATAACCTTTAAATTATTTAATTTAATCAAGTTTTCAGTACTTTATAATTATGTATGACAGCCGATGGTTAATTACTTTTTTTTAATTAACAGATTGATATTAAATAGTTGCACTGAGATATGATTGCATAGTTCTTGACTTCAATGTAGTTTGATAATTATTAAAAAATGTATAACTTCCACGTAAATAACTATCAGGCTTTAGTACACGTGGAATAATTCAATTACTTCGTAACTCAATTAGGCTGTTACTTAAATCAGTATCGCTCCATTAATGGTAGCCCGTAGTAACAAGACTCATGGGAGGCGGGAAGATCAAACAGCGTCAACCCACATTTCAAATCAGCATTTGTCCATTACGCCTGTCTGATTCAATTCGGGGAGATGATTGACGATTCATCCTTTATAATACGAATAGGTACATTTTGTCCCTTTGTTCAATAAAAGAGTGAATTTATACGATTCGTACTTCTAAAATCGTCACAAAAAAATGTGAGTGAAAATGAAAAGTAATATAAATGTCTTTAACTAAATTTCAAAACTATTATAAAATTTAACTTTTCTTTCTCAATTTGTTCTTTCGGTGTCACCCAGGAAAGTCATTTTTCGACTAATTCTGAGTAAACAGCTGGGGGTTGCTTTCTGAGGCAGGTGTGGGTGGTAGGTATATGTTGTTTCAAAGTCTTAAAGGCTCCTCGAAGAATGGGGATTCTTTGGTCAAGCCGCCTACGTGGGTGGTCTTGGAAAATACTAGGTGTAAATGATGCAGAGAACATATAAAATCCTCTCGGATCTTTCCCACAGAGGATATATCTTAGATGCTTAAGAAATTCCAATGATATCGACGCAGTATAGATATATCCGTACAGTAAAATAAAAATCACGTACTTTAACATCACAAAGACAGTCTGTGTACACAGTGAAATTATTTTTAATAAAATAATAATTTATCACAGCGCCTATTTTTACTGTTGTTATATACGATTATAATTTGTATCACTAATATACACTGGCTTGTGTACGTATTCGTGTATGGCTGTGTGTGACATTAAACTACATAACCTATAAGTCAATAATCGCAGTGGGTGTATAGTTTCCAAAGCCTTTAATCGAAAATACCGGCATTTTGGTAAACAGTAGTGTGTCGCTTATTAATATGTGTATATTGTGGGTAAAGAAACATTTTAGCGACTACGTACAATCATAATAGGCTTTGTGCATTAGAGTAACAAACAGTTGACATCCGACAGCGAGCAAAGTTTACCTGCATTATAAATTGTGCGTGGCGGCTAAACCGCCTGGCCTTCAAATATTTGTCAAGCCGAAACTCAATATCTTAAGGGTTGAAAAAAACCAATTTGTCAGACGACACACGATGTTTCTAGAATGTTCTGTGGGATGGCATTTTTGTTATTTCCCTCAAGAGTTTGATTCCTAAAATAATTTTTTGAAATGCGCGCCGTTTTATTATATAAATTTTGTACGTCAGGAATTAAAGCCAGGCAATTTTTTTATATTTAATTATGAATATTGTCACGGATACCGTTAATAATTAGAATTATACCAGGTAGCCCCATACAAAAAACTTGAGGGTTTTACAAATATGAAGATCATCACACGCTACCTTTATTATTCTGGTTATACCTTGATATAAGGGCTGGGGAGAGAAAATCGAAGAAAAAATAAGACAGTCCTGCATGTTCGTGCGGTCGTGCCTAGAAAGTCAAAATGAAAACTCTTGATATTTTTTTATCCTTGAGAAGAGCCCGACCGTAACGAGACTCTGTTTGAGTTTGTAAGGAAAAGAAATTTCAAGGGTTTCACAAACATTTCACCCCTTCTGGCTTAGTGCGGTTTGAGCTAACTATGTATAATCATAGCTACCGAAGTACACGGTATCTGGTTTACACGCCAAAGTAGCTTTAGCCATTAATTCCTACGGATGAAACTCACCTCGATTCTCTCCTCCTTGAGGTCGACCTGAAGTGCCAGTTGTTCCCTGAGTAGGACATCGGGATAATGGGTCTTATCAAAGGTAGCCTCTAGCTGCTCCAATTGTTCTTCGGTGAATATTGTTCTATGACGACGTTTCCGTTTTCCCATAGGACCGACTCCTGGCGCATTTGGATTCATGTGATAAGGATGACCCGTGTGATAAAAGGTCGGCTGACCGTGAAGCGAGACACCTGCAGCCGCCATGGCTGCCACATATCCACCGGGATAGAGACCAGGATACGCTGCAGCTGAAAATGAAAATTGTTCATTGGCTTCCTGGATATATTTAAAGATAATTAAAGCAAGAAAAAATTAATGAAAAAAGGTCAATTATCTTCAAATGGCTTTGACTAGGTGAGTCAATAGAGGATTTCAGTTGTATTTCGTACCGAAATTTCATCCCCCGTTCCCGGGGGACGGATTAGTCAAATTATTTAAACGTGTTTCCTGCAGATTCTTTGACGTTGCCATTATAAAAATGTGTGGGGGTAGAAATATTTGCGAGAGAGAGTCCCCCGTCGGTCTTACGTACATGGTAAGTGGCGAAGAATGACGACAACACCCCCTAACGTCCCAAGGGATGTCTTGGTTAAAATCTTTTAAAAAAAAAGCTGCTTAAACTTAACGTCCCACGAAAAAATATATTGGGGTGTCGAGGTACCACGTTCGTTCCCTTTTTTTACTCTGAGCATATCTTTTTTATCCTTTTCTTCCTCAGGGAATGGCTGGAACGGTTCGCGTCGGATTTCGAGCTACCCGCTCATCCGCGCGTGATTGAAACGGATTGAGGATTTTACTTTTACCATCCCTTAACATTCGCCGAGACCACCACGGTAGGAAAGACTTAACGCTACGAAGTGGGGATGAAGATTTTGTGAACGTGTACGTAAATCCCTTTGGTATTCCTGTCGTTTGTGTCAAACGTAATTTAGAACTTTATCGCGCGACAAAGTAGTATGTAAATAAAGAAATTCAATTTTTTAATTCTCTGACGTCAATGCATGATACGTAATTAGGATATATCCAATGTAAGAAAATAATATAAAAGGCAAGATTTTATGGAATACCTATAACATCCTATTGATCTAATTTTCTAATCTTTTTTCTCTATTTTTTATAGATTGCTGATCTACCCAGGAAATCTGCAGAAGTGAAGGCCAGGTGATGCAACTGTTGTTGAAGTGGATGAATTCCGGTACTTCTAGGAGGTGATCCAATGTTATCAGGATTCTGAATCATGGAGATGCTACTGGAACTTGTAGGTGTAACATTGCCAACTGGTCTGGGTGCGAGGATACTATCGATTGTGAAGAGTGAAGTTGGCGAGGACATCGTTGCGGATGAACTAGGTCTCGACACTTCACGTGCTCGGTATCTCGTTCCCTCAGGACTCACGGGACTCCTGCTGCTCCTGGAGAAAGTCCTTTCGCGCTCTTCATGATTCCGTGGGGACAGGTGATGCTGTGTCTCCGAAGTCTTCAATTTCTGCTGCAAACTCTCCGGCGAGTAATTGTACAGATAACGTGGATTGTAACCGGAAATGCCGGGACCATCCTGAAGAGGACTCGATGGCTCTGTCATCGGAGAACGTGACCTTGGCGAATCACCCGCATAAATACTTTCTACCATGTTACGTAGCAGTTCCACTTTTGAGAATTAGTAAAATCTTTTATAAAAAATTTACTTAGTAATTTCGTTCAAAGGTGAAATCGTTGATTCAATTTCTTTAAAGACAATATTTTAACTGTGAATATCTATGATCGATTCTTCTAATATTTCTTAGTGATCACTATGTGACGACAGTAAAGATGATAAATTCACTGAAATTCTTAAAACTTGTTTTAAAATTCTTTTTAATGGACCGTCATTAATTATTTAGTCAAGCTCATGTCCTGCATCTCGTTCATAACACTAATCACAGTTGTTCAGTTAGCCACTTCAATTGATATCCATTACAGCTCACTATCGGATAATGAAAAAACTTTACAACGTACTTTGGAAGGAAAAATGATTAGAGTAAATGTCACAGTTTTGTTACCACCCTAAAAAATTGTCACCCCTAAAATTAGAGCATCTATTTTTATATTTTCGTCACACAAGCAGCATTACTCTATCAGATGCACCAATAAACCTCAAATGTCCAGGTTACTAACTACGCAAAACAAAAATATGTCCATTATCAACACTTTTTTTTACAAAATTTTCTTTCACCAGGGTAATGCATAACCGTAATAAATGCCAATGTTCCGTGACATGCCTGATAAATGATTTGGCGACTAGTCGCTCGGACGAGTGACCGAAGGGTACGAGGTTACTCGTCGTCGAGTCATTCCCCAGCCACCCCCATGAAGTCACCCTCGAGCACGAGCACCGATTGGCTGCCAGGCGTGGCCGGATTTTCGCAGGCACCTCCCATGATCTCCCTTCCACGATTATCATCCCCCTGGAAAGAGGGTTGACGGGATTCTGGGGCGAGTCGAGAGTAATTTCACGATGACAACTGAAAGAGCGGGCGGCAGTCTGATGATGGTATGTAGCCTGTAGGGCACAAGAGAGTGGCAACGTGCAGGGATGAAATATAGGGATGGTTTTTGGGGATTGGAGGATATGTTTAACACGGATAATGACGATACGCGTTATGTATTACTGAATTTATATATACAACACAGTAAATGCACTGATTGGCACCATATCCATTGCGTTCATTGGAAATCATTCGTTAATACCTTTTTTGTTTTTTTATTAACACTACTACGAATACCAAACATCAATAAACACGTAACGTATGATACATTATATGCAATTTCCCCATGAAATTGGAAAATTCACGGTTGTTACACTCTCGTGTTTACAACTCCGTTGATACTGGGGGATCGGGGTCATCGGGGATTTCGTGAATTGATTTGCATGCCCGTATAGGGTAGTACGTTCTAAAATTGGCCTTACAAACGATATTATGGATATGAAAAATATATTTCATTAACATACCTATTTGATTCCTAAAAGTTACACTAAAAATATTCTAAAACATTTAATCGACTAAATAAATTATTCAAATCTCTTGAACGTGTCCATATTAATGACGTAAAACCGTTGTAATGCGTATTAGTCGTTGGCGAAGGGCTGGGTAGTTTCATGTGGTACCGGATTGGGGTGAATCGCAGAAGGGAGGATTGTTCGCGATACGTGGAAATTCGAGCGTGAAAGATCCCAAAGGGTGGTTCAGCATGTACCCTCCTCTTTACACTACGCGATACGTATTGCACGCATACACGTGCGTATACCTAACCTCTATTCTGATGCAGGAAATCTGTGCCAACCTTAATCCTAATCCACACGTTAATCGTAGCTGGATCCGAAGAACCGGACCTATAATAGTCACTGGAATATACATATGTATATGGGTACGTATTCGTTTTAATTTGCTGTCAGAACCGAACGTTAACGATTTTATGAGAAGAGTGAAAATTATGAGTACTCGAAGTTTTCTGAACACTTTGAATTTTAACTGAAACACGTTAAAGATTTAAAACTCAAGCTTTTTTCACGTGTATTATGGCTTCTTTCGAGTTGGGATTTACGTATTTTGGATTGCAGAAACATACGGGGCTGTGAGCGCGACATAAAAGGACATATGGGTCTTACCCAAAACCGAGGACCTACATCAAGGTGTGTACCTACGAGGATCAGGATTATCCTTCACGCAGGATTACCGAATATTTTGTGTATAGCCGCTACAGGATTTGGTGTTTGCATTTTGTGCACGCCTGCATACGCCATTGCCGAAAAATGGTGGGAACTTGCATGTCCGTCATTCTTAGGGTTCGTATGGTATTTGGGACTGATGATTTTTATAGAAAAATTATATTTTTTTTAATTCTAAGAAATCAATTATACCAAAAATAATTTGAATTTTATAATATAATCTTAAAGGCGTACTTATATGTTATTATATTTTTTTCAGAATTATTTATCTCTGAATTTCGAATTCCTGCACGAGACGAGGCCGTCGGAGGATCATCCGACGGTGGCTGCCCGTGTGTCTTCATTCTCCCAGGGTGGAAGGACTTCCTGCTCCAACGTACTAACTGCATTTGAATTATCTACATGAAACTTGGTTTAAATATTTCAAAAATTGATGTACACGGTGCATTACAAATGCCATTGAATTAAATTATTGGTTATGATTAGGATAGATATTGAAAAATGGCAAGCTGAGTACTTTTTTTACTTATGATAAATCTTCACTGTCGAAATAGAGAAATCGGTTCATTGTCATGGTAAAAAGTAACTTCACGGGAGGTAAGAACGAGGATTATAGTTTTCCGGCAATCATGAAGAGAATCCTGACGCTAATGCGGCGACAATACAGATGTTTTCACGTCTAAGCAGCGTGCTAAGTGGATGTCCCAGGATAGTTCAGAGTATACCTGGCCCTCCTGGTAGACCTGTCTGAAATGTTCACCAACTTATTAGTTTACGTTACACTTGACTGGACGCCTTTTTGCCTTGAGAATAATCAAAGAACCTCTGAAGATGACCGAAAGCCAACCGAAATTGATCCTTACGAATTATCCTGCGTGAATTCTAGGCTTCCGCTTGCTCGCTGTTTCTTTAACAATATCTCGCATTACTTCTATCTTTCTTTTTTTTGTGTCTTCGACTCTGTCGTGATTCCTACTCGCCGCGGGACGCCATTTCGGCACGCAGAATCGAAACTCAAAAAGCTACTGGCTTAGGTCTCTGCTGTCGAATAGTTAAAAATGGGTATTTGTAATTATCCTGCAAAAGATATTTTTTGTGCGCATCTTGACTTGAAAAGGTTTCAAGGCACATCACAATTTTTCTATAAATTCTTATAGAACATAATTTATTTACTAAAATAGCTTTTTCTCCATTTTTTTCATCTTTACTCAATATTTTAGTCACCTTCCTCTTTGATATAATTACCTGACTTTTATTAAGGCGTTGTCCTAATGGGTTCGTTAAGGTGAATATCGTGTTACGACTATGAGGTCAGAAGTCATTCGAGACATCATTGTAAGAAGTAACAGCATAGTGTTACACTGAGAATGTAAATTTACATTATTGTCTATCTCGTGTTAGTTAACACCGAATTATCAATTTTATTTCAAAATTGAAATGATCATTATCAAAAATATTTAACAGAGCGTTAAATCATCAAAGATGCCGAATTCTAATAAAACGAAAGAATGAAATCCACGTAAATCTTCAAACATCTACAAAAAACTTTTTAGAGTTTCACGAAAAATTGAAATTCGTTACAGAAAATATTTATCTCTGGTAGATTCATCGGTGCCGACATAAATTTTTTGGACAAGTAGTTTCAACCAGAATTGGGACGTATGAACAAAAGTTTAATACGACTGATCCGTGCTGAATTTTGCTACGAAATGAAAGGCATACAAATTCAAATGGAAAATCATGTGGCGCTACTATCCCCAATGGACGATACGTTACTCGCAATTTGTTGACTGCTTTATTAATTACTTTAATTATTATACCGGCGTCAAAGGCTGATCGGAATACAGAGGAAGTATATTCGATGGTAACTACGTTTGAATCGCCCCGAGTCACCGATCGCCAATTAATTTTCCATAATTGGACGGACATGTACTCACATCATAGCTACGTAATAGTATACGTGTGTACTATAGAATATATCGCGGATGGGAAACCCGCGGGCCAGTCTGCCGTATTTTCATCGGAAACCAATTAACAGTTTTCACTCATTTCTTTTTAGATGCACGAAAACATCGGTGCAAAGAACGACAATGTACTATCGATACGTTCGAAATTGAGCTGGTCGCTTGTTGCCTTCGAAGAAAAAAAGTAAAATGAGTAAAAATATAGAAAACTATTTTTAAAAGGAGGTAAACTGAATACTGCACTCGAATCCACAATTAACGAACGATAGCCGAATGATTGTCATTTCCGGTAATTAAATTGAATTTTGATAAGATGACGATTTACTGTGTCATAAACCATTTTCGCCTATTGGCTTAAGGGACTCGAGTTTATCGAGCATAGAATGTAAAAGGCTTTTAGCCGAAGAGCTATTTCATGGCGGATTTTACTAAGTGAGACCAATAACTCGCTAGGACAACAAGACAGTTTTCGAGGATCCCGCGGATGGGTAGTTGTCTACCCATCCCATGGGATATAACGTTATCTAATCCCGAAGTATTGTTGATTTTGCGGCTCACACTCGGCAAGCCCGATGAGGTTTCCATGTCGTTGAGGATTACCCCTATATTCGACGACCCGGACCCTCGGAAACTCCAGCCGGGCTTCCAGAATCTTAAGTACGAATCACAACAAAATTAATGCCGGTATTGCGAAGCCTTCGGCACACTCCGAATCGATTTATCGTATCTACTGGTTTGTTAGATTTTTATAAACATCCACAATTATTTGATATGATAAATACAGAGAAAGATTATATAAAACAAATCTTTAAAATCAATATTCAATTAATATTTGGTTAGTTTCGTAAGTGCCCGGATGAGCCCTCTGTAGTCTTCTACGGTGATGCTCAGTGCGCATGCGCAGTACAGCTGATCGGCTCAGCAAGGGAGAGTAAATACCTCGGATAATAAATTTACTTGCTTTACTGTCAGTTTTATAAAATGATTACCATTCGACAAAGAAGAGATCGTGTCGAGAGATAAAATTTATTCTGCGGTGGTTAACCTCACTCCATCTTGTACAGATTATTCTATTACACAAAGTATCAACAGCATGTCAGGTTAGCAAAAGTGGTGGGGCGGGGGGTTCGGTACGCGATGTTTGGTCTGAAAATACGCCATTGTTTCAGTATGATAAAAAATTCAACGTTTGGATAATTACATCAGCATCGATTGCCGCCTGAGGCATATTTCCACTGGGTTACAGACTTAGGTCGTTCTTTCGAATCACTATGAAAGTACGTCTTATCGTGCTTACCTACTCGATCTTAAGGATTATTCTCCTGCTCTGTTTACTACGAAAATAATTTCCATTTTACAAAATTTCACAGAATACCTACATTTTCTGTTGCAATAATTCTTTGCCTTTCTGCATTTCAGCATCTATCGCATGAACGTCTTTTCGTAGCCAACTTACCCTGGCAGTTTATAAATGTTATGTATGTACATTACACGGCTCATAGAAATATGTATACAGTTACTCAGGTACGTATCCCATAGTACAAAAAATGGCCAACGCCATGTTCTCATTCATTTCTACTAGTCCACAGGAAACGGATATATCTATAATACCTACTCGTAAGAAGACAACTTAAGCCGCTAGCGTCCCTATTTCAACGGATAGAAATACTTACCTACGGTTGAGAAATATAGTAGAAACGTATATATCTATACATGCATTTCGATGTAGCGCCGTAAACCGTATACAGTCTGGAGGAAGGACTCCGAGAAAAAGGGAAGGATGGCTAATACAGGGTGTTCCAATATTAAAAGACCAGATGGATACGGCTGTATTCGTAAACAAAATTACGTAAGTAATAAAAGTGGCCTTCGTTCTATTAACTAATCTTTCTTTTTTAACGATAGTTCGTTAAACTTCAACAGTCGCAATGAAGCTGCTACGGAAGTAGCAGGCTACTGTGAATGCAGTAGATTTTTTTCCTGCTTTTGGTTCTTGGTTATAGGAAGGAGACGGAAGTTAGCAACAAACGTTTACCAGCTTGGTCTATTCTCTATGTATATATTCGGATGTGGATGCGCACACGCTCTAACATAGGGATCCTTCATCCGCGGAGAGCTTTGATTCCGGCATAGAAAAACACTTTGGAAAAGCCACCCCCGTGCAGGGACCAGCTGAGGCCCCTTTAGGATCGTCTCACTGGTATTCTTCCGCGTTTCCATCTTCCTGGTCCCTCAAAGGCGAATAATCCGGTACCAGGGATCATTCGAGTGAGCTGAGTAAGGGAGAGGAAAGCGCGCCCGCCCCCCTACGTCTCTGCGTGTCCTGCTCCTTCACCTTTGAGGTCTGTTTGCCTTTTATTAAACTCTTGTTAAACGCTGCCTTTCTTCGCACACACAATTGAATCGGCAAAACAGCGAAGGTAATGCTCAGCTCTTGTTGAATGCGTTGGGCCCCTTTTGGGTACCTGGATATACATCTATATATGCGTATTGCTATACATGTATATACAGTGCACTCTCACTTTTTCTCTATACCCACAGATCATTCTTCTGAAATGGACACCGTGTAATCGCGCCTTTATACCGCATCCATTGACCATACTGTATTTTTGGTATATACTGTAAGTCTCTCTTACACGGGTTTCGCTCTCTTATTCCGTGTAGTTCTATGTTGGCCGGCAATTTATGAAACACCCTGGAACAACTCTCCCGCACGAACCATTGTATCTGCACTGTCAAAGAGAGCCAATGAAAATATTTGGATATTTCCAAAAAGGCGTATTGGCCACGAGATTTTACTCTTGTCAGTTATACGTGTGCGGGCCAGGAACTTTGAAGAATTTCCGCCGTGCAGCTTCGACGTTGGGTAAATTAATTCGTTTTTTATTTCTCATAAACTTATATATATGACAATGGGAATATTATTTAGAAGGATAAAAAATTAATTCTTTTGGATAAAACAGGCTTCTCAAATTCGATAGTGTGAGTATAAGGAAAGGCTGCGTATAAGAATGAATGAAAAAAAAAGAGAAACAACGTTTGACAACTAAAAAATATGTGTAATATGGTAACATCGTAAAGAATTTTTTCATCTTTTTTCCTTTCCTTACAATCATTGGAGCAGGTTACAATTGGTTAACCGGTGTATAAACGCATTTACAATATATACCAAGTAAAAACTAAGTACTCATACAAAACATGAATAGTTTATATAGGGATCTTGATAAGGCAACGTTTTAAGACTCTATATGTACACATGTATATATATATACACACATATAAAAATAAGTTCAAGTATACATATATATACATATACGCACACATAAGGTAATATACTTTCGCGATTCAAGTTATACATGGTACGTACTTCCGGTGCCAGTTGATGGATCGATATGGATTTTTTGTTTTCCTTAATCGCTTGGTCGTTCCTTCTGTCCTCCTTTATTTTGTTCTATCGTCCATTCATTTTATTGACTAGTGATTGATAATTGACTAATAAATACCAAAAAAGAAAATACGAGATTACAGATTATGGGTACTCTCTCCTCTGACGTGTGTGGCTTTCGAAATACTAATTAAGCCCTAAGAAAAACTTAACTGCCATACAGTCGTCCTAAAGTATATTAAATAACGGTGAGCTTAAATGAATAAAAAGGGGCAGAGAAATAGAGAGAAAGAAAAAGTTTGAATAGGCCGTTGGGAAAGGGCTGTGGGCTAGGTAGAAAGAAAATGGAGAAGATGGACTAACAATAGAGGATCCAAGTGAAAGTAAAGAGAACAAGAAGTTGATTATAAAAACAAAAGAATTATTAACGATGGTACGAATAATTGTGGTTAAGTAGTTTCTTGTTACATTTTGTACGCGAACAAACAACTCCTTTTCTGTGTGGCATTGTAAGTCGAAAATCAAAAGATGCTACAATGGCGTACAGATAAAGACATATATAAATAATTCCTTTGAATATTATTAGACGTGACTCTATACACCCAATGACTTATTCTACTTTCAACGATACTTTTCAATGAAGAAGCCTCTTGACGAAATATGAGTTCTTCAAAAGAAGGTTGCGACTTCGACTCTCAAAATAAGAATGGAAAAATACTAAATTTTGTGAAATCTTTTTTTTGTCTGCAACTTTCAAAAAAAATTACGTATACCGTCTGTATTGTTGAGTCTTGCTTTATAAGGATTATAAACGGTCCTCATTGATTCGTTTCTAGTTTTCATAAAATAGATACACATGGCCTATACATATATGCGAATCTTCATCAGACGTGTTAATGGATATAGCTTGCGTGCGTAGTGTAATGTACATATGTCTGCTGTGTGGATGTATATTCGGGTTTTTAATCCTCTCGTTAAGAATTAATTAATTAATCAATTAACTTTTAATTTAATTAATTAACCTTGGTATGCATAGACACATGTGAATTTTACTTTTGCTATTGTTTTATGTACAAAATGAAGCGTACAAAATTTTCGTTTCAGTCGATTCTCTGGAATATGTGTGTTTGAACATTTATCGCTACAACAGTCGTTCTCACTAAAAATTTACAACCACTCGGAACGTGGCTGGTTTCTCACTGAACTGATTGCATCCTCGGAAAGGAAAATGGCGAAACACAGTGGGCTATTTACGACTTAAAAACATCGCATCAGCCAAGGTTTTACAAAATTTCTTCACAAAAAAAAAAGAGTAATTAATTAAAACTTGTTCTTTGATAGTCCACGTCCTCTTTTACGTTATACATATAATAGGCTAGTAAAGGTTATAGGAAGGGTCATTAAAAAAAAAAAAATTAAAAAATAGGGAAACTATTCAATGGAAACGACCAAACCACTTATTCATTAATCTACATTTAGAAACGTGTAAAAACTATCGGAATCTCTTCAACTATTCTAGACGAAAATATATTATTCAATTTTGCTCTTTTTTTTCTATTTCTTTGTGTTTAGTGTTTACGTTGCTCGTAGCCATCTATGCATTCATTTGTCTCCCCCTTGGTTCTACGTCGAATTACTTCTTTAATCTTTAATTGTCACTTACCCTTAAGATCATCGTTATTACTACGTTATCTTGTATTGCGCGAGATGAGAATTATAATTGGTACAGTGCTTCAAAGTTAATTTCACGACGGAGTTTGAAATCGAGAAAAGAAACGAAAGAGACGAAAAATATATGTATAACGGTCGTGCATAAAAAATGAAAAAAAAAACGCATACGATTTTCGGTATCTCTTTCCTGAATAAGCGCTACTTTCTAGGTGCGAAATTCTTGCTTCCGTCTAACTATCTGAATGATCAATACATAATCTCTACGTTTTCCTGCTCGTTTATACTTCTAGACTATTATATTCATCCATGTGTAATTTTATGTTTCTTTGCCCGCCTTCATACCAATAACAGTTTTGAGCGGCAGGAACTTACTACTAAGGTCTCTCTAAATACTAGAAAACCAGGCGACAGAGTACTAGTTTGTCGTCATTAAGTTCGTACGTCATTATTGTAGGAAGTTAACATCAATTCTGTTCTTTTCAATATCAAATGCAACAAATGACAACAACGACACTGTGACAATAATTTAAACCACACTGTCATGACTTACACGTGAATGCTGCGTTACATTAATTATTACCAATGATTAGCATTTTCCCGAGTACTATCACTCTGTGCTTGTTTGTGTAACCCAGTCGACAATGGCAAATTCGAATAACAAAAATTATCCGTAGAAGAAGAAAAAAAAGATAATTGACAGATCAAGGAGATTCCATTGTGTGTGAAAATCTTCAACAGCGAGGGCTATAGCTTATCGTTAATTTGTAGAAGTTATTAGGAGTTTTCCAGTTGTTGCTTCTTGTATTGCATTTTGGAAGCACCTCGAGCTGTCAGAAACTTTAATTATTTCCAAAATGAGGTCCGCGAGATGCCTCTCACCTTCTATCTCAATTTTGACTTCAGCTTCGTACTTTTTTCTTTTCCTTATTCTTCATCCTATGTACTCATCCCTCTACTTCCTTATTTTACAAGAATAATGAGTGCTTCAGTTGATCGATAAATGTCTAAGATTCCAGGGTTTGCTTGAATGATTGTTGCGGGAAGGACATCTCCATGGTGATGCCTCCGCTGCTACGACGGAATCTGGTTGATTTCTCGGAATTCTGGCGGGGCTTGCGTCTGCTTAAATGCCTCTCCACCCACTTCAGCATCGTCAGCACGGAATCCGTACTTGGTAAGCGACGTTCAGCCGATGTGCGAATTATGTGAGATGAAGCTACACGGAATGTTGCTGCCATACCTTTCAGTGCCTGGACAGACAAGATTTAATGTAAATATATATTTCTTCCATTACAGATTCTACCTCTGGAGTAGTCTAACGAAACCTAGAAACTTGTGTTACGGCATTAATTTACGTCTGCTTACATCACATGGACTCATTCTCTACTCCACTGACAGAACCTCAGTTATTTTTCAGTTTTAATGTAAATGCGTGCACGTGTGTGTGTATGTATACCTTCAGTGTCCACTGTGGAAGATGATTTGGACTATAACTTGATCATTAGGACAATAACCTATCAGGACCGCAGACTTACCACACACATGACTTCCTTGCAATTAGCCTCTGATCACTTGATGGATTACTTGGCAAGACATTTGAAAACTTGATCAAAATATTGCTGTCGGCCAGTCTCATCGGCAAACTTTGCCTATAAATCAAACTCATTACTGAGCCAAAAGCGTGCAACAGAGAGTACCATGTGACGTACGTTTGAACGACGTTCACAATTTTCAGAATATTAGAGACTCGGATCATGCGAGCATTTATTTATACTCATATCCTTACTCTATGATAGCCAAGTTTTTTTGTTTACACGATACTCTACGTACCTTCATGGCATCTTCATCCGTGACATCGTCACCGGCGTAAATGATTCTGATGCGTTCACTCCAGTCCAGACCAAAAGCTGTGCGCAGGATGTAAATAGAAGCGCGACCTTTGTTCCATTCTACTGGTGGTTTTGCTTCCAGAGCACAATGAGCTGCGCAAGCCTTGAAGCCGGTCTCTTCAATAAGTTTCTTAGCTTGCTCAACCATTTCCGGTCTCCCCTCCATTGGGGTTTCGCGATAATGGAAGGTCAGCAAGGCTCCCTTATTCTCAACCCAGGCACCATCTTTGCAGAGCTTAATTTTTTTTATTCAAACAAATTCATTAGTTCACTGACTGCATTGTTCTTATGTAAGATTTAATCTGACCCAGTCGATTGTCTTACCTGATCCTGTAAAGCTTGCATCAAACCGGCTACCTTGTCTTCGAACTCGGCAGGCATTGGGTGGACGAATTTACTCCCGTCAGGATGAAGAATTTCAAGACCATGATTACCAGCATAAGTTATGCCATCAATTCCGACCATAGACTTGACATTGTTTACATTTCTGCCTGATATAATAGCTATGTAGACATCGGACATATTGGACAACCTTTGCAAGACATTCTTTGTCTCCAACGGGAGAATTGCCAGGTCGGGATGGGTCGCGATAGGTGCCAGGGTGCCATCGTAATCCAGCAGCAGTGCCAGCTTGTGATTATCGCCGATATACCTAGGGGACATGCGCCATCACTTGATCGTTACCCGGCTTTCATCATGAGTCGGGTCGCGACCGCACGCGCGGGCCCGCCGGCTTCCAAAGCGTTATTTCTAGTCCGCTTGCTATTGCCTCTCGTTTTCGGATGGCGAACGCCCGATACATTCCAAGAAATTTTGTTACTTGCGAATTTCAATAATTTCGCCATAACTTCTGATGTTCTTATATATATATGTTCCAATTGTATTTGTTGTTTCGAGTATAGGTGTTCCCGGCACTGTAGTGTCTCAGGCACCATGCACTGTTCTTTAAATTCTTAGTCTGTATCACCCACGCGGCGACGTACCCAAACTCATGCTCATTACGTACTAAATAACATAATAGTTTCCTTAATCTTTAAATTATTAAGCATTTCGCGAATCAACGATTAATCGTATCACAAACAATAATTGCGAGGTGATACTCATCATTGGGATAAATTAACAATACACGTTCAGTCACAGAGGACATTTAAATCCTCAAAGTCATTCCGGATATGCGAACAAATATATCCCGACAATTAAGGTTCCCAGCGGAATCCGAATTTGCATACAAGTGTTTTTACCAGTGTAAAAACATGCGTGTGTTGAGAATTTAAACGTATTTTCCCGCAATAGCGCATGCGCTGGCCGGGCCCAGTCATGCACAGCTGGTGCTGCTAAGGTACCTACTTGCTCAAATAATCATCAAAGTCATCCATCGTTACTGGCTGCATTGTCGTTGCACCAACAGAGTCACGCTCTTCCAAAGATCCCATCACCTGGAGGAATGACTTCATCCAGTAGTTGACATCGTAGATCCTTTCGCGACGACGCAAGTGATTCATCCTAAGTGTTCGTTCGTCTTCGGGCATAGTCAGTGCTCTAAAATAACATATTATATATACTATATAGATTTTCTTATTTAATAATATTACTGCATCGTGCAAGAATACAAATGTAAACAAACCTGTGGATGACCTCAGCAGCTTCGTCGATCTCATAAGGATTGCAGATCAGTGCTTCGTGCATCATCTCACCAGCTCCAGCAAAGGGCGAAACGATCAAAACACCCGGTGGGTTGTTTATCTGACAAGCGACGAATTCCTTGGCGACGAGATTCATACCGTCACGAAGAGGAGTTACCAGCGCAACGGCTGCGTCTCTATAGAAAGCTGCCAGTTCGTCCTGACTTACGCAGCCATAAATGTATCTGATAGGAGACCAATTTGGGGTCGTGAAACGACCGTTTATACAACCGATGAGCTGATCCATCTCAAGCTTCAAGTCCTGGTATTCGCGCACGTCCGTACGAGAGGGGACTGCAATTTGCAGCATAGTGACCTAAGAAGACAATGGGTAAGATTAAAATAAAATTCTGAACAACATTTATTGACCGCTAATAAAAAGTTTCGTTACTTGTTCACGATGTTCCGGATGTTTTTCTAGCAGCATCTCAAAAGCTTTTAGTCTATGGACCAATCCTTTGGTATAATCAAGACGATCAACGCCCAGTACAATCTTCTGATTAGTTAACATAACTCTAGGTGCGCTCTCAGCCAACGAGACAAATCTGTCGAAAGGAATACCAATAGGAAGTGGCCTGACACGTACGGTACGTCCACCATGTTCCACCAGAAGGTTCTTCCGGTCGACTCTGCACCCTAAGCATCTCTGACAGCAGTCGACGAAGTTCAGGCAATAATCCTGAATATGGAAGCCAACCATGTCGCAGCCTTCAATGGAAATTAGGTAATGAGATACTTTGCAAGGTAAACCATCTTGTCAATTTAATAAAATAATGTCAATACCCACCAAGCATACCCTGAAGAATTTCATCAGCCCAAGGGAACAATCTGAAGATGTCCCATGGTGGGAAAGGGATATGAAGGAAGAATCCAAGCTTTAACCTCAGATTCTTCTCATCGGCAGCTTGCCTTATCCAATTAGCTGCCAGCATAAGATGATAATCATGAATCCAGACCAACGGTGTCCCATTAGTTTGACCCTCCTGTTCCTTATGGATCAGCTCCAGGGCGCCGACCTATGAACAATCATTCAGCTCGTCAAGGTATTATGTATCCCATCATCACAATATTTTCATAAAACCCTTTACTCACAGTCTTGGCAGCAAATTCCTCGTTGACAGTTGTGTAAGCACGCCAATGTTCAGCAATGAAAGTCGCACGATCAGGCATAGAGTGAAAAAGAGGCCAGAAAGTACCATTGCAGCACCCATTGTAGTACGAATCAAATATAGCCGGTTCAACGTGTACAGCAACAACCTGCATCAAAGTAATATGACGTACGTGATTATTGGCAATACTTAATCATCCTGTAATGATTCGCTGAATCGTTAATATTGTCTTATTGGTCTACAGGGGGGATTTAATCTAGTGAGAAATAATAAAAATGCAAAAAAGAAGAGTGACGATGTCGTGCGAGGAAAACAGTCGATATCACCGTAATCGGAAGTGCATAAAGTCCAGACGTAACGAGCCCGATAAAAGTTATTGTTTTTAGTATTTTTCTAAAGATTTTGACCCCCACGCCATGCCTCCTCCTGCTCATCGTTAATTGGTTATTATACGAAGAATGAATCGCTTATTATTCACTAGTAACATCCCATTCTTTATGCTACCGAAGCCATCAAAACACCTCGTATACTCGGAACTATTGACGCAAGCTGCAATCGCCTTTCCGATAAGCTAATATTTCGCTCCTTAGACACAACTTTAAGTCGCGCATCGGTACGTTATTATCATGAGTAGTACGATTGCGACTTTACACAATAGGGAGAGATCAACAAGGAATATTGAAGTGATCTCGGAGCACAGATATAAAATACACTAGATTAGTATTTTAAGATAGCGACGGTAAACACTATTGTACTCTACAATAAGATATTTAATTCAAACACGTCGTACCAATGGAGCAGCAGATCTATCCTTTATACTGTAGGATAATTTTCTTTATTGCATATAAATAATATTTAGTATTTTCATTTGCAGTGATAACTTATCGTCAAACGTCAAGATTGACTCGTCCAAGATACACGTGGCTCTAGATTACAAATTGAAGATTTATAGATGAAATTCAATTCACTTTTCTCTAACACGACACGCTAGACTGGATATGCGGGTGACATTGACCTTTCTACGGCCTAGTGACAATATCAGCCCGATATTCAAGGCATCCAGCTTCTGGTATCGCGAAAAAAATTGCATAACGCCGATACGCGATTCCGTTGACCTAGTCAGTTTACGTGATTGGCGACAAAACCAGCAGCTAAATTGCAAGCAATCGTAATCGTGATCCATCAAGGGGATAACAGTATTGGCGAGGAGGGATAATTCCAGTGGATCAAAACTATCACGTAATGACTCATCATCCTCATTAAGGTAAGGTATCGTATAAGCAGTGGAATACATTAAATTACGTTATCATTGTAATACGTTTTTGAAATAATTCTAGGTCGCAATATCATCAACGGTACTGGATCATACATCAGTTTTGGAATCCGAGTGAGATTCCGCATCTATACAATTAAGAAAGATCATCTTGTGACCGTCCATGTGAATTAGGACTTATCACAAGAAACTTGGGGCCGCGAATGATAACGGTGTTAACTACGCACGTCATTCAACTGATAACCCCTCTGAACTCTGATGATGTCGATCACGACATTCGATCGTTGCCTCTTCGGGTACTGATTGTGTGACTGGTACCAGGTCACACGGAGGTTCGCATATGGGTCGCGCAGCTGTCAATCCTTAAAGTGTAGAAAAAATGTACGGATGAAATTGGATTTCTGGGATAGTTTCTTTTTATCTTTTTTTCAGGTATTGGATATACGTAAAATTTGGATAAAAGAACGAGAGCAGCGTGAAAGATTGACTTGCAAGAGACTATGGGAAAATAGGTTGGAAAATACCGATAAGAACTTCCGTTTGAACTCCCTTTTGTTTCCTAAATTCATTGGCTTCCCGTTTGAGGCACGAATTAATCGGTTCGCATTGATTACCCAGTCAAAGTTCAAAGATCTGGTACGATTTACGAGAAAAATGAAAATCGAAGGACAATAGTAAAGTAGTCATCGATTTTTATAAGTCACTGTTGAGTCTATCTGTATCGTGCCTTTATAGATACATATTTATTGTATCAATTCTTGTTTTCATTTACTATTGCTTGTTTGTCTACGATTATTCGAAGCGAATATCCTGCATTCAATATATATATTTTCAGCTGCACATCATAGCTGTATTATGGAAAAAAAATTATTGTTAGGAAATTCTGAAGAACAGATCAACCACTGCTCCTCTGCGTGCTGCATGTATATGAGATACTGAACAAATTTAAAAACAAGGAAACATAAATAAGACTTGATAACAAAAATACTTGAAAATCCGTGAGTCGTTATGTCAATACCGCCAATGTCCTACGTCTGTCCTTATCCACGTGATCATCACGATCTCACGAGTGATCGTTCTGACGAGAGCACCAATAAAAAATAAAGAATGGAAATAAACATCGTTTAAGAATTCCGCATTACTTGACGATCCAGATATAAAACATCGCTTATGCAGTCACATCCAGTAACGAAGACCACTGATAGTAGAATTATCATCGATCTCCCACAGCTATGTGCTTTACGCACAGAGATGCAATATCCGTTGCTGTACACGTGGGATATCAGCGCCACCAATTTTCTTGGACGGCCTCTTTTCGTACTAGATTCTTTATCAGTACCTACACTGTTCGATATGTGATTCGTGCACGAACGTAGGGAACTGAATCACACGGAATACACGCCGCGGATATTTTTAGTACGTGATGAGTTCTAAAATCAAATACCTACTGACATTCAGACGTCATATCCATTTCGATCGTAAAAAAACTAGATCATTCTCTGTTTAACGACTTTCACGTGAGCGCAAGACGGCAAATACCATCACTCTGCAAAAAGTCTACAATCGCAACTGCCTTGTATTAATCCTTTCAGTGCGCAGCTCTTCAAATTTAACGCCTGCCGGAGGAGGTACATTATCCATCTATCTAAAATATCACTCAAAAGAAAAATACTCAACTAAATATGCATAAGTACCAGTGTAAATATAAACTTTGCGCACTAATATTATCTGTTCACAGAAACGTCTTCCAATTTTGCTCCTGGGAATAGCTAACAAGAAGAAGCGACCTTCGCAATGAATCCAACATTCATTCTTTAAGCGTCCTGAAGCCACGTAAATCACACGCTTCATGTGTAAACGTTTTTACTGTGTAACCGAGGAGGGCCGAGGAGGAGAAGGCTCAGGCAGATTATCTGATTCATGGTGATATTTTGGGGTCTGTTTTTCTTAAGAAACACGCGTTTACAATGCGCATCACGCGTGCACCATATACACGTGTATGCTCCACATGTGTATAAATATCAGTAACCGAGTGTGACCGATCATTTTTCTTATTGCGCATAGAGTCCCTCGACATATATATACCATCAAAACTTAACACGTGACAAGATTGGACACCTTCTTCTCTTCCTCGTATGCTCTTATTCGATTCAAATCAATGTTTCATATGTTATAAAGTCACACAGATCATATATACTGTTCGTCGTGCCATTCGACGGCATATAATAAATATTCAATGATTACAGGTAACCTAACCTAACCTACTTGGGAAAGGTGATCTGGTAATCGCAGGGTCATAGGTTATGTATCGTTAAAGATTTTCTACTCTTGACCACTGGTGCGGTCCACGATCAACCCTCGGATAACAACAAAGCCAATAGACACATAATTAGGTGTATGAACTATGCGCCGTGATAAAGAAATACCGAAGAACGTGATTGCCATTAATCACTGGATAAATGTGAAGTAATACACGTATGACTATGTAAGTGCGCGATAAGAGAGTCAAGAAGAATTATACAGCAAAGACGTTCCTTCTTCATACCGAATCGTCGTAAGTTGCAACACCTTTCTTATCATCGAACGATTTCTTTTTCTTTGTCATTTCTATTCTTGTAAATTCTTTTGTCGTATCTGACTGCAATACAGATAACCAGCAGAGACAGTGTGGACAACGCTTTAAATAGAAACCTGAACTCCGGACAATAAAAAAAAAAAACTTGCGACACTCTACAAACAGCCACGTATGTATAATGGGGACTTGCGAGAAGCGAATTATTATCTTTCAATAAATTATTATTATCATGTAGTACATCGTTACTGCTTACCGAACACCCTTGGACTCGGAGTAAAGAAATGTGAAGTAAGAGATGAAAATTCGTACTCGGTATTTCCGTTTCGATTATTTAAATCGTGTCTGGACACGATATCTTGAAAGTCAATAAAGCAACTGTTCGAAAGGACTTTATTCAGCGGAGTTCATGACTCCGGTAGTGTGCAGTACCAGAGAATGCTACTGGCAGGTCAATTCACCATTAGGACGGTTTAACATTCTAGAGCGTCAATCACGTAACCGTTCAGCGTCACTCTTCCACGTAGGTAATTCAAAGTCAACAATTGTGCACGTGCAGAAATAAAAAGTAGAATCGTCTCTCCGTTAAGGGAGGATAAGGTTCGGTAAATGACGTCGATAAACACGAAAGGAATTATTTTGCAGTGTGGTTGGTAGGAGTGCGCGGAGGAAAATGAGCCTTTGAAAGCTGAGCGAATCGGTGAGTCGAGCACGCAGCGATAGCTGTAAATATACTATCGATGTCAAGGTTAGCCTAAAAAAACTGTAAGCTTGGACATCTCACATACGACGAAGTCAAGGGACAACTGTTTGTGTGTACAATCGATCTCTTACGTGAAACTGCGAACTCGCTCGAGCCGCGACTAATTATAATTAACAGGATTAATTTAAGGTAACTATACGCTTCACCCTAGTCAAATCAGTGCTAAATTTTTAATAACGTTTTTACAATTTCTAGTGGCCTAATTAACAGTTCCGAGGAGTTACTCACGTAACAGCATTAGTTCTTGATATACAAGTACATTCGCAGCTGTGATTCGAATATAAAATCAAACATTATATCCAGATGTTCGATGTCATATTTTGCCGTGAATTTTTTTAAAAAGAATCAACCATAATAATAGTCCAATTATGACGAGCAATATCTCATTTGGATTATTGAGAAATCTTCAATCGATTGACCATCGAGATTTTGTATAATATTAGTTGTTCAAAAGTTACAGTCACTTGTATGCCTGATATTAGGTTAGGATAGGTAATCAAACGGTTGTATCTTTTGAGCTACCAATATTATCTAAAGTCTAGATCCCCAATCGATTAAGAATCTTCGAATAATCAAAATGAGATATTGCTCGGCACAATTGGACTATTATTATGGTTTATTCTTTTAAAAAACTGCACGAAAAAACATAACATCGGACATTTACATATATCAGTCGGCTTTCTGTTTGAGTCATGGCTGTGAATGTATTTATATATTAAGAACTAATGCTGTTACGTGAGTAACTCCTCGGAACTGTTAATTAGGCCACTAGAAATTGTAAAAACGTTATTAAAAATTTAGCACTGATTTGACTAGGGTGAAGCGTATAGTTACCTTAAATTAATCCTGTTAATTATAATTAGTCGCGGCTCGAGCGAGTTCGCAGTTTCACGTAAGAGATCGATTGTACACACAAACAGTTGTCCCTTGACTTCGTCGTATGTGAGATGTCCAAGCTTACAGTTTTTTTAGGCTAACCTCGGACACGTAAAAGGCATTCTTGACCCTGAATACTTTATGGTAATATTGTTCCCGTTTGAAACCTACGAATTTTCCATTTGCAACGTTGTCATTGGAATGCTTCGTTAATGAGACAATAATATGAATTAACATATTTTGCAAGAATTTCCAAAAATAAATGCTCCCACGTCACAAGCTGGTCGACGCTCTAAAACGAGAGTAGCGTAACTGCCCACGTATTATATGGATGTTCGCGAATATTCTCTGTTGACAGTTAAAAATATTTGGCAGGGCTAAACGTGATATATTATCATAATTCACGTACCTTGCGCGAGAGAAGACCGGCAGTCGGGGTACGATCGTTCGGATCGGATTCAGGAATCGGTTCGTTCGGATTTTCCATATGCATACCAGGCCATCCTACCCATACTCCATTTCCGTTTATTACGACTGGAGCTACGGCTGTGACAAGACCTCCGGCGCTGTAAAAATAAAAGGAAAAGTAAAGACATACCGTAGTACATAATAAAGCAGTAAACAACATTCCGTCTTAATGACTACAAATTTAAATTGTATTTTTTTTTTCTTCTGTGTTAACGATTCAGCTTAATTGACTAACGTGCTAAGGTAAATTTATAATTATACTTTTTACACGTATAGAAATCCGGAAGAAAGATATCACGAGTTTCATATTATTTTCGAATACCGATACCGTCTCAGATTATTCAACGATCCTCAGGCCTCAGGTTATCACTACCAACCATTAACCATTCGATCTCCGTAACTGCGGACGCCGCATTGAGCACGTACGATTTTGAGGTTAAATTTTGTGTTGGCAAACAATTATGAATCAGCCGGTCGACGGGTATCGCTAAAATATACACCGAACGACGTTGCCGTTATCTCGGAGGAAAAAATCAACATTATACGAATAATCGAGACACTGAAAGCCTTAAATAAAAATGTAACAAGTACAAACTGTCACTCTCCTTGTAAGCTTGAAAGATATAATACTAGTACGTAAGAAACTTGCGGAAATTCCAATACGAACTAAAAGACGACCTTGCGCAATATGCCAATTAAGATTGAGAAAAACATAGCAGATTAGACCGTATGAATTTCTGTTGACTCTCTCGATAAGTCGACATAGCCATTAGCCGTATAGCAATCGTACATTTTTTTCCAACAATTTCATTATCGTGCCCATCCCCAAGCCCTCCCGTACAGTTTTTATGGTAAACTTGCAGAAATCAATGTTGTCTAACATAGTTGCTGCTCAATTGTGTAATCGCACGACTTCCTATCGGCAATCGAAATATCATAGAGGTTAAAAGTTCACACGCCCTTTTCAATTCTCCGCTCGCTTATATGACGCAAGTTTCGTAGATCAACTTTTTTTAGGATCCATGCGTCGATAACAATTTTGGAACGATAAACGATGCCTCGTGTCAACGAATCATTGTTTACTCTATTCTATCTGTATTTTTTTACATACTTTTTTTTTCTCACTGATGTTCACCGGCTTCACTAAGATTCTATATATTTTTCATAGAGATTAAAAGAAAAAAAAAAAATTCATAGATTCGTTCCACGTAACTGCTGCAACTCGCGCGTGATACCAATAATAATGATAACAACGTACATAGAGAGTATCCAGTTATCAATATACTCAGCGATAAAGAACCCTTCGTAATTACAACCGACAATTGTCAATCGTTCATGAAACACTGACAGTTTGTTTATTAAAAAAAATACGCTAACAAAACAATCGATCCAAGTCCATATCGTACCAATACACCGTTAGGAGGATAATGGCAAATAATCGAATCTTGAAATAAAAAAAAAAACAATCCAGCTTCAAGACGCATCCATTAATATTATGATTATCCCGATAGTTGAAGTCCTTGTTTATTCATTATTCACAGACTCTCGGACGAGTTCAACAAACTTTATATTTACATACGGAGCATCGATGCATACTTGTCGGCATATGGACATGTAAAGTCTTACGAAACACTCAAATATCTACGCCATAAGACATATTTGATCGTAAATTTTTGAAAGCAACACTTTCTGTGTCTCCTCGTTTACTCTCTTCGCGATCCAAGGTTACAATGTAGTATCATGTAGTACAAGATAAAACGACCGTCTAAACAATGAAATACATTATCGGCCAGACAGTTGATCCACGTCTCTTTAATTTTGCCCTCAAACAAGGAACTAGTCGATATACGTGGCTCTAGCTGTTACGAAAGAAAATCCAAAAGATTAATCATCACGGTGGATTAGCCAGTCTGACTGATAAGCACGAGTTAAATCGTTTCGTCTGATATGCGTGATTGTCGTATCGATTAAAATTCCTAAGGATACGCGAAGAATTCGTAAATTAAATCATCACTGAATCACGTGTACACGAAGCGAATGATGAGGCATTAAAGTGGCGTGTTGTTTCTTAGGAATGCAATAGGCTCGCATGCACGTGACGTTGAACAGACTTGTATACATATAGTAGGTACGTTACTAACCTGGCCTTGCGCTCCAGCTGCCCGGTCGTCTCATTCCTCTTGAGGACAAACGGCAACCTGTTGCTCACGACGATCATGCTGCCGTTCGAGGTGAAGCTCCCAGGCTCTGTAGACATGATGGCGTTTCTTTATATAAAAGACTGGAAAAATATTCGCCACGAGCCGCCACGGTTCCCTCCACGTTCTACCCCTTCCTCTTTACGTTCCTCGAGCAAACGTCAGTTCACGGTAGCACGTGGTTACGAGAAACAATAGTTGTGTCACGCCAACGGTACTATAGGTGGTGCCCGAGAGAGTATGTCAACGATACAGACAGTTTAAAAAGTCCCGATCGCAGTTATCCCTGCGCCGCGTTACAGTTTGACGTATAAACTTTGTCAAACGTCAAGGTATACAAATTGTCTCTGATATATCGTGGAAGTGTTTCTTGACTTTAAAATATCTGTAGTGATTGGATTTGTACGTTGCGGTAGATTTTCTTGTGTTTTAGGTAAACGCGTATCGCTAGAGATCCATGGCTGATAGAGGTCCCAAAGTGGTTCCTTTGCCTCCAGAGAGCTTTTTCGGGGTTCCCGTAGCTCGCGGGGTGAAGAGTGTGTTCCGGTACGAAGCCCGAGTGGCACTGAAGTAGCACCGCTACGGGACCGCCAGTTTATTCGAGTTAGACTTGCGACGAATTGGTCCAAAGTGCGCTTTTGCGGCTGGTATCAATGAGGGCCGCGACCCCAGTACCTCTCTCTGCCCCTCGTACGCTACGACCCCTCTTAACTCCTACGTAGCCCAACTCCCTCGGATCTCAACGTATTTTCATACTGGACCGCGGGGTTATCTCGTTATCGTTTTATTTCCTGATAGAAATTTCAGTCCCCTCTTCCCCCCCTCCCCCCGCCCCTCCC